CCCCCCCCCCACTACAGAGAATGTCGCTTTTGTAAATAAATTCCATGCTCGCAGTGACACAGAAGCCCTGGTTTATCTCCAGCGTCACGAATGCTAGGCTAGCCAGCACGCATCCAGAGAAAGGGGGTGTGCGTACCAATATTTCAACTTGGCTGGCGCTTGTGTGCCAGAAAGGGGGATAAATCAGGAGTGCAGAATGTGTTTCTCCCTGTGCAGCCACCTCAGCAGACACAGTGTGGAAGCTGAGAATTCTTATCTTGGAAGGTGCTCGGCTTCAGCATCGATGGAAGAGTTTTACGTTTCTTGCACTCCTGATACACCCAATAGTCGTAAATCACCTCTAAGCAGTTCTATTAAGTTTAACGAGCTTTTCTTGTGATGTCCAGCCAAGGGGGAAAAAAATACCAAGATGTACTTAAAAACATAGAAAAGCTTACGGGCAAAAAAAAAAATGTCTTCTAAGAACTATTAAAACTATTGGTCACCATGGTGACCCTGTCCTTGAGCAGTCTCTGGGCTTGAGCAACACAAGAGACTCTTTCAATAAGCTTTTCAGTGGAAAAAAAGCCATAAGAAAAACCCCAAAGTTCTCGCAAACCTGGCCTTTGGAGGTCTCCATCAACCTTTGCCCTGTTTGGCTTAGCTTTGGGCTCCTTCTAGCCGTAGGCTTTGTCTATCACTTTCTGCTTGATCATCAGTTTGCTAAGCATTTACTGTGTGTCTTCAGGAGTTGAGAAGACATGGATTGCGATGTAACTCTCTCAGCACAAGCAGAGACAGACAGGAAGATCATTTTGAACTTGAATCCTGGAACACAGCCGCTCCTGGCTTGTTAAACATCTCCTGGGAACGGCGGGGTGCGTCCCGGAGCCTCTCACGGTGACTGCACTGTAGCCCCTTTCTGTTTCAGGAAGAAGCCCGTCGCACCCAAAACTAAATGGATACAAAAGTTGCCAGACTATTGCTCATCTTCCTGAGATCTTCTGCCGTTGAGTGTTGCTCACCATTGGCTCCTCAGTCCCCAGAGTGGTGACAGGCCCTGCATGAACCTTGACGCCTGCTTTTAGTAGTCTAGATTAAGCCCATACAGAGAAAGAAGAAGATGTCCATATTAACTTCGTTTGCCAACGACACAGTGCCCTTTGTTTTAGGGAGGGCACGTGGTACGAGGCTGCAACATGTGCCCATAGGGCCCACTCTGTAGTTAGAAATGAATCACTGTCAACAGGAGCTCAGTGGTGGGGACCTTGAGACTTCTATGCCCACGTCAGAAGGAGCAGGACCATTCAGGGCCCTCTGCTTTCCTCATGTGAGGGTTGGGTTGGCTTTACTTGAACCACAGCCTGCCTCACCCTCCAGAATTCCAGCTCAGTGTGTTAAATTACCTTGTGCCCCCCCCAATTAAGATAGCACCACATGACTGAAGGGTAGCGTGGATGCCAGTTATAAGCACAAAGTCTGTCAGTGACTCTCAACCTTCTGAAGGTTGTGACCCTTTAACACAGTTCCTCAGGCTGTGGTGACCCCTAACCATAAAATTATTTTGTTGCTATCTCATAACTGTATTTTTGCTACTGTTATGAATCATAATGCAAATATCTGACATGTGGGGTCACGACCCACAGGTTGAGAAGCGCTGCTCTAGACAGAGGCTCACTGGATGCTCTAAATTATCCCTGTGGTACCTCACAAACTGGCAAAGTAAAGGAAAGAACAGCAGGAAATAAACATCGAGGTTCAGAATTCAAGCGCATAGTTCGAACCTACCCAAAAGCAGAGCCACAGGAGGCTTCTCTGCAAGCACGGGAGGTCTGCGCTTCATTTCCCAGATGCAGAACATTAACCCAAAATTTCCACCTACAAAAACTTCTCTACATCCTTCCTGGCAGAAGGAGATTAAGTAATTACATTTAAAAATATTCTGTGTTGAGCCGGGAAGTGGTGGCGCATGCCTTTAATCCCAGCACTCAGGAGGCAGAGGCAGGTGGATCTCTGTGAGTCTGAGGCAACCTGGTCTACAAAAGCTAGTTCCAGGACAGGCTCCAAAAGCTACAGAGAAACTCTGTCTCAAAAAACAAAAACAAAACAAAACAAAAAACCCAAAAAAATAAAACAAACAAAAAATAAAACAAACAAAAAAGTAAAACAAACAAAAAAACAAAACCATAAAAAACCCTCACCCTGCCTGAACTGTATTCATAAAGGCCAAGTCGAGAGGAAATCTTATGGGGCAAAACCCCCATAGCCTCTCCCAATTGCCCCTGTGGACTCAGGCCTGCCTAGCATCCGCAGAGAAGGGGTACACTGAGTGGCGAGGGCCCTGGACCACAACAAGAAGCGAAGCAGGAACTTTCCTTTGACTGTAGGTGGAGGTAGCTAAAAGGCAGGGGAGAGCCAAGAATCACAGAATGAGCAATGAGCCAGGGGCGAGAAGAGGCGGTGGGCCTGGCAGCAACAGCGTTCTGTTGCTCTGAGTCACTTAAGCACAAAGAACAATGCAGCTTGCAGGTGGTTAGTGATAGCTCCGGGCAGCCTCTCCTGCTTTTTTAGAGAGATACCAATCTTAATTATTATTGGTTAAGATGAAAAACAATTGCCCCGGAGTTAGGAAAATCAAATGGGTCCTGTTCTTGGTTTCCATCACACAAAGGGGAGTCTGTTCTGCAAAGCCCAGTTGGGCTTGGCCTGCTCGGGGACCACTGACACCCAGCTCCTTCCCAGAAGGACAGCTAACTCGTGCTGCGGAACCTGGGTGCTACAGGCGCTGGCAAACCCAGCTACGGCGGCTTTTGTGTAATACGCTTTTGATAAATGTTTCATAAAGTGACTGGTCAGAAAACAATTGCGTTTTCCCGTGGGAGGGGAGTAAAATTGATGATTGTGGTAGCGCCAAGCACTTCGTGTCACACAAGAACAGCTTGTCCTTGGGGCACAGATTACAAGTAGGAGTCTTTGCAGTCTCTGGCATGAACACGACAGAGTGTTAGGAAACCAGCACGGATTCTGATGCATAGAGAATACGAAAGGGCTCGCAAGAGCATGCATCATGCGTAGGGAAACTCCTCAGACGCACTTGGCGATTCTGGCCCTTAGAGTCATGACATTGATGTCCATAAGTGTACTTACAGGAGACAGTGGGAGGAGATTTATGTCTTAGCAAAGCTCCAGTGGGAGCTGGAGATGCAGCTCTGCCTAGAGTTCTTGCCTCAACTGTACAAAAACAAAACAAAACAAAAACAAAAAACAAAAACAAAAAAACCCTCAAGTGCACTTGAGGTCCCCAGCTTGAGGCCCAGTGTCTGATGTGCCCCAACTGTCTGTATCCACAGAGATACCTTATTTAGGGTCAATCACTTTTAAAAGAGGGCTTTAGACATTAGGAAGAGACATTGAATTTCACTAAATACAGATGTGGTGAGTCAAATGATATTTTACTCTTGTTTTGGTGAAGGGGTGTTAATATATATTTAATGCAAAATGTCATCTTGATTTAAAACTCATAATCAGGGGATATTGTTCTTTTAGTCTGATGCTGGATCTTGCTTGCTAATGTTTTATGTAGCTTGTGTTTGGTGTCAAAATCAGTACAGCTGGTAGGTTTTTGAAGTTTGGGATGTCTTGGTATAGTTTTTAGTCAATGTATTTCTTGTTCCAAGACAACACATTTGAGAGATTTCTTCTGTGTGTTGAGGAACAGTTTGCAGACACTCTGGGCTTAGCTTTCCCACAGGGGCATGACTCCCACTTGTGCCTCCTCTAGCCTGTGGTTTCAGAGGGTGCCCATCCCAGCTCTGCTTCACCTCTCTCTCTTTTCCGGTCAATTTAGCTGCATGGGGTTATAGACAGCCAGCTTGTCTTCCCCAAGTTCTTGTCTTTCACTCAATGTCCCCAAATGTGTTTCCTATGTCCCCTTTGTATTGTATACGCTTGCATCTGCTGTCACTCGCGTACTTCGCTGTAGGACAGCTGACGGCTCACAAGGTCACCTCTAACGAACCACTTTGTCTTGCTGTTGGCTCCGCTCAGTTGCGCCTCATGTTGACCATTCCCACCCTCCTGCTTTGCTGAGTGCATGCGAATTTTGCTCATGAACTGGGTTGAATATAGATGGTTTCCCCTCATTCAGCTGTTCCTGTCAGTACTGATTTGATAGTACACATCAGCCCGATTCTACTGCTATTTCCCTCAGATCTCATGGCATGGGCATTCACATGGTTCTCTTCCTGCTGAAAGTCTACTATGATCTTTTCAGTTTTTTCATGTTGCAGAGGCTGTAGGAGCACTTATTCTTTCTCTCTGCATATGTGTATTCTGGATTTTAAGTGTGTCACACGGTTGACCATTGTATTTCCTATTCTCAAAAATTACACTTTTCCTTTCATTTGTCCCACTTTTGCTCAGATGAACCTTTGGATCATTTTAATAATTAGAATAATAATTGTAGAGTAGAGCTTTTTAAATTTTAAATCATGTAGAAGCAGCCAATGATGCTATCTAGTCAGCAAAAGAATGACATTATTACTTTAACTCTAGTAACTAACTCTGTCACATTTACCCAGTTTAAAGAGATTTAAATCCACTTTTTTTTTAAACCCTGGGATATGAGTTCCCTTTTAGATATATGGAGAGTTCCTGACTTATGATAATTGATAGTACAATTTTTCAATGTTAAGGTGATGACTCAGAGTTCAAAGATTAAAAGGTAGCACTACCCTTGCAAATGGCTCAGGTTCATCTCTCAGCAAGTGCCTATAAGTTACAGTTCCACAGGATCTGACTGTCCATACCCTTTTCTGGCCTCCATGTGCACCAGTGCACATAAACGCATGCAAGCACACACAGATGGTAGATTCATAGATAGATAGACAGACAGACAGATAGACAGACAGACAGACAGATAGATCTTTCCAGAATCAATGGCGCTTTCTGTAGAGGCCAGAGTTGCAGACCCTGACTAGCCCCACTGAGACTTGGTCCTGTGCCATACTGTGTTGCTTATTCTGCTGCTCAGCAGTCCTGGTGCATCAAATGCCTCTCTGTGCACCATATTTCTAGTTACAGTGGATATTTTGGGATGGATCCCCATTGTCAGTGGAGAGACGTCTGTATAGACCTGAATCCTTATCCTCTCTCTGACTTACTCTCCTTCTCAGATTTCTCTGTACATTATTATTCCTAAAATAAATTTTAACTTTTTTAAAAAAAATTACTTTTGCTGAATTTTCTTAGACCCTCACTCTTTCCTCATCTTCTTGCAAATCTAATTCTTCTCTTCATTGTGTACGGAAATGCATTTCTCTGTGTCTGTGGATATAGAGAAACTCCTTCCTTCTTTCACGTCAACTTAGTCTTTTGTTTTTTTGTTTTTCAAGACAGGGTTGCTCTGGGTAGTCTTGGCTGTCCTGAAACTCACTCTATAGATGAGGCTGGCCTTGAACTCACTGACATTCGCTTGCCTCTGTCTCCCAAGTGCTGAGATTAAAGGCATGCGCCACCATGTACTCCACTTTCAAATAAGGATTTTCTTCACTGAGTTATTTTTCACGAGAGAATGCCTTGCTTGCAGTAGTCAGTCTTTTGTGGCAATTGCTTTTAGATGATGCTCCTTTGCCCTCGCCTTTGATTGGCAGCTCCGGATGTGCTGATCTGGAGCCCCGCGCAGGCTCTTGCACATGGCAGCATCCAGATGCACATCTTTTCCCTCCCTATTCCAATCCTCGGTGCACTCAGCAGCAGGCTGTTTAGCACTGCCCGTCATATTCTGTCTGAGCAGACATCCCTCATCTCTGTGAGACGCACTTTCCATTTCTGCTGCTCAGTCTCTTTATTGATTACAATTAGAACGGGAAATGATGGGGCAGATAGATATCCATGGCCCACTGGAAACTTGAAGTCTTGCCATACATTTTAAATAATTTAAGTAATTCTGGCCAGAGCATAGTTTCCCACTAATGTTATTCTCAGAGGGGTTTTATACAAATTTATTTCATGATTTCTAACCAACTTTAGAATATAAAAATTTCTGTGTAGAAAGTTAATAAAGTAATCTGCATAGTCTTACCGCAGTAGCATGGTGCCCTGGAATGCCAACGAGAGGACTCTCCGCCGTTCTTGACTCCACTGTCCCCCTCCACTGTTTTTCTAGGCTAGAGAGTTCTAGGCTGTCAGACAAGCCATCAATCTTTACCAGAAGTTCATCCAATAGGCTTGAAAATTCATCCAGGTAATAATTCTTAGGGGAAGAAAACGAGATTGGTAAAGGCATACAAGAACGGAAAATTTTTCCTTTTCCCTCATTGTCTGAATTATTTAGTGATGCCAACTTTAGACAGTTTTTCCTGTTGTAAGATATTCTGGACCCAGAAATTAGATTTGGGTGCTGGTGCTTCTTTCTGTCGGCCTCGGTTCCTTCATGTATGGTTTGTGCACACACTGCTTCATTCACAAGTGTTACCGCTAATGACGCTTTGACAAAGGGCCACTGAATGGATCTGAGGCCATAATGCGCATATGACGGGCAGTAAGCCCTATCCAAACACACGGTGCGATGACTGCTTCTCGCGGGCTTCGGAGCTGCACGGAATGCTGTATACACAGCGGTCACGGATGACGGCTGAGAAGTCACTGTGAAAATACCTAGGTTGGACTTGTTTGTATCAGTGTCGGGAGTACCCAACCAGAAGTGTCAAGGGCTCCATGGTTTGGGTAGAAGTTTGGGTCTGATAGCCAGCGCCAAAAGCAAGTGAGTAACTCAAGGAAAACCTGAAGACTCTACGTTTACAATAGCACAGGGTGATTATAGGGATGTAGCGAGCAGCGGCGGAGACCGTGAACCCTGCGAGCTCTTTAGTAGTCCAAGGGGAGCGCCTATGAGATCCACTAGGGTTGAGAACGAATTGTGAGCCTTTGCAGTAATAACTGGTACGGATCCACAGTGGGGCTCTCCTAGCAGAAGGCGAGCCTGCACGGTAGTGTCATCAACCCGAGTGTGTCGCTGCTGCCTGCCCCAAGGTTGCGCAGCTTACCTGATCCGTAGCCACCTCAGTCTCCTCCAGAGTTGTTTCCAGCCCCAGAGTGGTGAGGACTTTATGCCACGCATAAAGAGCCACATTTGTAAGTGTCACGTGAGATTTCCTTTGAGAAGACTTTCTTTTTCGGAAAAAAGTCAGGAGCGAAGCCCTCAGCTGGAAGAGAAAGAGAGAGAGAGAGAGAGAGAGAGAGAGAGAGAGAGAGAGAATTCTGTGTTACCAAGCTATGGAATGACTGTCAATGTGATAAGTTATGAAGTGGACATGACATCCACTGCTGATGCTGAAGGACTTCTCTGGAAGCTTGGCAAAACATAATCAGGAAGACGCCACTCAGGTGCCGAACTTTGGTTTGAGCTCAGCAGTGAAAGCGTATCTTACTGTGAAGCCCACTGCTGTCGTCACACGGCGGTGTTTCTGTGCAGGGCACACCACCTCGGCTGGAGTGTGGGCCGGTGTCTGGGAGACGGAAGGGAACCAGAGACCCAGCAGACTGTTCCGTCCTCATGCGTGCTAATAAGATGAGCCAACACTGTGCCCCAGATATGAGTCCCTAGGCTATTGATTTCCTCACTGCCGAGTGAGACGTGTTAGTTCACATCCCATTTATTTTGGAAAATAGCTCAAACAAGCAAAATTTTGCCATTTAGAGCCTGTCTGCTTTGGATGCCTCAGAGAATCTCCCGGAGAATCTCTCTGTCCATTGAAATGGAGAAGCTGTGCTGACAGGCCCCAGGAGGCTAAAGCTTGCTAACTCACTGACCCAGAGTCTCCTTCCCCTTACTGCTGCTGAGCCACACCCTCGGAGCACATCAGTACCAGTACCCCTCCCTAAGACCTCCCTTCCCCCCTTTCTTCTGGATTTCCATCACATGACTCTGCTACAGCCTGCATGAGTGTGTGTGTGTGGGGGGGGGAGTGCTACAGTGTGAGGGGCTTCTCTTTAAAATGTCCCTGTGTGTCATTGTCTCTCATGGCCACCACTTTGCCCTTGATCGTCCCTTCAACCCTTGGCAGGACTGTGTGACGACACCAAGGGCGGGGAGCACAGTCAGCAGGCAGAGGGACACAGCTTGCCTGCACGTCTGAGGGCTGGCTTCAAACCACAGAAGACAAGAAACTGGTGTGATTATAGGTATTTAATCCCAGCACTCAGGAGGCAGAGGCAGGCAGATCTCTGAGTTCAAGGGCAGCCTGGTCTACAGAACGAGTTCCAGGACAGTCAGGGATACACAGAGAAACCCTGTCTTGAAAACTCTAACCAAACCAGAACAAAATTGGACCTTCTGATGCTTGGTTTTAATTCTAGCACTTGGAAACAAGAGACAGGTGAGTTCCTAGATTTTACTGGTTAGCCCGTATAGCTTACTTGGTAAGTTCTGGGACAATGGGAGGTTTTATCTTATGGGGAAGAAAGGCAGTTTCTGAAAAATGACACTGAGAGTTGTCCTCTGGCTTCCAAATACTCTCTCTCTCTCTCTCTCTCTCTCTCTCTCTCTCTCTCTCTCTCTCTTCTTTGTACTTCTCATGCCCTAGACTGAAAACGGATGGATGGAAAGAGTTAGGTGAGTGGGCCTGTGAGTGTAGTAGTGGGCAAACAGATGGGGGATGGGTGGCAAAGTGGTGGCAAACGGTTGGCTGGGAGGGTAAGTGGTCAGGATGGAGGAAGGAATCAAGCATGGATGGATGAATAGGAAGGAGTGAGCGGGGAATGTGGACCATTGAAAGGAGCTAAGAGCACCAGCCCGAGAGCCGTCAGGGTGTGAGCATACGTAGCCACTTCTAGTCTCACAATCCACCAATGAGCTCATCGGCAGAACTTCCTGAAACAATGAGTTTGAGGTCATTGAGAAAGCCTTGACCAATTCCTTTCACATGTATTGAGCATCAGCATGTGCCGGGAACCACCCTGGGACGGTAGAGCTCTTGGTGTAGCTGCTTCGAATGTGGCTAGAATTCAGAGGGAGACAGAAAAGTCTATCTAGAACCATGACTCAGTGAAGCCGGCTTAGAGGGCAGCCCAGCTGTAAAAGTGCCCTCTTCACAGAGGAGGGATTCAGGGGAGGCAGCCTGAGATCAAGTCGAAGGTGAGAAGAGACGTGAGTCAGCAAGTGGAGGCCAGGAAGGCCGTGTCCTGAGTAGGAGTAGCTGTGGTCTTGCTGGACTGTTCTCAGTGAAGGGAGAATCAAGCTGATTGTGCCCCCAGCCCCGTCTCAGGGCAGTTCAGGTAGATCCTGGGAGCAGGGTCTGTTCCCATGAGATCTGGCCAGTGTGGTCTGGACTTGTCTGTCTATATGGACAGAGATCACTTTGTCCTGATAGCAGATGAAACCTTCATACACTGGGACTTTAAAGTCTAGGCTGCATCGAGGTATCCACGTACCATTCCAAAACACAGAGCGGCCACCAGCAGAAACAGGGCCACGGCTCGACGTCCAGACTCCAAGAGATTGCAAGACTCTTGCAGACTGCAAGAGATTTGGTTTCGTCCCAGAAACTGAAGCAGCAGCTCAGGAAATGCATCTGCAGAGGTGCCGGGTCGTGGCGTCCCAGTGAAGAGCAGAAACCGGCACAAGTGGGAATAGGCAGCCAGCGACAGGGCCCCTAACAGCTGCAGGGAGGAAACCCCAGGATGTTGACTCATCAACTCTCTTTGGGGAAGAGGGCTATTTGGGGACTTCTCAATTATTTTAAGTTGCTAATAGCTGGGAGAAGAGGATTTTGTGCGCAGCCCAAGCCTTTATGGTTTAGGATCTTATCCCAAAGAGGCCAACCTCCACCACAGTTGCCCCACCCAGCTGTCTTTCTGTGTTTCGACCTGTGTCTACACCTTCCGAGCCACCTCGTAGTTCTCAAAAGAGGCCTGTGCTCTCTTCTCTGCCCTCAGAGTTCTTCTAGCCCCATCCCGCCACCCTCCTTCCACTGAAGCTTGGGAGACTGTCTGAAGGCCAGGTCACGGATCACAGACATGGACCATGAGGGCCTGTGATGGACGATCAGCTGTAAAGAGGCTCATCCTTTTAGGCCACCTTGGCTATCAGTGACCCGCCCCTTCAGCCTTTGGCCATGAGCATCTTGCCTACATATGAGACCTCTACTATATGGGACCTACTGTTACTATGAAGGTCTCTTGTCTATATGTGTCTAGCACCCAGCATGGGCTATGTAAGAAGAATCAGAAAGAGCTACTGAGAGCCAAACTGGTTCTGGTTAAGCTTATGGTTTGGCTAATAGAGACAGGGACTTGGCTTGGGGTCTTAGTTGTAGTGTTGGCAGCCCAGTTTGTTTCACGCTGTCTGCTAAAGCCAACCCCGGCCGGGGCTGACACACTTTCTCAGGTGTGGTGTCTGGATGACAGACCGCCATCGTGCTATCTGTCTGGGGAATCACTGGCCTCTATTTGTTTCCCTGGCCCTGAATTCAGAATTCCTTGCCTCTTGCCTGGCACTCACTGAATATCCTGAACTCTGAAGTGGTTTGGCACACATCTCTGTGGGACTGAGAAGGAAGGAAGCAGAGCCTAGGCTGAGCATGGTAGGACATGCCTGCCTTCTCAGTGCTCTGAGCTGGAGGCAGGAGCATCAGGAACTCAAGGTTATCATGGGCTACATAGTAGGTTTAAGACCAGGCTGCGTTACATAAGACCTTGTCTTGAAACAGAATGAAAAAGGGATGGCAACTTTGCCCAGTGGGTAGAGGGAGTTGCTGCCCTTAAAATGTCAGTGCCACTGACAGTATCATAAATGACATTGTTCATTATATCTTGGGCTAATCTTAACATAAAGGCACTTTTATATAGTGCTAAACGGTGTAAATAACAGTTTACTGCTAGGTAGGGATCACATAGATCCATATAATTTCTAAGGCAAGCCACCTTCTTTGGCATACATCAGCCATGTGTTTCCTGGCAGGTTTATTCACTGGCCTCTGGTGGCATCTATGAATTGGGTAGGGGTAGCCTCGGTTGAAATGCAGCTGTCTTAGAGTCAAAGGTATACTCTTTCTGCTCTCATTTGCTGACCTGCTCCTCCAAACACAGGTCCGGCAAAGTCTGGTGTCTATACTTTCTGCAGCAGGAGACTCTTGCCTGGGTCCTTGTGGGTTTGTGTGAGCCCTGGGCCCTGAGAGTCAGAACATCCTCACAGTAGCCACCGGGCCAAGTGGCTCTCTCAGATTTGATAGCAATGCTGTCTGTGGCAGAGGTGTGAACGTGTGCTGCACTAGGCCTGTGGGGCTGGAGTGAGCTCTTCCCCACAGGGACCTGCTCAGGACCAGCAACCAGGAGCATCATCAGGGCCTAAGCTACACTCTAGGCCTGGGCCTAAGCTACACTCTGGGCCTGGTTTGGGCCTCCACTCTCCAGTTAGAATGTTTGGCCCATCTGTGGATGTAGACGTGCCCTGTTCTGGCAATGCCAAGCATTCATGCAAAGGGCTGAGTCCTATATACCCAGGACACTCTTTAGTCCTGATTGGAGTTCCCTTCTGTGTTCTACTGATGCTATGTGGTTCCTCACATGAGGTCAATAACACTAAGTGGATTCTAGTGTGTGAGTGGAGAAGTCTCTGTGTGCAGGACTTGGGTGACAAGTGCATGTAGAAGCAGCCTGCGGCTGCCAAAGCACCTGAAAGTTCCAGTCCCAAGGCAAGTGTCATCCCCTCTCTCAGCGTCTTGTTCCCTCATCTGAGAAAACCACCTTTCCTGCCTGCGGCCCATTGTGCTCGTTAAGCGTGTTCATACCTAAGAGGCTTTCCACAGCACTCCTGACACCTAGGGAGAGATCTGTCGGTGGCAATAACCACAGGAAATAACCATAATACTCTGTGGGAAGGCGTAACACAAACCCATTGTTTAATAAATCTTGACTATTGCTGTCACAAATGCAACATATAATACTGATACCCCTTATCTAAACCCCACCGTAATGGATCAGGAGGCTAGAATCCTGGACAGTGTGCCACCCTGTGAGAAGTTTGCTATTCTCTGACTAGGGTGAACCAATGTGCTGGCTGACTATGGAAATCGCTGGAGAAGAGGAGAGAATTCTTACTGCGGGTGCCAGGGCTCTGGAGAGAGACGAACGCGTCACTGCGGAGAAGGCTGCCCTGGTGCTTAGGAGGCCGAGGAGGTGAGCACATTTCAACATCCAGAGGAACAGCAGGCTTCCCCGGAGCCATCTTACCCTCTAAGAGAAGAACACAGCAGGTCAGTGTGTCCTGCCAAGGACAATAACGAGGTGTAGACACGGGCACACATCTGAGAGCTGTGCTGAAACACAAGTCCATTTAAGGACTTGTTTAGACCACAGGTCTCCCAGAGACACCAGGTCTCCCAGGGACACCAAGCGTCAGGGTTTGCAGAGGAGCACAAGTCAGAAGCAGGAGTCAGGGCCCACTGTACGCCATCTTCAGGAAGCCAGGCTGGTAGAGACAGTGGAGCCGGTCTGGCTGTTTCCCCTCTGAGCCTCAGTACACCGTGCTCAGTAAGGAAATGGCTGTCGCAGCAGTGGAAGGGTGTGTCTCCCTCATCATGCAACATTTTACCAATGCTTGCCTTGAAGATCCTGAAAATTGAATCCTGTCGTAACTAGGAGGGTTCCCACATTACAGCTTTGAAGTCTATGGCTCAAACAAACACAGTGATGGGACAAAAGATGCACAGCAGGGTGACCCAGGGGGCATGCTCAGAGTGCAGATGCAGCACAGGTACCCATAACCCCTGGGCCACTCAAAAGCTGTGCACCTGCTGAAAGCTCGCTGCGAAAGGCCTTTCGGCACATGGATCTGTCTCTCTCCCCAAGAACTCCATGTGGGCAAAGGATCAAGGTTTTCAGGTTGTTTGGGAAATGACCAACAGCCACCTGTGACAGCGGGGGCCCAGGGAAGTTGTGAGGGGCTGGCACACCTGTGGCCCCTTCAAATCAGCAGGACACAGCTGTGCTGGGGAAAAACAGAGACAACTGACACCACATCTGGTACTGGCAAGAAGAGTGACAATGTGGGGCGTGGGCAGGACTGCCCCTTTTCTGGTAGCTGTAGTCTAACAGGTGGAAATGAACGCAGAGACTGACTTTGCATTTTAGTTAGACCGACGCATGTACAATAATAGGTGCATCCCGCACAAATGGAGACGTTTGTATGTTAAATTTATAAAATTCAACAAGTACATCTCAATTTGAGCTGGCCACACGTCATTCTCTATGCTCTCAGGGGTCAGGGACCATGACACTGGAGAGACAGCCATGACCTCTCCACGGACCCCTTTCTTGCCTATATCTGATTGAAAGGATACCAGAAAGCCTCCTTAACTGTTTTCATTATCATATTCATTTATAGGAAGTCTATCATGTGCCAAGAGGGATATGTATGTATAGTCTTCCTTTCTTTCGTCCTTGAAAACCTCTTAAATGTTGTACCATAATCCTACTATATTTAAAATTTGAGGATGCTTACTCATAAGGTTAAAGAAAAGCTGAGGCTAAGTGTGGTGCGCTGCTTGACCAGCAAGGAAGAACGACCACGAAGTCGAGGATCCTTCTCAAATCACACTTTATTGGAGCCTCTTGGTTGAAGGGAGATAGGGGAGCGAGAGGGGCGAAAGCCAAGCGGCAGCTGCTTTTCTAGGGTGGAGGGACTCAGATACTGTCCTGATTGGTGAATACCATTCTGCTGCTGCTCGGGGCCTCGGGATTGACCAGGGACAAGGCTCAACTGTGCAAATGCAGGCAAAGGGTGCTCAGCCCCACGCAGCAACATCAAACAAGGATTTGTTTACCTCCAAGCTGCAGGACCACCTGTGCCATCTTATAATGGCGATTTCTCCAGGTGGCTCCCTACAGCTAAGGCCATAGGTACAGCTTCAAGGCCATCTGAATCAGACGGTGACAGCGTGCTCTGAAGGCCCCCTATCCTTTCATCATAGTTCCTGTCTCAGGTACCTGGCTACAGGACCAAAAGCCATTTCCACTGTTTCAGTGTGTTGTTCAACCTCTTGGGGTACAGGTAGTATCATTTGTGGTGTGGATAAGACACCATTACCTGTTTCACTAGATATTACATCACCCGATGCATGGATGGTTATGCATGGAAGGGCCTGTGGTCCCTTCAAGACTGTGAGACATGGCTGTGCTTGGGAAAAAATGGAGTTGGTTGACACTGTAACCCCCACTGGGTAGGTGAAACACAATGTGAGCTATGGGCTGCATATTTCTGCAAATTTCCTGGTAGTTGTAATTTAACATGTGATAGTAAGCTGAGAAATTTACATAGTGTTTTATTTAGATCAACCTTTGTAAAATAATATTATGTTCAGAGTAAAATGGAAATATTTGCATACCAAACTTCTAAACTCCTTTCCAGTTTGTTAGGCTAAGCCTGGTGGAGAGGAGAGTTAGAGCACTCAGCTCTGAGCAGCTTGAGCTGTACCCCAGGCACTGGCTGGTGAAAATAAAGAACTTTCTAACGATGGCACAGATAATGCAGGAGTAGACAGCCGATGCAAGTGTGGGGCAGGATGAGGCTTTACCAGGTCAGCTCTTCCTCAAGAGCTAAAGGAAAGCCCAGAGATTGACACCAGGCTATAATAGAATCCCCAGGGAAGAGGGAATCATTCCAGGCGAGATTCTGGCAACAGTAAACACAACCAGAAAGATAGCACGCTCCAGGAAAGAGGCTGTGAAAGGGGAACCCATTTTGGGGGCCCAGTGCTTACTGAGAATGTCCTGACAGACTCTTACTTCTCCTCACTACACCCCAGTGAGAAGAGCATCCTATAAAGGGTCTCAGGAAAAGAACTTTGGCAGGATGGAGTTGGAATCCAGGCTGATGCATAGCTGTGGTTGTAGGGTAGAACAGATGTGTAGGGTAGAACAGATAGAAAGTGAGCTGAACCCCTGCCCTGGTAGAAAATGTGGTGACGAATACAGACACACGAGAAAGGTAGACCAGAAGGCCTAGCGACGAGGAGACAGTGAGGCCAACAGTGGAACTGAGAGTCTTCATCTGTCTGGGGAATACTACTGAACAAGCTGATAAACTCCTTTTCAGAGCTTTGGGCCTCTTGGTGTGTGAGACAACCAAGTCGTACTGTAACACACACATCTTGGTAGGTGCTAAATGCTTGCAAGAAGGTCCTGGGGTGGCCATGACTGACCCAGATCTTCTTTAACTGCTCATATTCCTCAGAATAACAGAGGCAAAGAACAAAACAAACAGAAGGCCCTTGGGATCGCCTGAGGTGTTCATTACCCACAACTGGGAGGACCTGGAGCGCAGCGTCCTGGTGTTCTACATTCTGGGGGATCCATGAGGTATTAGGATAGTGTATCTTAAGATCTGTTTTAGGGCAGAAAGGAGCAGAGCTTACTGCCTGTGTGGATAAAAAGAAGATGTTTTTTCTGACATCTGTGACTGGTATCAAGACTCCTACAAGTGGTAGCAATTATATTTCAAAGTGCAGAAGTGTCTGGAATCCTGCTCCTGATATTTAGCATAGAAATGGCTTATGGCGCCCTCCATGAAGCGAGTCCCCGCTGGGATGAGCAATGCGCACAAAGCATGTGCTTCACAGTACCATGGGGGTGGTGAGCAGGAATGAGAGGAGACAGGCTCAGTAAGGAAGGTCAGTTGCTCTGATGCAAAGACAATGTCTACTTCGTTTATGCCTCGTTTTGAGATCCATAAGTGCCCGTGGAGCTCAACACTCAGGGGTAGGAAGTATAGCTTCAGGGTTTCCCTCATGCAAGGGCTCTCTTCTTAGTCTTGGAGGGCCGAGGACTAACTCATAAAGTCGCAGCATCTAGTGACATCTGCTAAAGGAAGATGGTTCTTGTCCTCCAGGAAGAAACCCAGACTGTCCTCTGCTTGGGATCCTTCAAGACACCGCCCTCAGGCTGATGAGTCTCTGGTTCCTCCACAGCTGAGTCACTCTGGCTATAGGAAGGTCCTGACACCATCTGGGTCTCAGTTTCCCTAGCTGTAGTAATTGTCTCAGGAACACCCTGTGTTTCTGCTCCACAGTTTGCCCAGAATGTAGATGGTGAGAAAGCAGAGACAAGATGGGAGAAGGTTGATATACCCTCCGGGGAGACAACAGTGGTACCACTTATCCAGGAAAGGAAGACTGGAGCTGTGGTGGAGGACAACCGCCATCCTTGTGCCCTCTAAGGCTCTCTAACTCAGCAGGAAAGAAAGCTGGCCCCGGGGTACATCAAAGAAGAGCCAGAGGAAAGTTATAGAGAGAAGGTGCAACAGGGAGCATTGAAGTTGGAGGGGAACCAGTCCCCGCTCTTTTCAGGTTGTTCTGGGAGCATCTTGTCCAGGGTACGAAGGTACCCTAGGTACAGGATAACTCTGGGGCATTGACAGCCCTCAAGGCAGGTAGAAAAGAGACATAAAGAATCTGTGGGTAGGTAGAGGTGTTAGCCGTGGCTACAGCACAACAGGATGGGAATACAGATTCAGTTTGCATATACCCACTGTGTCATGAGGCCGTGGACTACCAGGGAGCCCAGCTGCTTGTGATGGGATTCCCTGACATACGGGGCCTTATGAGATCCATCCTGCATATTCTACCTGGTCCTCTTGGTAGAGGTCCCATTCTACAGTTGGAAGCGTAGAGAATAGAGAGAGAGAAGGACTTAAAGGTGATGTTTCTCTCTTTCATGACCTCAAGTCTTTCTCTGAGTCTCAGGCTTATGACTTATTGAAAATACGTGCATCTAAGACCATTGCCAGATGGAAGGGAAGACAGGCATGATGTCTAAGCATGTTAGTGCCAGCCTCCTTACTGTAGACTATGCTGACTGACACCTGCTTCTGTATGCTGCTGCAAGTTCACTGGCATCCCTGGCTCTTGAGTTCTGCTCTACATAGCATGTGTGGATGCTCAGCTAGTGGGCACACGTGAAATTCTCCAAATCCCTCAATGCTTCAAGTGCCATCTGTGAGCTCATAGCATTAACCTTCAAGAGAACAAATCATCACACTGAACCTTCTAATCCTTGTGTGACAGACGTCATTGAGCAACATCAGTTGTGGCTTCTTTTGGGTAGCCTTGAGTCCCCTAGTATACCTGATTCCATGACACCATCAGACTTAGGTCCACAAACATCTGGTGAAGTCCTTTGTGGAACTGGTCAGTGACATTCTCGGCAAGGGTAGTGAGGTGGCCAGAGGCCGCATGGTAGGCCAGGGCTACTCCAACCGTAGAGAGCTGCAACACAGGGGAGAAAGGTCTCTTAGTCGACTGAGGGAGGACTCAGTTGGCATCCCTGACTCTCTGGTGACAAGGTGCCCATCAAACATCAAGTCAGTGGTTGAGGAGCTAACTCAGAGAGTGAAGTGGATGCATGAGGATGCGAACACAATGTCCAGAGCCTGTGTAAAAATGCCAGTCACGTTGGCACGTGTTTGGAATCCCCATGTGGGGGAGACAGAGGTGGGTGGATTTCTGGGGCTCTCCAACTAGCTCGCCTCATCCATTTGATGATTTCCAGGCCAGTTAGAGACACTGTCTTAAAAAGGGAGATCGATGGTATCCGAGAAATGACACCCAGGGCTGGCCTCCACATGTTTATATACCCAAACACACATGACCATGAACACACACACACACACACACACACACACACACACACCACTACCATCAGACACCAAGGGAACCTGATTTCAAATGCTATTCTGCCTCTCTACACTATAGTGGGGAACCACAGTGACTTCGGAAGTAGTATCTATACGACTTTCTGATAAAAATATTTTCCCTTTCCGATAAAAATGCTTTAGCGTCACTAATCTACATAAAGAAGACTACATCAGAGAGGTTACCTCCAGCCAGTGTCTCGGTTTTCTCCAGTAGCTGAGGACGCCCTTGGTGGCCATTCCCCAGAGCTGGAAACAGAGGTGGGTCACGTTGAGGACTAGGAACGCCAGCTGGGAGGGGCCGAAAATAAGTGAGACAAACGAAGGGTCAGCTAAGTAGATTTTTTTTAAGGTCTAGACTTCTGCCCGGTTCCGTCGCCCACCTCTGCTTCCATAAACATGGTACAAATCTCTCCCTCTTGGCAGCATTTGATAACAAACTAGCCTTCAGTAGGCACCTGGGCAGCTCGGTATCCCTTCACACCAAGCGTTCCCAGAGACCCAGTTCCATGTGCAGTATTAAGATGTGCTATTAACCCTGAGACATAAGACATAGGGGTGTCCACAGCCACTGCCGGCTCATCATGCCAGCCTGCCATTTATTCACCAGTTTGCAGGAAACTGAAACCCATCATCAGGGGATTTCTCCATCCTCTTTGAGAGCCATGGGCGCTGTGCCTTTGTGGGGCCCACTCCAAGAAATGGCAAATGAAATCAGAGCCAAGTTGGCTTTGCATCCTAAGGGAAGGTGTGAAACAGCGACACTGTAGCAGGAACACTAGTGACTGCCTCTGCACTAGAGTGGGAACCACGGGGGTGTGGGAGCAGCATTGATAAGACTCCTGAGAAAAGGGCCTTTCCTTTCAGATAAAAATACTTTAGTGCCATTGTTCTACATAATGAAGACAACACCAGGAGGCTACCTCCAACCAGTGTCCATGCGCTCTGTAGTGTAGAGCCCAAAGAAGGGACAGGAAACTGACCTGGGTTTGTTGTTGTCCTCCCTCCCCCCCCCCGAGACAGAGTTTCTCTGTAGCTTTGGAGCCTGTCCCGGCACTAGCTCTGTAGACTAGGCTAGCCTCTAACTCACAGAGATCTGCCTGCCTCTGCTTCCTGAGTGCTGGGATTAAAGGCATGTGCCATCACTGCCCGGCTCTGACCTGATTTTTTAAACTCTTGATATTTTGCCCAATATGGCTTTATTTTTTTTTCCTGCATGAATTCTGATATTTTAAGATATCACACTAGCGTACTATTTACCTTGTTTTCTGATTATCTTTTCTTTTTTAGTGCCTAAGGCAAGAGCCTCTCCTGCCCCACCCCTTCCCAGAAGTCTCCACGTGTGCTGCATGCTTCTCCTCCATTCCAGGCTCAGTGGCGATCTCTAACAGTCCCTAGCGTCTACGGCCACAGCACCCTGAATGCGCCCAATCTTGTCTGATCTAACAGTCCCTAGACTCCATCCAAAGCCAAGTAGACTTGACTTGCCCATCAGCAGAACATGGCTCCTTCAGAGAGAAATAAGGAATAAGAAGATACAAAGCCAGAGGCACACCATGCAGGGTGGCTGCTGAGGCTTTTGGCTGGTCAGTGAAGCAATGTGAGCCACTGACTCCTGATGTTACGAACGTGTGGGGGGGGGGCAGATATCCCCAAATCAATTTTTTGGAGCTCCAAACCCCATAATGTCTCTCTTTGGAGGCAGGCCTCAATGGAAGGAGTTAAGGCCAAGTGCAGGCATGAGGTGGGGCCCTGTTTCTATAATACTGGGGTCTATACACACATCGAGGCCCAAAGCACACATCCTTTCCCTTTGTTCATTGGTGCAGAGATAGAGCCAGGCTGCCTGACACAGCGAGAAGACAGCATCCCCCACCAAGGAGGGGTCTTCACTACAGCCCAGCATTCCCAGCACCTTCATCTTGGGGTTCTAGCTTCCAGATCTTTCTTAAATAGATGTCTATTACTTAAGCCACCCAGGCATTGAATAGTAGGTAGTCTTATTCACCTGACAGGGATACGTGGCAGTCCCCAGTGGCTATCTGAAATTTCAGTAGTGACAAACCCTATTTATAAATACATAGCTAGCCATGATAAAGTTTAATTTCTAAATCTGGCATAGTAACTGATTAACAGCAATAACCAATAATAAAATAGAACAATCATAACAACATTCTGTAATTACACCATAATATACTGTAAGGCTGATTTTAAAAATGTAGACATCGTTTACTTCTGGAATATTCTGCTACATATTTTTATGTCATGATTGACTGTAGAAAGTTAAATGTTGGACAGTGAGGGATGACGGCATTTTGTTATGGTAGCTGGGGCTAAGACTCCACATTGAAGCCGGGTGGTGGTAGTGCATGCCTTTAAACCCAGCACTTGGGAGGCAGAGGTAGACGGATCGCTGTGAGTTCATGGCCAACCTGGTCTATAAGAGCTAGTTCCAGGACAAACTCCAAAGCTACAGAGAAAGAGAAACCCTATCTCGAAAAAAAAAAAAAAAAAGACTCCTCATTGAATTTAGTACATTGAGGCAGGTTGAGTATTTGCTCTCATTTTATGTGTGGTGGTTGGGTTCCCCACTGGGGATGTTCTTTGTCTCCAGTCCCAATACTTCTTCTATGATACTACATAAAAGGGATGTAATAATAATTGTGTGGGTAGGTCAATGGGAAGGCCCTAGCTTCATGGGGGTAGAAGGTATTCAACCTACAGAGGCATTTAGCCATGTGAAGCCCCAGCTCCCTGTGCCTACCCAGGAGACCCAGGGCAGGTGGACTCACCTCAGAAAGCATAAGAAGGTAGCGTGGGGCTGAGTCACCGTAGATGCTGATTGACTCGACCAGGGATGAGGGGACAAGACCTCCCGTGGGGAGAAGCTCTGCACCTAGGGTCACACTGGTGAAGAGGCGCGTGGGAGGGTTGTAGAGAGTGAAGTGCACAGACACGGCCCTGGTGCTGTGATCCACCCACCTGCTGGTCCTGAGAGCAGTCAGGGCTGCGTGGATGTCATGCCTGGAAAACAGCCCAGGTTCAGAGGGAGGGCAGAAAACAAGACTTAGGAGCCCAGGAAAATTCCACTGTGGCACCGTGCCCAATACACCCAGTGCAAGCCTTCCCGGGGACAGATGATCCCCAGGCTTCTGATTACTGCACAGGCAGTCCTCCTGGGAGCTAGGGTCCCCACCAGGAGCCCACTGTCCCTCTTTCCCTCCTTGTCCCTGCAGGAAAGATGCAACTGCAGCCAAAAGATGGTGTCCACCCTCACCTGTGCCCCGTGAGGGAGAGAAGCCCAGCCGCCCTCCCCAAGGGCTGGTAAGTAGTCACATCCTTCTCTTCACTGTGGACTGCGTGGATAGAAAGTAACCACACTGTACTAATTCATATTTAGTAGCAAATCATGTCCTGTTTTTTTAATTCCTCTGGGCACACTACTTTGACAGCACAGACTGATTTCCTATGCAAAGCCCCATTCTGTGGTGAAGGCCTAGTGTATCCTGCTGAACTGGCAGGGCGCCTGACTATAGGCTGAGCTACCAGAAGGATGGTGTACGCGTGCTGTATCCATACACACCCGAATACCCACTCCTCATGTGCTCCAGTGCAGTTCAAGGCAGCGTCTGTGTTCCTCTAGGAGTCAGGGGAGGAATAATCCAGGCCGTGCGAGCCCCACTTGTCTCACAGTGAGCAAAGGACAGAGATTCACCTGACTCCAAGACTCCGCAGGCTCTGGCAGCCACTTTTAAAGAATGTCCCGTTCTGTCCTCCTCTATGTACTTGGGGTCTGAACCGGAGTCCGAGTTCTTCCACACCATTGTTCCCAAGCAGAACACTGCTCAGGACTGAGCAGCGCTGGCCCTTTCCTTGCCTGCCCAGAAGCTAAGCTGCAGCAGAAATGCCTCAGCAAGCAACATGGGGCCCAGGAGCATCTTCCTGAGGCTCGCTCACCTTGTTCTTCCTAGGCTGTACACCGAGCTCTTCTTCATCGCCCCACAGGCCTCAGGACCACTAGGGGTCACTTTTAGGTTCGCAAGGTCAAGGTCGTGACTCTGTGTAGGTGGTGCATCTTCCGCGGGCTCTGAGACTGGCCTGGGAAGCTAGAGCACAAACTACCCATCAAGTAACCCTGACTGATCCCTATCCCTAAGTCCATCGGCATTGTGGGGCTTCCAAGCTCTGCCACACAAAGTAGAGCAGAGGCTCTGTGACCAGGGACCCCACTACTCTCGAGAACCATTCTCAAGCCTACTTGTTGATCTCAGCTTTGTCTCAAGCTACAAGGATCAGGGCTATGCCTGCTGAAGGCTGCAGCTGAGGAGTTGGATGTGTGGGGCTGGCCAACCTGCAGGACATTGCCTTATGGAGTGATGCTGTCTCTGGGTACCCTTCTCCATCAGAAAATGATGCAAGAATATTCTAGTTTCAGTTTTAGAAGAAAGAGCCTTCTTTTGCCTAGCGTGGCAACTCTAGAAGTGAAGAGAACCCTTCTGGAGCAGAAGGCAAAGGGTACAAGAGGGCTCTTGGAAAGGGCAGAAGGAGTAGGCCCTGGCACCTGGAACTGTCACACTGCCTCCCAGCTGTCTGGGGAGCTTAACTGATGTGCCGGCCTGAGTCTCCCAGTGCACTTACCGCGCATGCAGTACCAGAAGAAACCATGAGCTGTTTGATCACCGCAGGGCCTATGAGGTGGCACTGCCCTCCGAGAGCTCCAGGCTGAAACAGGGGGAGACTCAGAGTATAAGAATATTGTGAACTTCAATGGCCGCAGTACGGAATCACTGACAAGGCTGTGGAAGCCCAGGTCACCGCATCTGCAGAATCAGAAGTTCACTCTCCTGAAACCCCAAGGATACAACCAGTACTCCAGAAACTAGCCTTCTGCAGATGCAGCCCACACACCCTCCTCAGCATCTGCAGGAAAAAAGAAAGCATTTAAATGCCTTCCCTTGAAGTCCCCCCTCCCACCATGCGAATGACCCCAGGCATCTCCATGACATTCATGGAATACAAGAAAATGAAACGAAGGACAAAATGTTTGAGAAATGCAGGACAAAGACCTTAAATTTTTCAAAAAGGGGAGAAAGTAAACTACGAATGAGGGTTAGGACAGCACAAACTCAGGAGCAGCCTTGCTTCCTGTCTGGAAGCTTCCTTGATGCTGCTGCCTTAGGCATGGGCTCCTCTTCTGCTCTGGAGACTCCTGAGCCCTTGCCATGCAGGCAGAAGGTTAACTTCTTCTTTAGTCTCACCCTGAACCTCTGTTAAAGTGTCCGGGTCCGGCTTGGACTGGCAAGCGTTGACTGGGGGTGTGAATAGCTTAGGAGGTCGACATGGGAGAAGAACACAGACTCCAGGCAAGGAGACTAACAGGTTTCTTTGTCATGATGCCAATGAGAAGGCCCTTCACCGCCTTGTAGTCCCCCTTACTGGTGTATGGCTTCCGTTAGGCAGGAAATGAACGCATGCCCACCTGAGTCCCCCGGGACCCAACAGAGGGTCCTTCTGGGTGCAGCCCGTCCAGCAATATGCTCAGAGTCCAGTCCCACCAGTCGTCCGTGCTGTTCAGGTCCCCAAACGAGCGTCTGGCATTTCTTAATCCAAGAACAAAACAAAAAGTGTGCAGGAACCCATAAGAACCATTACAAGTAGGTCGCTTTTTTCCTGCCATTTTTTTTTCTCCCACTCACATTCTAGGTATTCTGTGAGAATTAAGACAAAGCAAACTGCAGTATGAGGTACAACCCCAGAATTCACTTTGCTCCTCAGTGGCAGAGGGGAGAGAAACAGTAGGAAAAAAAACTTATTTATTACTGGCTCCTTCGTTCAACAAAAGTCACTGTGTAACTGCTAAGTACCAGGCACTCTTCAAGACACTGGGAGACAAGATCAAATTCCTGTCCAGCTGTGGGGAAACAAACACATTATGCACATATGTATGTATGCATGCATGCATGTATCTGCAGCCTATAATCAAAGAGTTTCAACTGATAATAGTTTAGCTTTAGGGTGGTACAAAATTTCACCCGCCAACTCTTCTGTGTTTCTTTTTTAGCACGGTATCCAATTCCATGAAACATTCAACACTTGGTAATGAAGTAGGCATTGCCTTAGCTGAGGTCCCCAGCTGTGGGCAGATGGAGTGTCCTGAGGACTTTTGGAGGAGGTCAGCTGAGCTAAGGTCCAGGATCCAGGGACAGTTAGCTGAGTTAAGAGCCAGGGAAGGTTAACTGAGCTACAGAGAACCGGTCACTTGAGCCAGTGTGCTCCAGGTAGAAAGCCACTGCAGATGTCTCTTAGCCCCATGTTCAGGGACATGCCCTTCATCACACGAGGAGACCCACCGCAGCAGCATCCACACCACAGAGGAGGCTGATGCTTCCTGCCAGAGCCTCGGCCTGGGTGTGGGCGGGGACTCCTTAAGGGTGGCTTTGGGATGTGACAGAAAGATAAAAATGCTGTAACACCTTACAGACCATGTGAAAAAAGCTGGACAGTTTAACCAAAAAGAAACCAAGGGTAAGGAAAAGCCTTCAAATTTGTTAATAGAAAGAAAGAAATACCTCCATCAGTAGTTCATATATACTGTAAATCTGGTCAACATTGCCATAGCCAGGAGCCACTGATCTGACTCCTTTTAGTTACTCCTTCCTTCCTTCCTTCCTTCCTTCCTTCCTTCCTTCACTCCCTCCTTCCCTCCCTCCTTCCTTCCCTCCTTCCTTCCCTCCTTCCTTCTTTCCTCCTCCTCTTCTTCAAAATTCTTATTTATGCCCCCCCTCCTCGTGTGTGTGTGTGTGTGTGTGTGTGTGTGTGCGCGCACACACACACATGCATGCATGCTCACACACACAGGCAACTGCAGAGGCCAAATGTAACTCCAGTTGGAACCTCTGCAACTGAAGGTACAGGCAGTTGTGAGCTGCTGAACATGGATGCTGGGAACCGAACCTGGGTCCTCCGGAAGAGAACTACACATTCTTAACCACTGGTTAAGAATGCTCCTGCTCTAGCTCCCCTTTCTTGAGTAGAGATCATTTCCCACCCATTCAGGTTGTTTTGCACCTTTGGAGCCTAATCTATGTAGGCCCCCTACTAACTGCTAGCTCTCAATCTCACGCTTCTCTGAAAATTTGGCCAAATGTCTTGTTCAATTCTGAGCGAGTGGGAGAGCTGCAGAGATACCCAGAGGCTGCAATGGGGAAACAACGCATTGCCCAGCAAGGAGGATCGAAAGGGCCAGAGTCGGGGTAGGGGCACAGATAAAGCAGATAAAGCTCTGAAAATATTTACAAACTTTGGGCACGAGCACTATGCAAATAGAAGGTGGAAGAGCTGGAGGCAGGGAGGGCTATTCGGCAGACAAGCTGATTGCATACCTGTCACTTAGTATGCTCCATATCTGTTCTAGAAAACAAACCAGTGAACAGTTCTTAGCCATGCTGAGTTTTCACAATACTTAAAACTTTTAAAATTTGATTTACTTTTACATGTATGGGTGTTTTCCTTGCATACATGTCTGTGTACCACAGGTGTGCCTGGTACCTTTGGAGGCCAGAAGGGGGCACTGGGTTCCCTAGGACTAGAGCTACAGATGGTTGTCAGCAGCCATATGGGTATAAGAAACAGAACCAGAGTCCTCTGGAAGGGAAGTCGTACCCTTAACCGCTGAGCCATCTCTCCAGTTCCGTATAATACTTTTGGAGGTTGCTGAGAAATCAACCCTAATGCAGCTTTGCCCATACTAAGCTTGTAATCTATGGCTTAACTGCACCCCTAGTCCAAGTTTGCAAAGTTCAGAGAAATGTCACTTCCTGAGACTTGCTTCCTGTTGGGAAATCATTCAAGAAACACCTGTATGGTGACCCCGTGTTCACACATCCCCAGCCACAGGAATCCTCTCCTGCTCATCCCAGGCACTCTGGAGAACAGGAGGTGAACGGAAGGATCCAAGCATGCCCTGGTTCTGTGTGTACTAATTACAGCGATTCTACCAAATGGGCCCACAGCAACAGTGCAGAGTAGGGAAAGACAGGAGCAATCATCTCCGAGCCAGCGCCCTGGGATGGAGCCCCCACTTGGCTTCGGTTACCGCAGCCTTGCTTGTGGCTTAGCTTTGTTTTGTTGACTTGGGATTTCATGAAGATTTTGAGTTCAGAAGCACTTCAAATACAGATTAAATGCCTCACAACCTGCTATTAGAGTAATATTTTGTTGCTATTGAAGACAGAAATCTAGACTGCCATCTTCCGAGTTTTATGGAGGAGGACACTGCACTCCGGAGCCAAAGGACTGCTTGCTACAGGGAGCCAAGAGAGCGCTCACTGGATTCCACAGGATTCACTTCTCCTGCCCTTGGTCCCCTGCTCTCTCTGGAATGCTACAAATAACAGCCTCTCTGGACTTGTTGATTTTTAGGATTAGGTACTGGGGGATGGGTGAGGCAGACAGGGTCCACTTTAAACATTCCATTTTGCACCAGGATGTATAAATATGGCCCTGCTCCTGACCAGAGCTGCAAGAGGCAGTGAGGTTTCCCTTCGTTCTGGGAAGCAGAAGGCGTTGAAGCCCACCTGGGTCAACATCTCAGCGGTTTTACCTAAGTCTATCAGGCCCAAGAGCACACAGAAATGTTACAGCTTATTCCTTCAGCTGGAATATTTCTGAACAGACTATCAGGAGGCATATGAAAAGTATTGAGTAAAAAGGAAATCAGGAAATGTGAGCTAGAAGTCAATTAGCCAAATCAGTGTTCCTAGTGTTTTGATTTCCAGGTCTACAGAAAATGCCCGTCAGGGTCTCTTTGTTTTGCTCACAGCGCCCCCTCCTGGCAAATCTATGCATCTGTTCAGTGGGAAGGAACTAAATTGTCAAAGTGGAAGGTAACTGTGTCCCTGCCAAATGGGGCACAGAAAATTCCGTGCGGCTTCCCCAGAGCTGCAGCAGTAAGAGGCGGGATTACTGAGCCATGGCAAATCCAAGGACTGAGACTTCCAGGCTGTACCCTGTTAAAAAGCAATAAAATTATAAAAATAAAGGAAATAGCATCTGCGAGTCACCATGTAACAGGGGATCCGTGTTCCCGTCTTACAGAATCTAAAAATATGTCCTTAAATCAAAAGAATGACATGGATTTTATTACCATCCTCTCCTGCCGCAAAAGATGACAAATATATTTATTTAAAAATGAATGAAAAATCAAAAAATTCATAAGAATGCTACAGAATGGGCATTAAAATATTCTCTACAGAAAGAAAAAGGAAATCCCTGAACTTAGGGAGTTGTTATACTCCCTGTCACTAGAAAGTAAATCATTATAATTCATATCTCTAGAGTCAAAGTGCCTTGGAGAAATTGCCTGGGTTAGCAAAATTCACTGGCAAAGGAATGTTCTACTAAGCGTGTCCACTCATCACCGTGGACATCCTAATCTCAGGAGTGTCAAGATCCCAACAATATCCACATGGCAGATGCCGTGAGAGTGTGCCTCGGCCTTGGGCTGCCCGCTTGGTCAGTGTTTACTTGTGATAGGAGTCTGTTGCACTAAAAGTAAAAAAGCAAATGAACACTTGAGACATGGTAGAGAACTTGACAGAGCTTGGCACTTTGAAATTGGATGTCACAAACCATAAATTGTGACTGCAGCCTTTGGTTAAAGAATACTGATGTTTTTCTACAAAATAGATGGTATGACCCTCTTGTTCTGAGAATTTCTTTCTCTATTGACCCCAAATAAGATGCCAAGCACCTGCCCAGAGTCTGCAATTGGAGCCTTCTATTAACATGGGTAATTAGACAAACTTTCCCAGACTTCATATGCAGGCTGCGATGAAGACCTTTCTCTAAGAGCAGCCTGTATAGGTAAAATGACTGAAGGAGTGGGTAGGTGGTCTGTAGGGCTCCCCATTCCAGAACAAAGTAAAGGAAACAGTTTCTGGAACCCAGAGCTTGGAGTTGTCTTTGGGTGTGAGTACACTGACTATGAACTAGTGCAAGCCCATCGACCCCCAGATCTGCAAGAGCCACCCGAACTAGTGCAACGCCCCCAGATCTGCAAGAGCCCCCTAAATTAGTACAACCCCCAGATCTGCAAGAGCCCGTCAAACTAGTGCAACCACCCCCAGATCGGCAAGAGTCCCCCCAAACTAGTGCAAGACCCCCCAGATTTGCAAGAGCCCCCAGAACCTCCTACCTTGTAAATCCCTTCCTGATGGCTTGGTTGAGAGAATATTCTCCTGGGCAGACTCTCCCATACGTTATAAACAAAAGCAGCAGCAGCATGAGACTGTGCGTGGAAATGCCTCTGGGAGCAGAGATTGGAGAGTTAGCATCCTTGGGGACACTCTGCGTCTACACACCTGTTTCCCTCGCAGAATGTGTTTTAGGGAGCAGGACATCTATGTCCCTGTTGGGATGTAGTAGTATAAGGCATAGGATGGATTAAAGTTTTTACTCTTTGTCTTTTAAAAAGAATCACTCCCCCATTTTTATTAATTCTTGGGGAACTTCACACAGTGCTCTTTCCTCACCCAACTCCTCTTAGGTCCACCAACCTTCCCTATCCATCCAGCCTGTGTCTTCATTTTTATGTAACTCATCAAATACAATCAGTGCTGTCCTTATACTCTGAACCGTGTGACCTACCATTGGAACTGGTCCACCTACCTAGGCCATACCCTTAAAAAGAGAAAAGAAAAAAAAAAGAAAGAAAAACAAAAACAAAAACTGGTTCTCCTCCCACCATATAACAGTTGCCAATAGCTCCTTAGCTAGAGGTGGGATTTCAACACCCCGTGTCGGTTTTGTTCTTTTGTTTTTATCAATATTCAGCTTTCTTAGGTCCATTTTTGAAATGACTACTTGTTCATTGAATTGTCTTTATGTTTTTGTCAATAAACGTGCTTGGGCCTATTTGTGCGATTGTTTCTGGGCTCTCTCTTCTGTTCCATTGATCCAGGTATCTATTTCATTGGTCTTTGACTACTGTTTTGTCCAACAACACACAGCCATTTTGCAGTCCTATCGGATATATTAGAATTGCACAAAGTCATCCCTCTAACGTCATTTTTTTCAGCATAACTTTTGTTACTCTAGCTCTTTTGTTCCCTTATTCATTTTGGAACCAGTTTGTTGACATTAGTATTGCATAGCCTAAGGTATTTGGATTGTGAGCGTCCTGAATGTGCAGATCAACTTGGAGCACATGGATGCACTGCCCTCTGCGGGTTGATGTGCGTAGTGTCTTCTTTCTTTAGTCTTGTTTTATTCAGTACAGTTTTGTGGGTTTGGGCTTACAGAACGCAAATGCCTGCTTACATTTCCATTTGCACACTTGGATTTCTTAGCGCTAGAGTAAAAGGCCCTGTCCTTAGGTTCAAGTATTCCTCGCTGCAGGCATGTAGCAGAATAACTACTTTATACCAAGTGAGTGTATGTGTGCAGGCTTTCACGTGTGTAGGTGCACATGTGTGTGTAAGCCAGGAGACAACTTCGGGTGTTGCTTCTCATGAGCTGTCCACTTGATTTTTAAGATAGGGCTTCTCCCCAGAGCTTGGGAGCTTGTGACTCACTGATTCTGCTCTACTGGTCAGACAGGGATTCTCCTGTCTCCACTTCCCCAGTGCTGGGATTTCAAGTGTGTTCCTGGCTTTAACATGGGCCCTGGGGATGCAACTCAGGTCCTCATGCTCATACACAGAACACTTTACAGACAGAACTCTCCACTTCCTTAGCCCCCAGTTGATTTTTAACACTGACCATTATCTTAGAAGCATGTGCCTTTTTTGCTGTCTGCCAGTAGGCTCTTTGCTGGTTTTCTTACCATCACTGATCTTCCCTCCAACCTCACCCTCATTTCACTGGTCCATATTTCCACCCTGATGTTCAATAGAAAGGATGAAAGGGTCATCTCCACCATGTTTCTGATCCCAGAGTATTTCATGGGTAAATTTGCCAGTTAGGTGACATCGGCCCCCTTTATTTGTTTATGAAAACTCCCGTATTTCAAGTTGGCGAGCTTTTCCTATGTCTTTCATGAAGGAATGCTTGATCTGTCACACACATTTTGTGCATCTGTTGAGACAGCCATGGTTTTCCCTGCTTATGTGTAATGTGATAAAAATCATCGGCCACTTTTCAGCTCAGGTCTCCGTCAAACCGTAGCTTCATTTCTTTGCAACTGCTTTGCAAAGTACTTGTTGAGCAAACCAGTTCTCTGTGCCAGTTTGCCTCCCCTTGTCATTATTCATTGAGATCTAAGTGGAGACCACAGGCTACCAAAGAGGAAAACCAGAGGAAGGATTCTCCTCTCTTTGTGTGTTAACGGCTGTTCATGTGCAGAGCCTACATTCATCAGTCTACAAGTCGCAAAAACGTTCAGGCTCTAAGTCTGCCATTTGCTTCCCTGAGCCCGGATGATCCACCTCTCCGAAGAGAACATCCGTCCCCTGCTGCACGCTTCCCAGAGTAGAGTTTTGATTAGGGAAGGCAGTATGGATAATTTTTTCCCCTCATATTTAAGAAACTGGTTTCTGAGCACCTCTTTCTTAGTTTGGTCCCACTCTAAACCTATGGCATTAAATATATTTCGGGAGCTTCAGTTCATACAAGTGTTGCTTTGAGTTGATGCCAAGTCGCCCCTTCTTTGACAGACACAGGCATCTTCCTGTGGCTGCCTACTCCCAAGCGATGGCTACTCCTTCTCAATTGCTTCCTTGGTTCAGAAGTGCTCTGAGCGCACATGTATATTTTTGGCCATAGATAGACCTCTAACCAGGAGCCAGGTTGTTTCTGGTTGTTCTTTAAATGGACACAATTAGAAAAATAGCACTTTTCCTTTTTTTAAAAAAAAATAAATTCTCCGTTATTTCATCCATAAACCCTTTAATTCCTGCTGAAGCCCCCAGGACTTCGCTATTTTTGAATTGGAATCCATGTTCCCGTGCTCTCACAAACCATAAACAGTTCTTTTCGAGGACAGCAGCACCATCCAGCTGCTCACGTGCGCAGTGAACCGTTAACCTGCAGGAAGGCCCTGGTGTTCTGCCGACGACACCGTCTGGGGGCTGATGTGCCTCACTGGTTGCAGTCTGCATCTGAATCTTCCAGGATTATTTCTTAACTTTCCCAAGTGTTTTATGCACTTCTTGTTAAGGTCACACCACCACATACCTGTCTTTTGCTGTGCCGAACAGTCTAGTGTTGTGTTTCTTCTGACTTAACTCAACATGCAAAGGACAATGGTTCTTGATGCTTAACTTTGCTATTCGCTACTTTATCAAATTCTCTTACTGCCTGTGATTTGCTTTTGAAATTTCATTTTTGTGGGATTTTCCCCAGAACTATGACAGCTGCAAAAAACTTTGTCTCCTGAATCGGCTGTGTCTAGCTGTGCTCTTGGGTATCCACCTTGGTGAGACTCTGCCTGTGGTTCTCTCAACATGAGGCCTTGCCCTGGGGAGTCGGGTTTCTCAGCTTTGCTCTGCTCAGCTCAGCAAGCTCCATGGACATCAGCTCCCCAGTTTTGCAGCCTTAACATGACCTGTGAACTAGAGTATGTTCACAGCACATACTCTACACACATGTGGCAGCACAGTCCCTGGAGAGACCCCTCAGGGGCTCCTGATCGCGTACCTTCTGTTCTCAGATGCTCAGGTGCCTACAGTTCCCTGTTCTTGCAGAGGTGCGGTGCTCAAGGCACTGGGTACACAACGCTTACTGTACCTATGTGACTTCGAAGTGTGTGTGTGTCTATGTGTGGGAGTGTGTCATTTAGATCTGTCATGCATGTTTTCAGTAGGTTTGTTTGGGGGTAATTTAACTACTCTGCTTTTATGGGGAGACTGAACAGGTTTCAAAGTCTTTGTCAGTGCCTTGCCTTCCCAGAATTCTTTTTTCATTCCTTTTTAATGTGACATCCTAATAAAGTCACAGCTCTTTTCTTTGGAAAAGGATTTGCTTCAGAATGCATTATTTATGTAAAGGAGCTGACCATGTGCAGGTGATAAGAATTCTTAAGAGGGACGATTAATTGGAGGTGACATTATATACCTTAGCAACACCATTGAGGGAAAAGTATCTGGAGCTTCTAAATACTTGACAGACTCAAGAAATCTGAAATCTAGAATTCAGACCTGGGAGACATGTACTCACAGATGGATCTGCTTTTCATGTCCACCACAGATGGGGAAGGGGAGGGGTACCACTGATAGGAGGAAGCATGACTGATGTCTGATTGGGAGAGGCTTGTCTCAGTTACTAAGCTTCCTGCTTTAGCTAAAAATGTGCAACGGATTTTATGTTGAGCTCCAGAACATGTCTGTATAAATTATGCTGAGTTCTTTTCAAACACCGGTCCCTGGGCCCAGGCCATGTCTACGAAGAGGTGCAATATTTGCTCTTGCATTTTTGTTGCCCTGTACATTCCGCCAGAGGGATAGAATGCCAGGTCTAGTGCTGAGCCGAGTGTGATGTGATGGGGTTACGTGTGATACATGTGAGTCTGTACGGCTGAGGGAACTGAGGGGCAGCACTCTGGGCCACTGATTACAGGCAGGTGACAGAAAGACGAGCTTTCTGCCTCCAGTCTCTGTCCCACGTGTTCTGGCACGGGCTGAGACCCCGGAAAGAATTTTCCCAAGTGCAGATTGAGATCTCTTACTGTTCCTTCTTTGAAGAAGGTAGTACCAGAGAAAGCCCATTGTATTCTGACCTTTGCCCACCTTGGGGCTGCCTGTGCCCACCTCGGAGCTGCCTGTGCCCCATCTCAGGGTTGTCTGTGCCCACCTGGGGGCTTCCTGTGCCCCCATCTCAGGGTTGTCTGTGCCCACTTGGGGGCTTCCTGCGCCCACCTCAGGGCTGCCCGCACTCACCTCAGTGCTGCCTGCATCCGGTTCTCTTTCCTCAGTCTCTCCCTGGTCACTCTGAACTTGGCCCTGGATGGTGCCTGAGCCCAGCGCAGGTGGCGGTCTCGTCGCGCAGCCAAGACCTGTAAAGCGAGGAGAGCACCATGATATGGGAGTCAGCACTGGAAAGAGAGAGGCCTTTGGTGTTCTTGCCAACGCAAGAGCCATCATCATTGCTCTCTGCCCTGTCTTTGGGGACTTGGTGCAACTGACAGAGACTGTGTTGTTGAGGGGGTAATGGGAGATGCAGTAGGCCTATTTGAAAACTCTGCACATGTCCAAAGTCAGCCCCTTTGGCAAGGATTGCATCTGGGCCCTTACAAAGCTGAGCTTCACAAGAGAGACGTGCCCACTGCTGTCCAATCACAGGAGCTATTGCTTTTGGCATTTGCATAGTAGTTCCTGTTAGAGACCTTCAAAGACTGGAAAAGCGATTTTAGTGCACTTTATTTTAGTATGAAATGACCTTTGTTTGCCTTGTGTAATAAAAGCATCACGGCTTCCACGTTGTAGCCACATCTGTTTATGGGCAGGACTAACATTAGCCAAGAGCCAAACCCATGGAAAAAGGTCTCCCATTCACCTCTCACTCATCCGTTTACCCATTCCAGGCCCATTCACCCCGCAGCCCTGGGGCCCTTAGTCCTTCCTCCCAGAGCTGCCAGGCTTCTAAGAAATACAGAGCAAGGAATGTAAGGTGAGCCTTGGGGGCTGGGCTTGTGGTTCAGCTATACTTTGTGTTCTGAGGACTGCACACTGTGGCTGGGCGCTAGGGAGACTCGCAGGTGGAGCATCACAGCTTGAGCAAGACTGAGTTCCTCAAAGGCCTCTCAGTTCCGAGGTTAGATTAACTAGCAAAGGAACCTGGCTGATTGCCTCAGGTTTGGACCTGGGTGCCTGGGTACCTGGGTGCCTATTCTGACTGTCCCAGGAATGAAAGGAAGCTGAGGACCTGCAGGTGTGTAGAGAGTAGAGTAGTTTCTCAGAAGCCACGGTGTTGAAGGATGGGGTCAGAGAAGGTGTGATATGGGCCTGCGCTTGGGATGTAGAGACCGCTACAGTCTGTGTGGAAGCCAGGGGAGACGGAAGCTCTATATTTTCTATGTGTATTGAAAAGCAAATGGTCTAGAAGTTCTCCGAAACTGTGGCCAGAAATTATATTTTGCATTTGCCTCTACAGTTTTAAATGTACTCATTTCCCTGTGGCTCTGACTGGGGTAAGGAAAGAAGCATGAGAAATGAACACATACACATATAGTGGGGCTCCAAAAAAAGGGGGGGCAGCCAAATTTGAATTAAGGTCTGAGCTCCCATCTGCATGGTGCGAAAGGTCCTGAAGCCTCTGCCTCCTGCTCACCCTCTCGGCCTCCTCAGCACTGTCAGGACTGTGGGAGTTGGGAGACGGAGGAAGGTGGGTTCTGGAGTATTCTTCCAATGCCAAATCTAGATCCTTGGTTGCATCACGTAAAGACTCAGTAAAAAACTGGCTGTCATGTTTCTTTTTCCAAGCAAAGGCCAGCGCTGCCAAACAGATCTGGAAGAGAGGTGCCATGGTACAGATTGTCCGTTTGTGCCCTTCCCATACAGAGCCATCTTCCTGGTCCTGCACTGCCAGCTGATTTCATCTCAGTTCAAAATAGATAACCAGAAGCAACTACCCTGAAGTCCCTAGCACCTAGTCACTGGGTGTGGCCTTCATCAAGAGACTTGGGGCCTCTAGGGCATAGCTTCCTAAACTGAAGATAGAGATGGATGTGGGATTTCCCTCTGTACGCTATAAATATGTTTTATTACCATTGGTTATTAAATAAGCTGTTTTGGCCAATGACTTAATAGAATAAAGCCAGGCGGGCAATCTGAACAGAGACATAAAGAGAAAGCAGGCAGAGTCAGAGAGATGCCATGTAGCTGCTGAAGGAAAAGGACCTGGAACCTTTCCAGTAGCCACAGTGTCGTGACAATACACAGATTAATAGAAACGGGTTCATTCAAGATGTAAGAGCTAGCTAGAAATAGGCATGAGTCATTGGCTGAACAGTATTGTAATTAATACAGTTTCTGTGTGATTTTTTTTTTTGGGTCTGGGCAGCTGGAAAATGAACAAGCAATCTCCACCTACAAGAGACAAAGTGGTTCATCTCTTTTGGGATTTTTAAAATAAGGATTCTGAACACCAGGTTGAGCTGGAGCCTAGCCCAGACCCTGGCTCCCAGATTTTCTTGTCACATCTAAATCAAACAATAGAGAAGATTCACACCACCAAAACACAACCACGGGGCCCTCTCCTCCCTGGTCCCTCCCCGGTCCCCCGCTGACAAAGGCACCACAGGGCACCACAGGGGAGCTCTTACCATGAGTGGCTGGGTGACAAATACACAGCAGACCACAGAGAGAAGCAGCAGGTGCAGCCACCACATACACTGCTCTGTCACAAACCTGTCCAGAAGAGGGGTAGGTCGGCATCATGGGAGTACGCTACCCATGACGACAGTCACAGTCAGAGAACAATGACACTTCCACTGCTGGGAGACATGGGGGTGGTTGAGGAGGGGCTGCGGGATGGGTGCCAGGGCTGTCCGCCCATCAAAGCAGAGTCCTTACTTGTCGAGGGAATACCTCTCTTAAACTTCCCAGCACCAAGCATAATAGGGCCTGAAATGAAGACAGGACAGGCCGCAGAGAAGGGACTGGGAAATGCAGGTGGCAGTGTTGCGAGACTCTGTATTTCACCCCACACCTCTGGATTAAGCACACCCAGAGTCCCTCTTTTACAGATAAGCAAACTAGGGTGTGAACGAAAGTCTAGTCTGTCCTGTCTTCACAAAGTGGTCAGGGATGCAGTTGGGAGAGGAGACATTGTCAGGAAGAAAGGGCCTTGGGTGGCTTCTCCTCTTCATGGGTTAGGAATATGGCGTAGGCTTCTCCAGAGCCATAGGGGATGGTCATCCAGTCTTCAGGGGTGACCTAAACCCCTTAGGAGCCACGTGAAGAGGTAACATATGGGAAGGATTGGTAGGGATCTTAGATGAATCATCGCAGCCCAGTTCAACAGTATACATTTTTTTTTTTTCAGACAACACCAGATAATAAATGGTTGACTTTGGCCAAGATCCTCTGAAGAGTTTAGTGGCAGAATACCCCTCCCTTTTTGGTGCCCCCCCAAAAGCTTCTTCTTTGGTACTCAGGACTCTGACTAAACAGAGCTTCTGTTGAAGACCTGGCAGGGAAGAGTGACCCCGTGGGGTTTGCATATGACTGTATTCCCCTTCAAAAGGGATGGAGTATGGGAGAAAATAGTAATGTTGGTGACTACGTATGAGTTGCCCGAAACACACGTGTCTCTTCCCAGATCCTGGACATCTACCAAGCACCCGAGGTTGTCTGAAAACCTCAGCTACTCACCTGTAGCCTAGGAATCCTGTCCCCAAGCCACAGGCCAGGGACGCCAACCCACAAATGGCCCAGACCACAGAGCTTGGCCAGCGCAGACAGACCCTTGACCACTGGGGCATGAGCCCTTCAAAACCACCGCTGGGAGCTAAGGAAGAGCAAGATAGAAACCGCTGGGTTAGCAGACCTTGCCATCCTCTCCTACAGTGCGATGGGAGTTTGTCACCGTGGTCGGGCCACAGGGTACCGGACATACTGTCAGACAATATCTGAGTTCTGTCTGTGAGGATGATCCAGAGGGCAATAACCTTTGAGTCAGTGGGCCAAACAAAGCAGATAGGCCTTGCCATGTGGGTGGGCCTCATTCAGTCAGTTCAGTGTCTAAAAAGAACAAACGGACAAAGGGAGGTCCACTTGCCTGACAATGATCCTTGAACTGGGGTGTAGGTCTTTGCCTGAAGGGCGGGTATAGCAGTAGGAAATGAGGAATTTGGAGTTGGCCGCTATAGCTGGGTCATCTTGAGCTGTCCTTTCTCTACATGCTCCACAGTGAACTCCTCACTTTTGAGCGCTGGCTTTGCAGCCCACCTCTCTGCCCAGCAATATTTAGCCAGGATTCTTGCGACTGTCTGCCAAGGCTGGTGCTATGATCATAAGCTTGTCTAGCTGAGCGCTTATCTGCACTTAGACGTGACTTTTTCCTTCTCCCCTAGTGTGTACTGTGTGCCAGGCATGGCGCACAGACCTTGCTGATTACTGTCTGCAGTCCAGTTGCTGCCCAAAGCCTCTGCTGACCATTTGTCCATACATTGTGCAGCCCGAGAGTCCTGCAGTTATACGCTGACACTCCTGTCCTCCATTCCTACGAGGGCCAGGTTCAGCAGACCTTTCAATCCCAATGATCAGAACAGATGAAGCTAGTTCCTGGGACCCTGGTTCCAGTGGGACTCACGGACTCTCCTAGCACAGCCTTCCCTCTTATCTCCCGTCCTCTTCTGGATCAGTGGGCATCTGACAGCATTCGAGGCTGGGGCTGTTATCCTAATTTGCACAGATAAAAGTAGAGCTCTGACCTAAAGAATATTTAAAGTGTAGGATCTCACACTGACTTTTAAAAGCATTGATTGGATCAAGCTTGTAAGCCAGACTCACCAGGATTGGACTGAAGTCAGATGTCATGGCTTCAAATAGGCATGGACTTGGACCCGGGCTCGGGTTTTAGAGGGGATCAGGACATTTAGTGACATTTGGACCAAGTCCATTCTGCTTGTTCTGCCTCTCTGAATGGGCACAGGCCCCCGTTTTGTCAGCAGGAATGGGGGCTACTCAGTACAGCCATGGGGTGCCATTACCATGTGAACTGGGAGGAGAGTGGCGGCTCTTCTCTCTCGGAGCAAGAAAGGGCGAACAGGTCACCCCACTGCTATTGGCTGCCGTCCTCCAAGCTCTGTCAGTCCCCGGGAGAACGTCGGACACAGGATGCTGGAATTGTGACAGGGTCAGGCCCAGTCAGTGCCACTTTTGCTGCTTTGCCTGAAACACCAGTGCCCTTTGCAGCCAAGTCTGAGGGCAGAGCCAGAAGCGGGCCTGGCGAAGCAGGGCCCTCAGATGGCTTTAGAAGGATGTCTTCTATGTCTGAGTCAGCTCATTTGTACCTAAACTCCAATTTCCTTTTCTTACTGTGGGGATAATGCTGGTGGCTGCCAGGCAGTTCCAGGCAGTCAGGCTGATAGAAGGCAAAACCCATCAGAAGGAAAAGGTTGGAGGATGAGGGCCAGAACTCTAGCAAGTTGGTGGTGAGGGTTGGGGGTCCATGTGACACACAGAACAAGTGGGGTCAGAGAGCGCCTTGCATAGATAAGTACAGGGGATGTGGACCTGTGGAGCAGACTGACCCACTGCCTGGAAAGTGTGGGAATCAGGTTAGCCCTGATGCACCACCACAGAGAGCCCCCTAAGAGCACCAGCACCCCAAGGGCACCAGTACCCAAGTGTTGGGTCATATTATTTTAAGGTGTGTTACTTTTGTTTATGTTGCGTTTTTTTTAACTCTGTGAAGCTGTGTTACTGTCCCTGTCTAACACACCTGCTGGTCTAATAGAGAGCCGAACAGCCAATAGTGAGGCAGGGGAGAGAAGTAGGCGGAGCTGGCAGACAGCATAAACAGAAGGAGAAACGAGCAAGAGGGGGAGCAACGAGAGAACAAGGGGAGGAGGACGTCAGGGACCAGCCACCCAGCCAGCCAGAGAATAAGAGTAAGATTTACAGAAGTAAGAGAATGGGACGAGCCCAGAGGCACAAGGTAGATGGGATAATGTAAGATAAGAAAAGCTGACTAGAAACACGCCAAGCTAAGGTTGGGCAATCATAACTAAGAATAATTTATTTGGGAACTGGGTCGCAGGCGGCCCCAAAAGACCTAAAGAGTAAAGAGTAAGAAACATGCAACACCCAAGAGTACCAGAACCCCAAAAGCACCAATACCCAAGGACACCAGAAATCAGGGGCATCAGCACCCCAAGGGCACTAGATCACCAATACCCAAAGAAAAATCGCAGCACAATGCAACCACAGTGACATTAGAAATTGTCCTTCATTTGCATAGAGTTCTGGGTCCATAGAGACCTGGCTCCCAAGTCCTGTCTACAGAAAGGGCAGCACAGACCACAGTATCAGAATGTCACAATCTCTCCTCCTTCTCTCCCACAGGATATCAGGATCTCACTGGACACACCCATGGGACTTTCCAGACGCTGCCCTTCCCTGGCCCTACCTGCTCGCCATTCCCACTCCTCGGCCTGGGACTTGGCCTACACTCTCTGGAGGACCAGCCCCAGCTAGCCCACAGCGACAGGAAGATGCCAGAGAAACCCAGTTTTTAGCATCTTACTCTGCAGAATTAGCGACTGCATGTCATGTCAACTTACCTGGGATGGCTGCCTCAAACCTGGTCTCCCATCGTGATCAGGGCCTGTTGGGGTTGGGGAACAAATGTATAACTCTGACCGAGGCACAACCATGGTACTTGAGGAGCTGCTTTTCCCTCTTGTCCCCCTAGATAGAGCCTCAGAGGCAAGGCAGAGCTGAGAGGAGAACTCTTGATGTCTCCATTCTGATATGGGCCTTGACAAGCCCTCAGCCACCCAGAGCTACTCTCTGGAAGCCACAGAGCAGGAGAAAAGTGTGCTGTTAAAAGCTTAAAGATCCTTAAGAAGAAAGAGTGATCAATGCGGCTATACAAGGGTTTCAAACAGTAATTATTAAAAAGTGGGATCCTGGAGAAAGGGTTTGCTCCCCACATGGCCATGCTTTTCTGCCATGGGGTGGCTGGCTATCGTTCATATGATTCTGGAAAATGGTGGTTACAAGATTGTTGTCCACAAGGGACAGTGGTCCAAGGAAAAAAGTGGCTTTAAATACATACGATGATGGTTATTTTCAATGCACAAGACAAACAGAAAGCAGAGCTATGCCGCCTACTTAAGAGACTGGCCCTCGAGGACCAGCTGCCAGGGAAGCTTCCGATTTTAGTTTACCATACCCTGAGGTACCTCTGTCTTCACTCCTCTTAGAGGCCACTGTGGTGCACCTGGAAGATGCTCTGCAGCTTCCTGTGGAGTAAAGAGGTAGGTTGGTAAGGGCACCCCACATCAGGGGTCTCCCCAGAAGCCCAGGGCCACATACCTTGCTGAACCTGAAGAGCAGCGACAACAGCTGGGCAGCTGGGCAGGCCAGAAAGGTGCACAGGAGACCCAGACGGAAGGATTCCAGAGTGGGACCCACATCCAGCGGGCGCTGCAGCAGTTCAGTTACAGGGCGATTAAGAATTCCAAATGTACTCAATGTGAGTGTGAGTCCTGTTTCAGCTAAATCCCTTTATCCCAGCCTTGCCGCCACCCCACAGGTTGAACAAGACAAAAATGCGCTTTTCCTCGTAGACACATCCTTGTGAGCCACACAAAGGCTTACTGAGCTCCCACAAGGCCTGTGCTCAGCTGATCAAGTCCTGACTATGGTCCCAGACATAAGGTGTCAAAACCTTCATTATGCCCCCAGCAGAGGATGAGATGGCATCCTGGATCAGACCACTGGAGGTCCCCAGGGAAGGGCTGGACCCATGAATGATCCTGCATTTATCATAGACTACAACCTTGGGCTGGAGAGATGGCTCAAGGGTTAAGAACATGCGTTGCTCTTGCAGCGGATCCTAGCTTGGTTCCTAGCACCCACACCAGGCAGCTCACAAACAACCTGTCACTCCGGCTTCAAGAAGTCCAACTCCTCCTCTGAACTCTAACGGTACTCTCTCTTTCCCTCCTTGTTATACATGTACCCATAATAAAAAAAAATGATAAAAATAAGCCTTCAAAAAGATTAGCTTCTTTCCCCTCACCCCGAATGCCATGTTGTCTGGAACCCAGGATGTGACTTCTCCCAGGGCACCAGTGTGCTGACATGCAGGCTCTCTCGGGCTCTGATTCTGGTCATGTCACCTGCTGGCCCACTCAGCCCGTCTCTAGATTGCGCCCCCTAGCGTAAGCCTGCCTCCGGGAGCTCTGAGCTTTGCTCATTAAATGAAGGACAAACTGTCAGCCTGAGAGTTGGAAGTTACTGTGGAAAAATCTGCTGCCTCCTACCTGTTCATGGACTCCCACAGTGACCAGGGCAGTGAGGCACGAATAGACACACAGGAGACAGAGGGCCACGGCAAGCCGCTGTGTGCGCAGGTAGCTGCTGGAGGGAGGCTGGCTGTACAGTGAGAGCCAAATGTGGAAATCCTCCAGGTACTCCGTGAACTTGGCATAGAAAAGCTGAAACAGAAAAGCACGGGGGTTTCCCCAGACAGGGACACACGTGTGAGCAGAGTGAAATCCTGACTGAAAACCTGCAGCTTCTAGAACAGGGCTCCAAAATTTCTTGGCTTTTCTCTCTTAGCTGATGACTGGCTGCTGGGTTGGATGCCTCTTTTAAGATGGTCCCTTGCTCTACCTCCTTCCTCCCCTCCCCACCATCTCATTAGCAGCACCTCACTGGACTCTGACCCAGTTTAACCTCCTGCTGAAGCTCCCAAAGGTGTAGTCCCAACCAGTTCTCAGTTTCGTTTGTGCTAGCTCGTGGAGACCTCCTCTCTTGGCCCTCCCACCATTTCTTTCCTTTCTGATCCCCAAAAGACTTTCTAAATCTCCCCACTCTTAGCACTTCCTACAGAAACAGTTTCGTTGTAGCTGGGCACCAGTACTGGGTTCACTGAGAGCCAGGACTGACCTGCCTTCTGCTCGGTAGCCTTACAAGGTCTACTGCCCAGAAGTTGTAACACCTTGTGTAATTTCTCCGAATTATAAAATTCTCAATGCAATTTAAATAATTTTTGGTGCGAAACATTCTAGAAAAGAGCTATTTATGCACAGCCCTGATATTACGAACACAATCAGGACAATCAGCAAACACTGTCGAAACAGGTTTGCTAGACTACGGGTGTATCTTTTGCACGTAGATTCCCAAGGGACCACTGATTCCAGAGGCCCAGCCTTATGGGTTCACAGATGACTAAATCAGTAAAGTTGGGTTTCTCACCTAAAGGTCTCAAGCCCAACAGCTGGAGGGGGAAACATGGCGATTATTGTCCAAGGGATGTCGCAGTGAAGCAAGGGCCTTTAGTTTAAAGGGCTAAAATTTTCCTAGGGACCAGGGCTGTTTGGAAACAGTTGTTTCAAATTCACATTGGCCATGTTCTAAATTCTGTGCTAAACTGAGTGACAATGGAAAGAACGAGACCCAGTGGCCGGGAAATGGCAGGCTGCAGGCTAGTTCAAAGGGGAAAGGCACCTGCTGCCCAGCCTGGTGACCTGAGTCCAATCCCAGGACCCACATGGTAGGAAGGAGAAAACCAGTTCCTGTAAGCTGTTCTCTCACCTCATCACGTGGACGGTGACGTGCACACACACCCGTGCACGAAGCAAGTAATTAAAAATGCTGTAAGATTCTTAAAAAAGAAATCATTGTTTAGAAACACAACTCACAGAGAAGGGTCTCTTTGTGACATTTGCTGTTGTGGCGATAAAGGAAAATTGTGGCTGTACTTGGGCAAATAGCAGCGCACAGTGGGCCGTTGTATGGCCTGTTAATTAGTTAAAGGGAAATTCATAAAGAGGCTTATTCTAAAACACTGAATTTAAAATGTGAATGCTTCCCAGTGAGCCAGTGCCCATCAGCGGGGAGTAAATGGGAATATTCAGAAACCCAAATTTTATACTTAGTGTGCGAGGTAATGACAAGTCTGTCACCTACTGGCACTCATTGATCCTCTGACATTGCAGCCACCGATGTGTTTGTATTCCATGACAGTGAAACTGTTTATGGCACACGGGTTAATAACAAATCTCTAATTTGGGCCCTCTAGGACACTACAGATCACCAGCCTGCAGCAGCTCTAGAAATTTATTACTGCTGCAACTCGAAGACTGCAGAACTGCATCCCTGTAAAGATTGCTAAGTGGCAGAGGCATTGCTTGCATGCTAGCTGGAGAGCTGACTCCAAACGTCATGTCACCTGAGGTGTGGTGGGCTGCAGCTGTCTCCTCTGAGCTGAAACAGCCCTTGCGGGAGGAGGAGGGAGGAGGAGGGAGGGGCTAAGACCCAGGAGTTCAGGAAACAAGAGAGTCACAGATATCTGCTTCAAGGATAGAGAAAGAGCAAGCCACCGCTATGGAGAGGATTTACTGCAAGTAGTGCAGAGCCCCAGGGGTGTCCCCTTAGTGAGCCACCGCCCATGGGTCAGTGTTTTAGTGGTGCAGCCTCTGGCGAGTCACCCGCACCCTTGTAAGTAATCCATAAACCAAGTGGCTAACCAAGATAGACTTGGAAGGAGCCATTTCTTTCGTGTGCCATCAGTTCCTATCTGGGATGAGCAGGCTCTCGTTTGCGTCTTTCCAGGAGAAGCCACACGACATGGGTATCTCATCTTGACAGTCGGCTACCTAACTATGGGAAGTTCAAATCGCGTCTTTGAAAAGAGAAGCAGAAGTACGCACCAAATAACGCCGGTCAATCTGGCACGTCACAGGTCACCGGCATGGGGCCTACCTTCCAGAAGCCAAGACCACGGTGCAGGCAGAAGAGCTCTCGCTGCCCACGGCCACGGCGTAGGCTCACAGCCAGCCAGCACTGGGCAGAGAAGAACCAGCCTTGGCCTGAGTGTAGCTCCTTCACCATCACGTGGCTGACGAACCAGTTTGGGGACGGTCCACTACTGTCGTGCCACAGGCGGATTTTCTGGAGTGGGCCCAGCTGGTTAGGGGTGCTAATGACGCAAAGAAATGTCTCATGGGTCATGTGTGTTCGGCACCTGTAAAAACCTCACCAATTCTGATCTGGCCATTCAGGACTGTGGGCTCCAATGAGCACTGTGACTGGTAGGGGCACACAGGCCTTTGGGATCTACTGTAATGCCCCTTTCTTATCAGCTTACTTCTCGTGGTGTTAGTTATTCACCAAAAGCACAAATTAAAAAAAAACAAACAAGTAGAAAATTGATTATCTTGTGTTGCACCTCATTAATAACTCACACTTTATCTCAGGCCTGGATGTCAAAGAACAACTAAACAGGTTCAGGGTTCAGGGCTCTCTGCTGACTCTGGGATCCACTCTATGCCCTGAAACACATCTCTTGGAAAAGCAATGGCTATAACTTCCTTAAACCAAGTCACTGGGTCTCCATCTGTCTGTTCTAATGTGAGTTAGTCTGATGTTAACCTGTACTTTCTTCATAAAAACAATGCCCCAAAATAATAAATATAAGTAAATTATAATAAATACTATGCATTTCTCATGAGAAAAAAAGACTTTGCTATTTTCATGTTTTCTAAGAATGTCAGGTACACCTCTCCCTTGATAAATGACCTCTTGCCCTGACTCCATCTTTGGGATGCCACATAGCCACTGCTCTCCCAGGTTTGGGGTGGTGGCACTAATTAATTTAATCAGGTTTTGTGACATAAAGAACAATTATTCTAATACACAACCTTAATAAGCCTCCACCTTTTTTCTGCCTTCATCCCTCCTACCACCCCCACTACACCCCATGTAAACAAACCGTGCTAATCTATCCCATATGTCACACATGCTTGTAATTGCAGCCCCCATGCAGCAGAGCCAGGAGGGCAGTTGCAAGTCCAAGGCCAACCTGGTCTATATAGTGAATTTCAGATTGCTGTGGCTACGTAGTAAGTCCCTACCTTGGAAAATAAAAAAGCAAAACCAGAATCTTCCTGAAATTGTCGGTATGTGAGCGAAGTTCATTGCCCTCTGTGCTTCATCAGCAAGCATTCTCGTAGGCCTGACGCTCAGAGAGCTGGTGTTCTCTATGCAGCAACTTTGTGGTACCCCATTCTGACCCAGCTCCTTTCCCAAAACATGTGGTTGGAGGCTTCAGGAGTACCTCAGTATAAAGGTGTGCCTGGAATTCCTTCCAAATAAGGACATCTCTGGGCAGCAGAGTTCTTTGGTTTCTGAGAGTCCATTTTCACCACATAAAACGATGAAAACCTTAAGACAAACACAGAAATGAGAGCTGAGGCTATGTCACGGAGGGTGTGGAGTTCTGTAGACAGTGTTTCCTTGCCCTGTCCCAGGCCCCTACTGGCTGGTCCCAGCCTTGAGCTCAGGGACTGTGGGGGACTTGCATGGTTTGCCTGGGGCTGACATCCTGCAGTGTAAAGATCCTCCACGAGCCAGCTTGTCACAAACTTATCTAGAAAAGCAGGAGCCCCGTTGGAATTCCTCAGCCTTTCTCTTCTTCAGCAGGGCAGAACGACACAGAGGGCAGCATCTCCTACCCTTGGCCATGGTGGCTGGACTGGGCCTGCAGGACACCAGAGTGGGTCCAGACCTGGTGGGTGGGGAGCCCATGTCCACAAGGAGAGCCCTAGGGAACCACACCCACTGCACATATCACTCTCTCGGTATCTGCCACTCAGAAAGCTTCAGTTTTGCTGCGGAGTGATTTTAATCTTTCATTAAAGTAGTACTAATTTCTTGTCTTTTTTTGTTTGTTTGTTTTTGTTTCTCGAGGCAGAGTTTCTCTGTGTAACAGTGCTGGCTGTCCTGGAACTCATCTGTAGACCAGGCTGGCCTCAAACTCACAGAGATCCTCCTACTCGGCCTCCCAAGTGCTGGGATTAAAGGCGTGCGCCACCACAGCCTCGGCCGTCTCCTGTCTTTTAAATCCTTTTCTAGTCCAAAATAATCTTTTGCTTTAAATCGTTCCTATTTTTATTATTATCTTTCTGTTTTTAGACTTCTGAAATTTATTTAGTGCGTGTGTGTGTGTGTGTGTGTGTGTGTACACAACGATGTCAATTAAAGATTTCACATTGTTTTCTTTTGTAGGGACTGTGATTGCTGCAGACATTTTGCTGAGCAGTTTCTCTGGCCAGTAAGACCTTGACACATACCTGGGTCATTTTTGGTGTGTCTAGCTGTCCCATAAGTCTACGGGTCAACCCTAGAAGACATTACACTGTGATGGCTCCTCCCTGGCTTTCTGGTGGGAAGCCACGCCCCGTTCTCTCTCGGATTGCTAGGCCCTATACTTATTTTCCGTGTGCTTGTGTTCTCTTCCATACGAATTTTAGAATCAATAGTTCCTGTTCCACGAGACATGTTTCTGACACTGTAGTTGATTTCATTGGCTTTCATCTCTTTATATGTAAGCTTTTTTTTTTCCAGTAAAATGGGTAGTGTGTCTGGGTGTGGTGCCACACCTTTTAACCCCAGCTTTTGGGAGAAAGAAGCAACTGGATTTCTGAATTTGAGGACAGCCTTGTCTATATTGCAAGTTCCAGGACAGCCGGGGTTACATAGTGAGATCCTGTCTGAACAAACCAGCGAACACATGCAAGCAAAACAAAAGCTCAAATAAGACAAGTAAAGTGGGCATCGGAACAGATCAGTTCACACTGTCATCGCTATCATCGGTCTTACAGATTGATTTGGGACAGTGAGAAATTAGTTGTCTCAGCTGCTGCATAGAGATAGCTCTGATTTACTTAGGTCTTTTATGAATATCAAGCAAATCCACTGTGCTCCTGTGGATGTCAGGTACATTCACCTTAGGTAATCATCATTTGGGGACTGGTAGGAGGTTTCTGCCTCCAGTCATGCGCACTGGAAGCCACTGACTCCATGCACATGAGTGAATCCTACCCTGATCATGAACCTGACGAGCTGGTCTAACTCAGCCGATCTAACTGTTTCACATTGCTTTTGGACAAGCATGTCAATAACACACAGCTCTATCTTCTGGCTTCTAGAGGAACCCACACTTACTCCCCACATGCCCCCAGTCCTGTGAGTTCCACAAAGCAGACATGTTTTTAGAAAAAGGTGTATCAAGCACACGTGGAGAATTCCTGGCGGATTTGTAGCTCACATTGCTAACCCACGCCTCTGAATGAGTTTGTTCCCGCCTTTGCCCACTTCCCTTCCACGGCCCACCTTGGCCTAGGCACTTCCCTGGGCTGCTACGCTGGACTCCACCTTGACCCTCCCACTACTTCCTCTTCCTCCCCACATACAACCTCATCTTCATCTGATTCTCCGGTGAACTCTACCCATAGCCCCATCTCCCAACCCAGTCCTATGCCCTCTTAGCCTGAAGGCTGGCCTAGGAACTTCTTACTCCTTTCTCACTAGATCCTTCTCCGAGGCGGGCCACGGACTCAGTGTTAACTCAGAGGGGTACAACCCAGTTCTCAGCATCTCAGAGACCCACTATCTTTGAAGCTGTTTTTTCACCATGGAGGCAGAAAGGGTGTGGGGAGTCCAGACTCAGGAGGTGTGTGTCCCGTCTTAACAAATATGCAGGAGGAGGACAGTGGAAAGGGTAGATAAGCATCACCTTGACATTAGATGGGACAGTGGTCACGGGTGATTGACAGGGCAACCAAATCATCTCATTATCCCTTCTTTGCCCCTCAGGCTCATCCACTCTTCTAGACCTCACTAAAAGCCTGTTAGGAGTCCATGTTACCTTTGATGTAAACTGGGCTGGTGACCGGAAGCCAGTGTCAACGATGACTGCATACAGCTGGTGGCCAGGTGTGGCGTCTCCTTCCAGAAAAATACAGCCAGGTTTCCTTTTCTTGTGACAACCTAAACATCTGCTTTTAGTCACCAGAATTCCATAAAGAACCAAGAGAAACACACTGAAAATCCCAGGAAGCAAATTATGCGGGTCACTGGAAGCAAAGAGAGGAAAATACAGGGGATTTCTCCTGGGAACTGGTATTCAGGAAGACGCATTAGCTCATCACAATTTCCCAGACTCTCGTTGTCCTTCATGGACGTGTCTCCCAAACATCTGATGCTGGCTGAGTAGAAGGGGACTCTGAAAATACGGAGCTGCCTGTGGCCAATGCCAGGCATCCCACAGCCTACAGTGAAGTCCCAGGAGGCCTATGATGATCCAGCTGAGGTGACAGAAAGCTGCACCCTGCGGTCTGAGGAACTTGTACTGGGAAATTGAAAAGGAATGCCAGGTACTTGCCTAACATATGTGAGGCTCTGGGCTTAATCTTTAGTAATAATGGAAAAAAATGGAAGAGAGACGGAAAGAAAGAATGTCCCTATATGAGACATGCCTCACGATACTGATGTGACATTCTGGTCCCCTCCTGCCTCTCCCAGCAGGACGAGACAGGAGATGCTCCCGACTCCCGTGTGCCTCTTTGCATACCCCTGCCCCCGGGAGTGCGGCTGCTCTACTCTACCTGCAGCTTACACTCAACTCGTCTCTGGTACTCAAGCACCAACTCTGCCTGGAGAGCAATCATCCCGCCCCCTCCTCTGCAGAGCCACAGGGAATCGTCCATGTAAAGTCCCTCCAGCTGAACCTTAACGTACCTGGATTTGGGCTCTATGGGTATTTGACAGAATTGCAGAGGGCTCATGCTGTGGGGAATGCTACCTTCCTAGTCTCCTGCCTCCTCACTCTGACTCTATCTAAGGACTGATAGATGCTCTTGGTCCCCGACCTGGTGTCCTCCTTTCTGCTTCCAGACCAGAATCAGAACCAGGTCACACTTGCTCTCAGCCCCACTTCATGAACTTGAGATTCCTGGCTTTAGCTCATCCTTCTTATTCCCACATTTCTTCCTGGAACCCACTCAGATGTCACCAGTGCTTTGGGGCGACTTCAGGTGCCATTTTCTGTCTGTAGATCCTCCACTGTCCCACTCCTCCTTGTTTATCCACAAATAATATTGGTGTTGTGGAAAACCAGGACTGGAATTTCTGTACGGTAAGTTCTGAGAATCGACCGGGAACGTTCCCTGGGGTAGTACTGGTTGTTAGTAATTAATGACTATTTGCTACCTATCAGGCCCCCCAGCAAATCTACCAAGTACCATTCATAAGTGAAGTACAGTTTCATAGTCTACCAATATAAATGCAAAAAAAAAATATTCAAAGAAGTTTGCCATCAATGCACTCCTATTCCAAACTCTAAATAAAGTTTTTCATGATGAAACTGGCTATGGTAACTTTTAAACTTATTTAAAATATGGCAGAAGTTTGTGGTAGTGTGAAAGGGAATGGTACCCGTTGACTCTGAATGCTTAGCCATAGAGAGTGGCACTATTAGGAGGTGTGGCCTATTTAGAGGAGGTGTGGCCTTGCCGTAGGAGGTGTGTCGCCAGTAGGTTGACTTTGAAGTCATTGAAGCTCAGGCCATGCCCAGTGTGGCAGTCTCTGCCTGCTGCCAGCCGATCAAAATGTAGAACCCTCAGTTCCTTCTCCAGCACCATGTCTGCCTGCATGTTGCTATGCTTCCTACCATGACAATAATGGACCGAATCTCTGACACTGCAAGCCAGCTCCAATGTTTTTCCTTTATAAAAGTTGGCATGGTCATGGTGTCTCTTCACAGCAGGAGAAACCCTAACTAACAAGGTTGAAATTAGAAATAAGGCTACAATATTCAGTATAGACCAAGAAAAGCAATGCAAGTATCATTTTTGATTGCTGTAAATGTTAATTAAATCAATAAAAATTGACCCAGTCTACACTGAAATATAGCTGAGCTTAAAAGTAGAAAGGTACCGGATTCCTGGTGTTTATAAAGCTCCTGTCAGTCGACATAAAGTATAAACAGCATAAAAAATAATATGACATAGAAGACAATCATTCCTCATATCTGTGCTCCAGAAAGCAAGCACGTTACGTAAGCGTTACGCATAACCTCAGCGGAGCATGTGCGCCTTATAAGCGGACACTAGAACATGAAATGAGGCTCTGCTTTGGAGAATGGCACTCACCTCCGAAACTCAGAAATGCTGCTCACTTCGAAAGTGGCATTCAGCTTTCTTCTGAGGACAGAGAAAGGCGCCAGGCGATGGTAGCTGGAAGGGGAAAACAGAGCAGAATAACTGATGTGGGCTAAGTTCCGCTGTCTGTGACAGGACAAAGAGAAGCTGGAGAAAAAGAAGCAGCAGCCATCCCGATGTTATGATGTGGGCCAGTTTGCCATGTCTTCATGTGTAACTCTCTGATGAACCGTGGAGTCCCAAGCCTTTGTACTGGGAGTCAGCATCTTAGGAGACTGTGCTGAGCTGTCTTGCATCAGGAAACACTGCCACCTACAGGCAGGCGTGACAACTACGGTAAATGCTATTCTTGTAAAACATAAAACTGCCTCCCCTTTATTATCCTGCAGGTAGTTTCTGTGTGTTCTTCCTTTGTGCCCCCGGCACTTGGGGAGGAAGTACTATGTAATAGAGAACAAAGGACTGCCTTCATGTAAAAGCAAAGAACACTGGAATGCTGAAACTTTACTAGTAACTTCCCGTGGCAAGGCATGATTGCAAAAGGCTACTCCAAAATAACACGGTGTTGGCACAAACAAGAGACATGGAGACCAGTGGGTTGAAAGAGAGAATCTGGATATAGGTCCACATAACTTCAGCCACTTTTTTTTTGGACAGAGATACCAAAAGTGCACATTGAAGAAAAGACAGAATCTTCAACAAATAGTGCTGAAAAAACAAAAAACAAAAACCGAGTACCTACGTGTAGAAGAATGAAACTACGTGCTAATCTCCCCCCCCCATTCTTCATGAAAATCAACTCCAAGTAGATTCAAGATTTAAATGTAAACCCAGAGATTGTAAAGCCAATAGACGGAAAGGTAGAGAGTATTCTGGAAGACAGAGGCATCTGTGAGGGCTTTCTAAATGGAACTCTAGCTCCTTAGGAAATAAGACTGACAATTGACAAAGGGAACCTCGTGAAACGAAAAACCTGCACAGCAGATGAAACTGCCAGCTGATTGACAAGGCAGCCTACAGAAAGGAGGAAAATCCTTGCCAGCTATTATTTGGAAGAGATTACTGTCTAGATAATACTTTTCTGGGACTCCTGACTGTGAGAATGAGGGTCTCTGACTCTTGTGCCTGCCCTTAGGACTCTTCTGTTGGGTTGGCACTTCCAACTTTGATATGATAACTTTTGCTTCATCTTAGTATATTTTATTTTGTCATTTATTATTACTATCTCTTAGAAGTCTGTTCTTTTCAAATAAGAGATAGAAAGGGAATAGATCTTGACAGGAGGAGAGTTAGGGAATAACTGGGAGGAATAGAGGGAAAGGAAGCTATTATCATAATATATTGCATGAGAAAATAATCTGTTTCAGTAAAAGAAAAATGAAAAAAAAAGGTTAGGTAGAAAAAAATCTAGCTATACAAAGAACTAAAAAAAAAAACCTAAGAAAACAAACAATGCAATTGCAGATAGGTTATGTATCTGAGCGGAGACTTCTTAAAAGAAGAAAGGCAAGTGAACATTTGAAACAGTATTCAAGACCCTTAGTCATCAGGGAATTTCACGCCAGAATTACCTTGGGATTCTATCTCCCCTAATCAGAATGGCTGCTATTGAGAAATCAAATGGCAACAAACGTTGGTAAGCTGTAGAGAGAAGGGAGCCCTTATTACGGTTTGTAGGATTGGAGTTGGTGCAGTTACTCTGGCTAAAAGGAGAACCACCGGATGACCCAGCCATGCCACTCTGAGCACAGATCCAAAGGATTCTGGAGTCTAGGACAGAGATGTCTACATATCCATGTTCATTTTAGCTCTCCTCACAATAGCCAGGAAATGGAAACAGCCTAGCCGTTTGTCAGTTGATGAGTGGATGATAAAAATGTGATATATGTACGTGATGGAGTTCTACTCAGCACTAAAGAAAATGAAATTTGCAGGAAAATGGGTGGAACTGGGAACAGTATATGCATAAACTAAACCAGTCCTACAAAGACGAACGTCTTGTTCCATTTCGTATAGGATTCTAGTTTCAAATTTTTAGATTTCCATGTTTAGTGGGAGTCAGTGCCTGTGGAAACCAGGAATCAGGAGAGGAAGCCTGAGAGGTGGCAGCAGAAGAGGTCCTGGAAGGGACAGTAAACACATAGGAAAGTTGGGGATGCAGTAGAAGAGAAAAGGTTAAAATGGGGAGGGGAAGATATAGGGAAAGGCAAGAATTGGGTCAACCAAAATTAAGAACTTAGAAAAAAATGGAAACTGACTACTTTATAAACTAAAGCTATAATAATAATAATAATAATAATAGATAGATAGTTTGAACTGAGGAATCGTGCATGAGTAGGCAATGCTGTTTCTAGAAGTGCCAAGTGTGGTTCACCCCCCTCGGAGCTAACTGTACAAGTAGTCCCCAGAAGCTCCCAGAACAATACAGACTATACTATTGCTCTTGGTTAACCACTGGAACTAGGTGGTAAAAACCCATTGCCAAGGACACCATACAGTCAGAATACAGAGAACACAGAGAAAGAAGCTGGAACCGAGTTGGAAGCTTCCTCCCTGCTGGCCAGCATTGATAGTACTAGAGTTGTTACTCAGATTGCAGGGGGAGAAAAGTCCCCGTGCCCTTCTCCAGCTGAGGACCTTGCAGCATCTACTGCCAGGTAATACACAGCCATTGGCGCAATAATGACAGGACTGCTTGGGGGGAACCAATAGCTTTGATTAGATTTGAGGCTCTTGCCACTGTGGGGAACACCTTCCTGGTGCTTCCAAGCTGTTAAAAAGCTACATCTGGGTACATTTCAGGTCCTAGAGAGAAATGTACTACTGATACTTTGCTAGATAGTCATGTAGTCAAACTTGTAAATGGAGACCCCAGAGGGATATAATTTCCCATGTAAAAAGGAAGGGTATTTTTATGTATTTTGCCACCTTTGGGCATTTTTTCATCTCACCAATCTTTTATGTGTGCATTATAGTTTTCAATTTTGTGGGCGTGTGTGTGTGTGTGTATGTGTGTGTGTGTGTGTTTCTTGTGCTTTTTTGAGGTTATTTGTTTATTTGATTCCGGTTTGTTCACTTTTAATTTGCATGTTAGTTTTCTAAAGAGGAAGAGAAAGGAGGTGTGGAGTTGGGTGGGTAGGGAGGTGTAGAGGTTGTGGGAGGAGATGGGCAAGGGGAAATCCCAATCAGAATATAGTCCATAAATGTTTAGTTAAAAAAGACTCTCTCTCCCCTCCCCCTCTCTCACATACACACACATGTGCACAGTCAAACACATGATGTGAAAGCAGAAGGAGAGTCAGACGTGAAGGGCGGATATCAGAGGACACTGGGGACTAATATAATCAAATTCATTGAATACATGTGGGAATTGTCAAAAAATTAAATGAATTAAAAACTATCCGACACAAGAAAAGTAACACATAACTAAATGTCGCCAGAACAGTTCGGTTTGAACAGTTTGACGCCTAATGGGCAAACACAACATGTGACTCCATGTGACTTTGTTGTTCCTGAGGGGAAAAAGACTGCTTCTATACTAATAATTCCCGAATTTCCACCCCATTGAGCAGGGAAGGGCAGCACAAATGAATGGACTGAACTGATCCTTAGATGGCTAACTCTATGCCTAGGTGATAAATAGTGTTCACTTTAGTGGTACGACCAGATATCCCCCAAAAGACCAGGAAGGCTGCTTGTGTCCATGCAGAGGTTTCTCTGTCCACGTGAAGTTACTTTTCAGTCCCAGCCTTTGGGTAGGGAACGCCTCTGCTCACCAAGGCAGGGACGGTAACAGTAAAGACTCCGCCTGCCTGACTATAAAGTACACAGTCACAGCCCGCACCGCCTCTATCTATGGTAAGGATGGGATGGACTCATAAGCCACTCATCTGCGGACTCACTTCTCAGTGGGCACCAGCAACTACCTGCAACATGCCAGTCATGACAGGTGGCTCAGACGGGATGCCCAGCAGACAGCCCCTGTCCTTTGGGAGCCACAAGACTGACATGCAGACAGGTGTAGCAGGCACAGTCTGTTAAGGAGTGTCAAGCAAGACTGCCTTGCTTTCGTGATTTCGTGAGAGGACACCACTCACAGAAGGTCCCAGGGACAAATGCAGGCGAAAATGGAGCCAGTTGTTAAAATCCCCAGGCTTTACCCCAGCAGGAGACTCGTACCTACAGTTGACTCTCTCAGGAGAAGTTCCGGGCTGCGGACAGGGACCTTCGGATCTCCACTCTGTCTTGTCCCAAAACACACACTGGATCCACTGGAAATGCACTGTGTAGTTTACTGCCCCAGCAAGGTATTTGTTTGGAGGTCTCCTGTTATAATCAGCATCTAGTAGGGACAAATACCCCACATCGGCTCCTAGAAGAAGGGGTAAAAACATATCAAGAGCGCATGTGAGCTTTGCAAGGAACATGCTCCATCCCAAATGCAGGTGGAAGGGCCACTGGGGATAGACAAAGACGGAAGGACTAAAAGGCGCACCAGGTTCTGGCCTTCTCCTGCTTCGGGGGCGGGGGGATTACAGTGAACTAAACACAGCAAGACTTTCATTCGTGAGCGTTAGAGCGCAGAAGAGCGGAAAGACTGTAAGAGCGAGATGACCAGGAAATCTATGATACTGTGCCTCATGGAAATGTTAGGGAAGACAGACGTCAAAGGTTTAGCACGCACTGACCTTTCCACGGAACAGCAGGTACATAAATTTGCACAGTCTGCTCGTCCCAGAAGTACACCTGCTTCACAAGAAAATCCGAAGGCGTAGCCTTCTTGGAGAATCTAGGGGCAAACGAGAGGTGGTGAGACAGATTTTCTCATCTGTGTAGACTTCACTTACACACTTTGTGATGATTGTATTTATCCCTAGAAACAGATAGTTGGGGAGAATCAGGGCTAAAAAGAACCAATGTACTTCAGCTCCTGGCACACTTAGCCCCTTAACTCCACCCCCTCCCATACACAAGGGTAACACTTTCCCTTATATCTGTAAAGAGCAAACCAAAACCGAAACCAAGCAAAAGCTACTTCATGAAAAAGTAAGAATAATGCCCAGCTCTATTTGTGGCATAAGAGCGAAGACCTGGCTGTGTGCTGAGGCGCAGGGCACGTGTGAGTTTATCAACACTAACGCTTCCTTGTGCTACCAGGAAGTGGAGGGGTTGGCACATAGAGATCAGAGCCTCTAACTATTCAGGTAAAGAAAGTTCCAAGCACTTCCCTTTTGTATGTGACTTTGAAGAACGAAGTCAAAGAGATTTAAATTCTTTAAGCAGATAGACATCCGCAGCTCCCTTGGCGAATAGAGTCGAGGGAGCGAATGAAGACTCAGCTGTGTGTGGAGCCTGTCTGCCCAGCAGAGTCATGACAGACACACCATTGCTCCCAAGTCCCCTCCAGCCAGCCAAGGCCTTACATGGTTCAGAGGTGCTGTGGTACAGTTAACATCTGCCTAAACACAGGGGACTCCCAGGACAGAAGGACACAGAGCCGCTCTTCCAGAAGACAATGTCCCTCCCCACCTGCCACTCAAGTCACTACACTGGCTTCTAGCAGCCTTTTCCGCCTGAGAGCACAAAGAATCTCCAATAGGCTCTCCACACAGTCTAGCCGCTGCCTGAGACCAATCTAATCTCACATGCTCAACAGCACCGAGAGAGAGAATTAATTTATCAAGTCTCTTGAAAAATATAAATTTGAATACATTTTTTCTCTTAGGGGACAAAAAGAGAGAAAAGAAGCAAGGGAGGGAGGGAGCAAGAGAATAATTCCTGTCCAGGTCTGTACTGTTGTGTTATCAGACTTCTAAATGGTGTCATACTAGGTATGACTGAAACTCGGGTGTTTCTCAGTTTAGTTAACAGGTGGGACTCTAACTTTTAAAAAAGCAGGGACGCTCAATTTCTAAATAGATATACATACTTATATACATGTTGGTATATACATAATTTCTCTGACAATGGCCCTCATTATTCCTTCAGAACGAATCCACTTATCTGTCCACAAACACCCCTAAGTTAAGGACACACCATCATGCTACAATCTTATTTCCCCTTCACACACCTTACTAGCAACATGATGGGGAAGGCTCTTGTTCTGGGCTTCAAGAATTTGATGCATATCTGTAAGGTTTCCTGGGGTTTTTCAGAAAGCCCAGTGAACCGGTGGAGATTCACCTCATCCCGAAGCAAGGTGTACACGGTTGGATGTCTCTGGTGCTGCCGAGAGGAAAGAGAGCAAGTCAGGCGGTTTGTCTTGGGGAAGGCAAATGCATTAGAAAGCAGCCAGCCCAGCCTAAAGGCAGCAGAGGCAGTGGGTCAGCTGTCTTTACCAGGTAGTCTTCCTCCCCAAACTCCACGGTCACAGGTGTCTCCAGCCGTCCTCTGAGAATGGGGCTTCTGCTCTTGCAGCTGTAGAGTCTAGGGCTCACCACACTGCCCACCTTGGGGGAACAAAGAAAATGAAGCCGACAGTTGGCCCAAAGGAGAAAAGCGGTTAGGGATGCTGGTGCACACCTTTGATCCCAGCACTCCCTGGAAGCAGAGGCAGACGGATCACTGTGAGTTAGAGGCTAGCATGGTCTACATAGTGAGTTCCAGGATGGCTGGGTTGTGTGGGGATACCCCATCTCAACAAACAAATGAACAAACAAACAAAACCCAGACAAAGCACTGGAAAAGCAGGAAGTGGAATCATATTGTCCAATTCCGATCAAACAAAATGAGTTTAAGGAGATAGGCAGGCAGGATTTGTGTGGCTGGGCGGGGTGGGCACTGCTAGCACCCATTGCATGTTTTCCTTGCTGAAATCATAGCTTTTTTTTTTCTTTTTGAAAATGTTAGTATTTAATTGGCCTCCCTGAGTGGCATCAAGCCACCAGAACACAGGCACCTCCAACACCCTTTATCTTCTCTTCAGCTCTTCTGCTGAAAAATTTGGCTGCTTAGGGAGCTTTCCCTTCCCCAGAACTTTGTAGTAGCCTGATCGCACGACATCAGTGATGGGAGAAACTCCAGTCTTGTTCTTGGCAGCGTTAACCTGGGTCTGCTCACTGACCAGCGTCCACAGTTTATCCAGGTTGACAGTCGGGCAGAAGCTCTGGTTCCTCTTTAAGTGGTAATGCCTCATACCAACTTTCCCGAAGTAACCTGGATGATATTTGTCGAAATTGATCCTGTGATGATGCATGACTCCAGCGTCCCTGCGTCCTCCTGGATGCTTACCGATGCGGTTATGGCCCCCGTGGCCCCGGAGTTTCCTTGTCTTCCTCAGTCTGGATGGCATGGTGGTGGCAGAAAGGAAAGAGGGGGCAACCCGCGAAGTATCGCGAGATAGCAAGTGTGGGGGTGGGACGAATCGAAATGATAGCTTTTAAGTTAAAAAAAATTGTTAAGAACTCTTATAAAAAGAGGTATCTGGGGGCTGGAGAGATGACTCAGTGGTTAAGAGCACTGGCTGCTCTTCCAGAGGTTCTGAGTTCAATTCCCAGCAACCACATGGTGGCTCACAACCATCTGTAATGAGATCTGGCTCCCTCTTCTGGCGTACAGGCATACATGCAGGCAGAATGTTGTATACATAAGAAATAAATAAATAAATCTTTAATTAAAAAAAGAGAGGTATCTGGCATGGGTGTGGTGGTGCAAGCCTTTAGTCCCCAGCACTCAGGAGGCAGAGCTAGGTGAATCTCTGTGTCTCCAATACCTGCATTGTGAGACTCTGTCTTTTTTTTAAAAAAAAAAAAAGGAGAAAAAGGAGGACAAAGAGGACAAGAAAGAGGAGGTGGAGAAGAAGCTGGAGGAGGAGGAAGGGGAAGAGGAGGGACCCCGCTGAGTTGAGCTGCCTGGGAAGGCAGAGGGTGGAGTTGATCATTGCGCTCACAACTGCTCTGCCTGTCCTGTCCCACGTGATTCACAGACCCAGGAGACACTGTGGATTCCAAAAGTAAATGCTCCTGCCAAAGAGCAAAGACCCTGGAAGTCCCTCCTGACCTCCACACCCCTAAAGTGGGACAGACCACACACACCTCTCTGTTAGCATGGAGGAAGAGAGCACTCGTGACTCTTCAGAAGTCCCTTCACAAGTTTTGTTCTGGTTGAACTCTGTGTTGGTTTTAGGAACAGTGAAACCTGCCTGAGCCATGACCACTCCACCACATGTTCTGGCCCTAGACTCCCTGACAAAGATGGGAAGGCACCATGGTGAATACTGCATGGATCCACCTATCAGAGACCAAGGAGCTTTAGTTCTGCGAAGATTTTTTCTGGAGAAATTTGTAAAGACAGAAGACTAAGACTAAAAGCAGAAATCCTGATATTTGGACAATCAGGCCATGATCTCTGGGAGCCTGACTTCAGACACCTAGGACATCTTAGGTAAACAACTAGAGTTTAACTCCTAATGACCTATGGCACCTTCGCCCAAACGGCCAGTGTCAAAAAGGAGGACTTATGCTGGAAGCTGTACTAAGTAACAAGACGGTGAGAAGCCCGCCACCTATCCACCCAGCTCATGACCCCACATAAACAGCTCATGACATAAGGCTAAGTGAGCACTTCCCCCTCGGACTTGCCCATAGCTCCTTCTGTGGTATTGTCTAATAACTCTTTCCTTTCTCTCTCTGGCCTTGTCTCTGGAAAATACATTTCCCACCGTCTTGCCTTGGAAACAAGGACAATGGGCAAGCGTGCCAACCTACTCTCCTTTCTTATGGAAGTTGGGTCACTGAGAATTTGAAGTCGCCATTAGATGTGGCAGAGGCCGTGTGCCCTACCTGTCCAGGCGCTTGTCCCTCTGGGTAAGGGCTGGTCATGAAGAGCATGAGCTGGCTGATGTAGCATGGGCTTTGGGATGCCTCTTGAGCAGGACTGTGCAGGGCCAGGACACCAGGGAAATGGACCCAGATGAAGCCCAGGTTCTGACTAGACTTCTGAAAGCCGTGATGGAGAAGGGTAAAGAACTCCATCTGCCCAGTGCTTATGTGAAACTGAGGCTGGTGGCTCAAGGAGAGACAGGTCTGCAAACACAGGAGGGTGGGGAGGACATTTGCAAGATGAATGAGCAAATGGGTACAAAACACCAAAGGCAATAACACTAAGGCACAAAAGACTCTTCCCTCTTTGGGTTCATCTCACTGATATTTTATTAATTTCTTAAAAATTGCTAGACTTTCTGGTGCTTCTTAGTTCATCAGAAGAGTTTTGATGGTATGATTGCTTTTCAAAACCTTTAGGTCGGTTGGTATGTACCCAAACCTAAGCTTAAGTACATGTTCAGACGGAAGACATTTTCACATCTGCATGTGAACAGTGATGACAAACGTCCAGATTCAAACATAGGATTATCTGACCTACAATTTTCAAAGCACTGTGATAGCTATTAGTTAAATTGGTGCGGGAGCATTCTCTGTATTCTGTCAATCATGTTTTAAATAAACGCTGATTGACCAGGCAGAAGGTGTAGGCGGGAAAACCAGACAGGAAGTGGAAATGATGCAAGGAGAACAGGAGAATTCTGGGGAGGAGGAAGTTGATTCCTTCCACTCCTGCCCAGATCGCCGAAGCTGCAGGATGTGAGCTGCCCCACTGGGAAAGGTACTGAGCCACATTGCTAACATAGATCATAAAAATGGGTTAATCAAGATGTGAGAGTTAGCCAGTTAAGAGGCTAGACCTAATGGGCCAATCAGCATTATAACTTACAGAGATTTCAGTGTGATTTTTCTCTGGGACTAAATAGCTGGGGTACGGGGCGAAACAGAAAACCCAAATAACAAGCAGCCCCCCTCCCATGTTACATTAAATAAACCAGCAAGCTCAGGTGGAAGGGAAGGCTTTAGACAAGGGAAAGAAGAGCAAAGAACTTCTACTACTAACTGACGGCTTCCTCAGAACACTGCCATTTCATCAGATTAAAATAGCTGAGACAGTGTCTCAAAACCATTGCAGCAGAAATAGGTAAAATAGATATCTTTTTTTTTAACAGTCATAGCTCAGCAGGGACACTTTTAAAGCAAATGTCTCCAAGCAATCTTTTGTGTGACTTCATGCCATTCCGCAGAAAACAAAGTATGCCCCCCAAGTCCCAAATGAAAATCTATCCTAACACCGGATGCACAACACTGCTGCTATATAAAACTAACATTCCAGATGAACACTCACAAATGCTGAGCTGCCACCCAGAACCGTGGCTCAGCTCTCAGGAACCAACTCTAAATTTTCAATGGGAAAAGGGATATATGTATGCATGCATGTGTGTATGTATGTATGCATGCATGTATATATGTATTATGTATGTATGTATATATATGTGTATATATACTGGTTAGCATGTGAAGGGAGCAGCTGTTCATTTTGTTTGGTGTGTGTGTGTGCGTGTGTGTCTGTGTCCATGTCTTTGTATCTGCTGGGGATGAAACCAAGGGTCTCATGCATGCCAAGCACACAGTCTACCATTGAACTGCACCCAGGCCTGTGGTTGTATTTTTGTGGGTGAATAGAACATCTTACTAGTAACATGTCAGAGATGATCCTCATGCCTTCTTCCTGCAGAGAGTCCTCATTTCTCGTGTCTTCTTTGGCAGCTTCCCAGACTCCAGAGATGAGAAGGATAAGCTCACCTCCCAGGTTTTTGTTGACCAGCAACTTCCTGGAGAACGGACCTTGGGCCAGGAGCATCTGTGCATATTCGAGGATGTGCACAGCACTCATTGAGCTCAACTGCAGGGAAGAGGAGACGGGGTCAGATGCTTCCTGGCACAGGGTGAGTAGACTTTTGCTGCCTTCCCTGTTACGAGGGGGTCAAAATGATTCGACATGGCATTAAGGCAACAGAATCCAGTTCATGTTTGGTGTTAGGTGATGAGTGGACACCATTCCCAGCAACCATTTGTTCTAGGATGCTCAGCTTCTTCATTTTCACAATGACCAAGGAAAAGCAAAAGGTCCCTTATAGCTTTGTGTGCTTTAGTGTGGCATGCATTTTTTAAAAAGCATGCCAGAAATCCTATGACATATTGGCCCCAGCATCATTCCATATCCTCCATTCTCTCCATTACCCACACATAATCTGTGCTTAAGATGCACCGAACACTTATCAACCCCCCAAAACTAAGTCTTCTTCCCGATACCAAGCATATTCCTCTACCAGTAAATACCTTTGCCCTCTGTTTGCCTAGCAAACCCCTCCTTCTCGGCTTTCTCTTTATAAACCTTCACCATGCAACATTTCCAAATGCTTGTGGAGGCAGAGCGGGTGGGCTCGTGTCGCCACACACCCTTTGCCCACCTTAAAGAGTTATCCTTCACTAGCAGCATTTAAGAAATTAGTGCCCATTTATGAATTCTTTGAGAATGTTATACATAGATACTACGTATTTTGATCATGTCTCCCACCCATCCTTCTGCCTAATTCATCTGAGTAGCACTCAAGACTGCCTGAGTTCCTCCCAGTTCAATGTATGCCGCCTATGTATTAATGGGTGAGGGGTCATCCAAGAGGGTGTGATCAATCGAACCAAGAAATCTTAAATCTAACCCTTAAAGAAATCTGACTCTCTCCCGAAAGCCATCAGCTGTCCACAGGGCTCAGCTAGGGTGCATACTCATGAGCCCCTTTCTCCTCCAAGCAGCATTTGTTCTTGCATTCCCTCTTGAGGTTTTTTTTTTATAATGGAAAATCTCAGATATTAGTTTTACCTCTGAATACTTCACTCTGTGTACTAATAGAGAAGGACTCATTCTGAAAACATGCTCCCCACGCTATCGTCAAGAGCCGCAATTCTATCATCCTCATTTTGCAAGCTATCAGCTCCTAACATCTACTGGGGTTAACTGAACAGCTCTCTGTGCTACAGAGGGCTTGTGCCCCTTTCCTAATGACAGGGCTGCTAGCAGAGCTTTCTGTTTTGTTTTGTTTTTGAGACAGGGTTTCTCTGTTTAGCCTTGGCTGCCCTGAAACTTGCTCTGTAGACCAGGCTGGCTTTGAACTCACAGAGATTTACCTGCCTCTGCTTCCAAGTGCTGGAAGTAAAGGCCACCATGGCAAGCTAACATAGTTCTTTTCTTTTCTAAAGGATGCCTTTCTAAATTAATTTCATTGATTGGTGTCTATAAGACAGGGATTAAACATTTCCTTCTTTGGTCTTTATCAGCTTCTAGCAACTGTTACAGAAATGTGTGTGGAGGAATGAGCAGATTCTGTTTTCTGGCAGTCACACTTATTTAACTAGCAGTGAGCAGTGGCTTAGAAATAGCTTCTGAGATGAAATTCTCCCCCAAAGTGCAAAAGTAAGCTAGTCTGGAAGAGATTTTTTTTTTTGAAATTTATTTGTGTATGTGTTTACAAATACATGTGCTTTTTTTGGTGTGTGTGTGTGTGTGTGTGTGTGTGTGTGTGTGTGTGTGTATACATGCATATGGAACTCTGAAGGTCAATGATAGGTGTCTTTCTCAGTCATTTTCCACCTATGTGTGTATGTATGTATGTATGTAGAATGTATTGAGATAAGGTCTCTCCCTGAACATGGAACTTACCAGTTTGCTAGACTAGCTGACCAGCGAGGCCCAGGCCTCTCCTGTTTCTGTATCCCTAGTTCTGGGATTATAGATGTGAGCTACGGTGCTGAGCTTTTTACACAGTTGTTGGGGACATAAACTCGGGTTCCACGCCTGTGCAGGGAGCACTGGACTGGTTGAGACATTTCCTCAGCCCCTGGAAGAGCATTTAAACTCCTTCCAGAGCTAAATCAAAACAGGGTTTTAAATAAAGAACTGTCGTCCTTTTAAACATATAAGAGCATTATGCCCAATTTTTGTGCTGCATGATGTTTAAACAAACAAGCAAAAATATCAGGATTGGTTACTTCAGAAATGGCAGTCGTGTTTGGCTTCATTTCTGAGAGATGCACGACAGGACTGTGGAGAAGCATGGGCTGATCCCTACCATGTCACCCTCCCGAGGCTTCTGAAGAGTTATGTCTAGGCAAAAACTCCACACCCCAGATCCTGGAGTCCAGGTGAGGCCACGTGTGCAACTGTCAAGAAAATGTGTGGGATTAGGCTTGTCACTTCCAGGGTGACATCAGTGACATGTGGCACACCTTATCTGAATTCTTCTCCCCTGAACTGGGGAGCCATAGAGTGGAGATGTCAGATGCATGAGAATAAGGGAGGGGGTGATTGTGTCTCCATGGGAGGATCACGCAGAAAACACCTTGTCTGCATTCAGTTACTCGGACACCAGGGCTTTTTGTTATAGCAGCTAACATTACTTTAGCACAGCTTGCACCCTGGGAGAAGGAGTTAGAAGGCAGATGTGGCCCCAAATCCCAGTTCAAGTGCTATGTTTATGTGGAGTCAAATGATTCTATCATCAGGCTCCTGAGGGTTTCATAGAGATTGAGGCATTTGAAACCATCTTTGATAAGAAACTAGTATTTTCGAAGGAGCAGAAAAGAAAAAAAACCTGTTCCAGGTTAAGAGGTTTATTACTTCAGGAACATGAGAAAAGCCTAGAGTGACAGAGCATAGAAGAGATGGCTTACAAAGGGAGACACAGAGATACTGAGCGGGGCCAGGTGAGGCCTTTTTGTGCCATGTGGAGAATCTCAGCACTCTCTATAATGTAGAGAGCCATCAGGAATATTGAGTATTAGGTGACGTGAGCGGATGTGTTCTATGAAGGCAGATCTGTAAGCGAAGAGGAGTGTGTGGTCCAGCCTTCCGATCTGACCTCCTCATTAAAGATGAAGAAAATACATAGGAGGAAGAATAGGAAATAGATGGCAGGGCCACAGTGTCTCTCACTCGTTCTACTTCTGCCTCTCTGTTGTCATGGCACCCACACTCCAGGGAGAGAAAGAAGAGCCCTAAAGAAATGTGCAAGATAGCTGCTAAGTACAGAACTACCAAAGGAGGGAGCCCAGGCAAGAAGGAGAAAGAGTGCAAAGAAAGCACTTGGGCTGAGAGTCTATGGATTGTTCTCAGTTCTCTGCTGAGTCAAAGGCAGGGCATGATAGCACAAGACCAACTACCATAGTTATGGGCCAGAATAAACAAGCATGTGATTGGTTGAAGGACTCACATGAAGAAAGTGTAGATCAGAAGCAGCCAAAGCATGCAAGCTATGGTGAGCTGTTTGTGTGTCCCTGAATGTGAACACACAGCTGTAGAATGGTATTAAGAGAGGGGACATGACTACCTGATTGAGGCTTTTCCACAATAATGCTCTGACTGCTGATTGTGGCAAATGTTCTAACGGTGGCAGAAAGGAAGCAGAGAGTGTGATGAGCGACATACCCAGCCTGGATGAAAGATGGTCGGCGTGTAGGTTAGTGTGGCGCAGTAGAGATGGAAGAGACAGGGAGAGTCTAGTTGCATCCTTTTAAAAGAAGAACTGACTAGTTTAGTTACACTTGATGTACTCAGAAATCAAAGAATGCTCAGGTGACCGTGCGTGTTTTCACTTGACTCTGGGTAGCAGACTCTGGGTCCCAGCTTGAGCCAAAGGAAGCAGGAAGAAAATGGAGTGGCTCTGAACTTGGAAATGTGAGACTGGTTTACAGCACACGAGAGAAGGCTGGGCTGAGGATATGAAATGCACAGTCTGAGATAGTCACATCGATTTAAGACTAACAGCCTAGGAGAGGCCATCGGAGAGAGTATCGGAGAAGAGGTCCAAGTGACTCCCTGCTGAAACGCTTCCGATGTCAACATGACAGGGAGGAAGGGACTGGAGAACCAGGCATGGCAACCAAAACCTGAGCCATGAGGCCATGGAATGAACCACACCCTCATGGAATGGCCTATGAAGGAAAAAAAGAGGCTGAGAAGAGCTTTCTGGGAGAGTTGAGGGATCTTTTAGCTTCAGCACTGCAAGCATGCCAAGCCACTGCTACGGGTGAAGCTGCAGGGCAGACAGCAGGTGTGGATGCTGCAAATTCAGGCGCTACCTCAATGCTCTACTGGAAAGAGGTGCCTAGAAACGAGAGCTGCTGGAAGAAGGTGGACATCAGCATATGGGCATTTAAAGAAGTAAGTGGGAGTCTTGACATACCTTGGCATCATCTAGAGGAGGAATAAAGGAAGTGGCCGAGCATGGGCAACCTAAGGAGACAAACCCTGGAGGACAGTATGACAGAGATGAAACAGCCGCTTAGGGTTGAACATGCTCCAACCCCAGGGACAGCAGTCACACAGGCTGGACTGAGGCCACACAGGGTGATGGTAGGTAGGTTCCTGAGCCCAGAAGGAGGGAGGATGCTTGCTGGGAGCCCGGGTTTTTGTTTCCTAGCAAAACTGCAGTAAGATTTGCTGACTGGTGACAACGAGGGACTCCCATGAGTTATTCTGTCGTTTCTCAAAGGACAGCATAGTGAAGACACCTATTGAGGGACTCTGGGGAATGCTGAAGATTTGAGAAAACAAGTAGGCATGGCCACGAGAAAATTCAATACCACACATTAGCAATAAAGAATGATCCGCCCACCAATGTGATTCATACTATGGAAGGCACTTGTTACTCCTTTGTACTTCTAATTCTGAAAGAAGAAAAAGTCCTCAGGCATGGATAATGCTGTTAGAACATTCAGGAGAAAGTTCTGTCTCTAATCTCAATGTCAAAATAAAATTTTGAATCATACATTTATCAAGTCGTAATCACAGACTTTATAATTGTGCAAATTCCAGAAAAATATACCAAGAAAGAAATAGTGCTTACCTTATTAGGGAAGCTTATGAGGTCTCTCAGTATATGAATAGAGTCCACCATTACTTCCTAAATAGCAGAAACAAGTCAACAAACCAGAGAGAGGTTATCATATTATTTCAAATGTAGTTTGATTCTTTATATTGCTCTTTTCATTTCTATTTTGTTGATTTTTGGCTCACAATTTGATGATTTTCTGCCTTCTAGTGCCCCTGAGATCAAAAACACTGATGACAACTTATGCTGGAAAGGATGTGAGGTAAAAAGAACACTTCTCCATTGCTGGTGGGAGTGCAAACTGGTACAGACACTTTGGTTAGCAGAATGGCCATTTCTCAGAAAATTAGAAAACAATATACCTCAAGACCCAGCAATACCACTTTTGGGTATATACCCAAAGGATGCTTAATCATACCACAAGGACATGTGCTCAACTATGTTCATAGCAGCATTATTTGTAATCACCAGAACCTGGAAACAATCTAAATGCCCCTTGACTGAAGAATGGATAAGGAAAATGTGGTACATTTACACAATGGAGTACTACACAGCAGAAAAAAATGACACCTTGAAATTTGCAGGCAAATGGATGGATTTGAAAACATCATATTGAGTGAGGTAACCCAGACCCAGAAAGATAAATATAATATGTACTCACTTATAAGTGGCTTTTTAGACATAAAGCAAAGAAAAACCAGCCTACAATTCATAATCACAGAGAACCTAGACAACAAGAGGACCCCAAGAGAGACATACATGAATCCAAACTACATGGGAAGTAGAAAAAGACAAGATCTCCTGAGTAAATTGGGAGCATGGGGATCATGGGAGAGGGTAGAAGGTGAAGCAGGAGGGAGTGAGGGAGAGGAGCAGAGAAAAATATATAACTCAATAAAAACAATTTAAAAAACAAACATAGCTTGATTATGAAGACATGGAGCACATGTTGTGTTTTTCTATGAAAAGCCTTGATAGAGACCGGCCCTTTTGCAGCGAGATCATGACCTTGGCCTCAATGTTTCCGTATAGTCCAGCATGACTCTGATGTGTCCCTGGCCAGCATCACCAGGAGGAAACTGACACAATAGAAGCTGAAATACAGGGACAGGACAAAAAGGAGCTTAGAGGAAGGGGCAGGGAAATGGCAGCGGAAGGAAAATGATCAGGCCTAGCAGAGGCTCCTGTAATTCTAACGAAGTAAGGCCTGCTGTGTGTAGGCATGAATGTTCCTGAGTGGCCATTGTAAGGCAGAGCTGCAGAAATGTCGGAGGGGCGGTAGTCTTTCAGCCGTGGTCATTCATTGAGAAACTGCACTTGGGGCAGGAAAGATGGTTCAGAGGTTAATGTGCTGGCTGCTTTTCTAGAGGACCTAGGTTCAATCCCATGCTCCCATATAGTGTCTTACAACCATCTGTAACTCCAGTTCCAGGGGCTCCAAGGCTTGCTTCTGGCCTCCACGAGCACCAGATACACACACACACACACACACACACACACACACACACACACACACACACACACGCGCGCGCGCAAAATAATCATATACATGAAATAAATCTTTACAAACTTAAAAACATTGATATTTACAAAAAAGAAATTGCATACAAGGTTTGACCTTATCCCTTGACTGATGGTTGCTCACAGAATAAAAAATCGGATTTATAAATGTTTTTATTCATAGATACATTAGGAGAATTATCCATAGTAATAATCACCTTGTATCACTGCCTCCACTCTGAAGCAGAGGCATTCCCAGGAGCCGAGCAGCCTGTGTGCCTGGTCTCCTTTCCTGCCTGTGTTATAGGCGCAGGAGCCCTTGCTGAGGAGACAGCACTCAGAGGTCTGCTGCTGTCCAGGTTTACAGGGACTGCACTGCCCTGCTCAGGGACATACCTGGTCTGTAAATGGTACTCTGCATGCTGAAGAAATCAATACATCTTGTATCTGTGACCATAGGCCACAGGAAGACGTGTTTCTGCTCTCCACATACAAACGGCTCAGAATCACCGTGGTCATGGCGATGTAGTTCCGGACTTCCGTGTAACTCCCCAACAGCTGGAGAGAAGACAGGGTGTCCAGGGTGGAGTCGTATCTGAAGGAACAGAGCGGTGGCGATGGTTTGACGGCATTGTAAAGCTTTATTCTGCCAAAGGGGGAATGGAGTTTGTCCTTGAGTGGGTCTGAACCCAAAGAGAATGACCTAAAGAGGAGGTGGTTTGTATCAGGGAAACATGAAACACAATTAGACACGTTGCCAAAATGCTAAGAACACTTCTCCGATTAGAACTGAAAAAACATCAGATGTCAAACAGATCCCAGTATATGACATCATGATAAATGAAGGAATGTGGCCCAGAGACAGACACAGTGGCTAGAGCAAGCGGAAGAGGGGCAGGTAGCCTAGCCGTTGAGAACTCATGTATGCAGACCCAGATTAGAAGGAAAACACACGCACATTTGCAGCTCAGTATAAAATCGCCAAGTGTATGACTTCACATTTTAGTAGTTTGGCATTTCAATTATTTATGAATGGAAAAAAAAGAAAAAGAATTATTTATGAATGGAATAATGAGCTTATTTGCACCTGGAAAGGCAACATTTTGGCTTAGACAGAGCTCTGTGCATGGCTCCATCGCCTTCTTCAGCTCTTGCTCTACACTGTCTTTGTCATGTGGCTGCCAAATACCATTTACTTGAATAACCCAGCCTAAATGTCCCAAGGTAAAACATTGTCGAACTAAATAAAATGCTTGGTGAGCAATGAACCACACACCAAACAGTATGACATGCTGGCTAAAGACTGCAGGAAGCCAGGCGAAAGAGAAAACACAGAAATGAGTCTGAGAAGAAACAGCACAGATTGCATGATTAGGGAAAATTTGTTTCACAGATTTAATCTCCTCCAGTCAATAAACACACAAATAAAACGCCAAGGAAACAAAGGCAGCCATAGGAAGCCCTAGAAAACAGGGCTCATGCCCGGAGAGGCAGAACATATCAGACAAAAGGTCCAGTTTTCAATGAAATCTTTATAGACAGCCAAACAAGCTTAAAGTCCAGCCCAAACCCAGGAAAGATAATAGACAATAGGAACTTCCTGTGAGAAAATCCAAATAATGGATTGATCAAAAACTTCAGAGCAGGAATCATAAATATGTTCAAAGAGCTAAAGAAAACTAATTTTGAAGATTAAATAAAAGTATTATAGTGACTAATCAATTATAGACATGCAATAAAGAAAAGCTATAAATCAAATGGAATTACTGGAGTTATGTGTATATTAACAATAATGAAAATTCACTGCAGAGTTTGAAAAGCAAATTTTGAGAAAAGCAGCTGTGAATTTGGGGACCAAACAATAGAGATAATGCACAACAAGCAGAAAAGAATAGGAAGAGAATGAAGATAGATTTGTAGACATTCTGGATAGGAAGTTCACAAATGATACATTTCTTTTCTTTTCTTAACAACAAATCCATTGCAGAAGGTGATGTCTATAAAGTGCTATGGTCAAATCTATAACAGCAGGCATCCATTCAGACAGATATCTTAAGGCACCTACAATGGTTACACCTATATAAGGCTAAAAATAAAAGAAATGGGGATCAATTAATGATCTAGGGGGACATTTTCTGCTCATAAAATGGGCCAACCTGCCAGAAAGGTAAAAGTTATAAATTTATAATAGGTCAAAGTGTGAAGAAGAAGGGATTGAGTGCTCAGCCCTCATCTGTGTGACCGACATCACCATCAAGGCTTAGGAAACATGGTGGGAGAGGAGTTAGCTGGAGGATGGGGAGGAGAGCTGTAACATGCTGTCTTCTGAACATGGCATGCCATAACAATCATGAACTCACAGCAGCTGTGGTTGCCTGTACAAGATCGACACAAGATCAAGCCAAGCCCAGTCCCAGCATAGATAGGGTAGATGATCTCAGCTCCACCCTGTACACTGTGAATATGTGTTGCTCTCACTGGCTGATAAATAAAGCTGCTTTGGCCTATGGCAAGCAGGATAGAGCCAACAGAGAAATCCAAGCAAAGATAGAGGAGAAGAAGGGTGGAGTCTGAGAGACACCAGCCAGTCACGGAGGAAACAAGACATGCAGAAAATGAGGTAACACCACGGCCATGTGACAATACATCGATTAATATAAATAGGTTAATTAAAATGTAAGAACTAGCTAGTAATAAGCCTGAGCCATCAGCCAAACATTCACAATCAATATTAGGCCTCTGAGTGGTTATTTGAGAACTGACAGGTGGGAAAGAAAACTCTGATTACTATACCCCTTGCTAAGGATCTATTGGCAGTGAATGGTTGCTGGGGAGGGAGAATTATTATTTTTTGAGGATGTGGCCACTCATAGGATTCCCATGCTCCAATGGTCAGTCACACTTCCATGAGCCATACTAACTATACTTGGTGGGTTGTTAAAAAAAAAGAAAGATGTGAAGTAGGGGGCATATTGGGGCATATAGAGTGAATTGGAGGGGGAAGTTGGGTTGGAGATAATAATATTTTGTTGTATACAATATAAAAATTTCAGAAACAAAGAAAAACATTTAAAACTGTAAAAATCTAATATAGAAATGTTCACAGTGCATTTCTAAACAGAGGCAGCATTATCACACTATGAATGTGCTCACAATTGCCCAAATACATAACATTGTGGAATCTGTAAAATTTTTATGAATACATCGGGAATCTACCAACAAAGAGCAAAACCTGATGGCATGGGAGGGACAAGAAGGACTTCAAAGGTAATGATGCTACCAACAATGGACAGAACAATAGGAGATCAGCAAGGTATATAAGACTCAAGATGAAGGTGCTCAAACACATTACATATGAATATATTAAATAAGAAAATTAATTTATTACTTATTTTGCATAGGAGTATTTTGCCTGAGTGTGTCTATGTGCCAGGTACTTTTGGAAGTCAGAAGAGGGCATTAGATGACTTATAACTAGAGTTGTAGATGGTTGTGAGCCAGCATGTGGGTGCTGGAAATAAAACCCCAGTCCTTTGCAAGAGCTGCAAGTGCTCTTAACTGCTGAGCCATCTCTGTAGCCCCAAAGAATAAATTTTTAAAATGTTCACACAATAATTTTGGGGCCAGAGAGATGGCTCAGCTGGTAAAGATATTTTCTAGGCAAACCTGACAACCTGAGTTTGATCCTCAGGACCTAGACCGAGGTGGAAAGAACGAGTTCTCCAAAGTTGTCTTCTGACCTACATCTATGTGCCATGGCACGAAATGAGCATCAATAAATGCATCTTGGCATTTCTGGTGTGTCCCAGCTTGCTTTCTGTTGCTGTGATAAAACACTAACCAAAAGCAACTTGGGGAGGGAAGGGTTTATTTCTCCTGACAACTTCCATGTCACACTCTATTCTGGAGGAAATTCAGGACAGGAACTCAAGGCAGGAACCGGAAGCAGGAATTGAAGCAGAGGCCAAGGAAGAACACTGTTCATTGGCTTGTTCCCCGTCACTTGCCCAGTCTGTGTTCTTATATAATCCAAGAGCACCTGCCCAGGGTGTGGGTGGGACACCACCCACATTAGTCAATCATTAAACATGAGACTGTCCCACAGGCTTGTCCAGAGGTCAGTCTGATGGAGACATTCTCTCAAGGCTTCACCTTCCCAGACGACTTCAGCTTTTATTGAGAAGACACAAAAACTAAGCCCAGCACGGTCAGCACTGAGGAAAATCACTCTCCTCTGCCGGTGCTGGTGGGAATACCAAGTGGTTCAACTCCTCTGGAGAGGTGCTAAGCAAGAGGTATCATATGACCTAACAGTTCTTCCCTGGAGAAATAAAAATGTTCACCCACACCAAAGCTTGCAAAAGAATCTTCAGCATAACCCGACTTACAGACAAAATTAAGCAATGCCAATGAGTAAATAAATTAATGCAATACGATAAATATTACTGAGCCATAAAATGAGGTACTGATTTGTGCGGGATCATGGATGAAACTCAGCAATATTCGTACGTGAAATGAAGAGGAACACTCAAGAGCTCATTCTCATCATTCTGTTGCCACGAAATTTCTAGAATCTGCAAATCTTTAGACACAAAGATTTTGGCTTTGGGAATTTGGAGGTAGGCATTGGGGTTGATGATTTGGGAGTTACTACTGTTTGGTACAAAGGTGTTGTGATGACCAAATGTTTCCAAGCTAGACCATGCTAAAGGCCACAGTGCTCTGTGAGTGTGAGGAACTTCCATCAGTCAGCTATGTAATACTTAAATGATACCCCAGTTAAACTGTTTAAGGGGCTGGAGAGATGGCTCAGTGGTTAAGACTGCTTGCTGCTCTTCCAGAAGATCCAAATTCACTTTCCAGAATCTATGTAGAGTGACTCATACTGACCTCTACTCCAGCTTCAGGGGTTCAATGCCTTATTTGGGACTCTTCAGGCACCCACACACATGTGAGAAACCCCAACCTCTAATACCCTCCCAAAGATGCATACATAAAATAAATCTTAAAAACATTTTAAAAAGAAAAGAAAGAGCACCATGGACCCTGAAGCAGCAGCACAGGGCCATGCAAGAGGTATTAAACAGGCCATGACCGGGAAACCCTGGCTTTTGCCCAGCAAGAGAAGAGCTTTTACTATTGCTCTGTTAGCAATTCTTTATCACCTCCCCTGGGAATATAAGCTCTGCTGTCCGGTGTCTTTGTTGCACTCTCTTACTTACAGGTCCTTGTCAGGACAGTCATTTCCATGGTAACGGGGTAGCACAGTCACTTCCACACTGCATGGCTGCACCTTGGAACCTTGGCCATCTGTGATCTCAGTAGAAACAATGACTGTAAAGGAATATGACAGAGGAGGGTCATCCCAGACGCTAGCTTCATACACTATCAGCAGCTGAATAGCATGGGCAATGGTGGCAGGGTGGGGGATGTTCACAAAACTCAGGCAAGCTGTCTTCCTTCCCACATCATACCCACTGAGGATACCAACAAATCTGTGAGAATCTTTGTCAAGCAAAACTATGAGCTATAGGAGCAATGGCTTTTAAAGATTTATTTTTATTGGAAATAGATTTTTTAGATAATACATTCTGATTACAGCTGTCTTCTGACCCCTCTTAGATCTTTTCCATCGCGCCATTCACCCAAATTTACACCCTTTCTTGCTTTCTCTCATTGGAAAACAAACAGGCATCTAAAAAATTAAAAAAAAGAATAAGAAAATATAAAAACAAAAGAACTTGAATAGAACAGAACAAATAGAAAAAAGGAGCAAAGAAAAACATTTATAGATTCAGAGACAGAAACATACACATTCTAACACACAGTCATCCCAAAATTATATAATATGTAACTAAAAGACATAAAAGGTTGAAGAAAAGGCAAAAGAAAAAAAGGAAGGAAGAAAGGAAGAAGGGAAGGAAGGAAGGAAGGGAAAAAGGAAGGAAGGAAAAAAGAAATCAGACAAGGCTATATTCAAAGATCAATTTCTTGCTCAACCATACAGAGATGTGTCCTCATGCAGTAGAGGAAAACAAACACAGAGACCCACAATGGAACAATGTGCAGAGAGTGAGAGATTTTGGACCACTAAGTCCTACATGGGATGTCTGCACTGAATCCCTCCCCTCAGGGCTCAGGGAACCCTATGGAAGAGGAGGCAGAAAGAGTGTAAGAGCCAAAGGGGATGGAAGAGACTAAGGAAACAAAGCCTTCTAGACACAATAGGATTGTTGCACATGTGAGCTCACGATCACTGTGGAAGCTTGCACAGGGTCTGCACAGGTCTAAGCCAGATGCATCTCAGCATTGAGTGGACATGAGCCCCCATCCCGAACCCAGAAACTATAGCCAATTGATAACTGCTTGCAAAGGAAAAATCAGTTCAACAGAGTCTCACTGGTTATACAAACCACACTTAGGTCAAGCCCAGGAGTAGAGAGCCAACACAAAACAAACTCGAACGCAGTTTTCAGATTTTTGTCTTATAAAGATGTATTTTTAATTGTGTGTGTGTGTGTTGTTGTTGTTGTTGTTGTAAGAAGAGTGGCAGGCTGCATTCTGCCAAGCTTAACCCCTGAAATAATTACACGGAAAGTATATTCAGTTAAACACTGCCTGGCCCATTGTCTCCAGCCCCTTATTGGTTGACTCTCACATATTAATTTAGCCCATCTCCATTAATGTGTATCACCACTTGACTGTGGCTTACTGGCATGAGTCTAACCAGCGTCCATCTCAGAGAGGAAAGCCATGGAGTCTACCACACTGCCTTCTTTCCAACATTCTGTTCTGTCTATGCTGCCCACCTAAGGGCTGCCCTATCAAAAGGCCAAGGCAGTCTCTTTATTCAACCAATGAAAACAACACACAAAGAGAAGGACCTCCTACACCATTGTGTGCGTGTGCATCAGTGTCAGGGTGTGCACATGTGAGAGCAGGTGCTCTTGGAGGCTTGGAGAATATACTGAATTTCCTGGAGCTAGGGCTACAGGCACCCACCCAACCTAGTCCTGATAATCAAATTCAGGTCTTCTTCAAGAGTAAGTAGTACATGCTCCTAACCAATGAGACATCAGTGCTGCCCCATGGTAATGGCCTGTTAACCAGGGATTCAAAAATAAGGCTTGGTGTGAGAAAAGACCTCAAGATTCTTCTGTCCTTCTGGGGAGACCTCACAGCCCAACCAAGATCTGAACACCAAAGTAAGGTCAGTGAGTGCTCATCAGGTAGGGGACAGAAGGTGTCACAGAGGGCAGACAGGCAGAGCCTGTCACTGTGTGCTGCAGGAGGGGACGGGTAAGTCATCATCCATTCACAAGGTCATGGTAGGTAGGACTATTTCTGCCCTCCGGAGTATCCCTGTCTATCAAAAATATAAGGAGTGCTGAAATGGGGTACATGGTCACAGAGAGTGTAATCCTGACCACAGTGGATGGTCTGACATTAGTGTCACATTTTAACTAGTTCCTTGTTAAATGATGGAACCAGATTTAACAGGCAAAGTTAAAGAAGAATTCTGAGGGAAGGCTTGCATAAAAACATCTGTTTGTATCTAGCGAGAAATGGCAACTTGATGGACTTAGGAATCCTTTCACGTAACAAAGGCTCAAACGCGTAATAAGAACGGCTGGTGAAGGTGGGGTTTAGATGATGGCCACGGAAATAGTCATGTGTACCACACAGGAAGACCAGCATGTATGTGAACCTTGGGTATCTACATAGTAGACCCAACTTGGAAAGGAGACTCAACTTGGATGTCAGTCCTTCTTAGGATGTGGGCCCTGGGCATAAGTATCCTAATCTCTGAGAGGCCCAGATTCTGGGCTCTAACTTTCCCCAAGATTGTGAACAAGTAGAACTCTACTACAGAGCGACAGTACTGAAAACAGTGTGGTATTGGCATAAAAACAGAAAGGAGGATCAATGGAACAGAATTGAAGAGCCAGGTATCAATCCACACACTTATGAACACCTAATTTTTGACAAAGAAGCAAAAAATATAAAATAGAAAAAAGAAAGCATATTCAACAAATGGTACTGGCATAACTGGATATCAATATGTAGAAGAATGTAAATAAATCCATAGCTATCACTATGCATAAAACTCAAGTCCAAATCGATCAAAGATCTCAACATAAAGCCAGCCACACTGAACCTTACAGAAGAGAAAGTGGGAAGTACACTTGAATGCATTGGCACAGGAGACCACTTCCTAAATATAACCCCAGTAGCACAGACACTGATAGAAACAATTAATAAATGGGATCTCCTGAAACTGAAAAGCTTGTGTAAAGCAAAGGACATGATCAACAAGACAAAACGACAGCCTACAGAATGGGAAAAGATCCTCACTAACCCCACATCTGATAGAGGACTGATCTCCAAAATATACAAAGAACTCAAAAAACTTGACATCAAAAGAACAAATAATCCAATCTGTTTAGGGGTACAGTCCTAAACAGAGAACTCTCAACAGACAAACCTCAAATGGCTGACAGACACTTAAGGAAATGTTCAACATCCTTAGCTATCAGAGAAATGAAAACCAAAATAACTCTGAGATTCCATCTTACACCTGTAAAAATGGCCAAGAACAAAAATGCCAATGACAGCTTATGCTGGAGAGAATTTTGGGATAAGGGGAACACTCCTCCATTGCTGGTGGGAGTGCAAACTGGTATAGCCCCTTTGGAAATCAGTATGGTAGTTTCTCAGAAAATTAAGAAACAACCTATCTCAAGGCCTAGCAATACCACTTTTGGATGGATATATATAGGATGCTCAATTGTACCACAAGGACATGTGCTCAACTATGTTCATAGCAGCATTGTTTGTCATAGCCAGAACCTGGAAACAACCTAAATGCCCCTCAACTGAAGAATGGATAAGGAAAATGTGGTACAATTACACAACAGAGTACTACTCAGCAGTTAAAAAAACAAAAAACAAAACAACAACAACACCCCCCAAAAATGAAATCTTGAAATTTGCAGGCAAATTGATGGATCTAGAAAACATCATATTTTGTGAGGTAACCCAGACCCAGAAAGACAAATATAGTATGTTCTCATTCATAAGTGTCTTTTAGACATAAAGCAAAGAATAACCAGCCTACAATTTACAACCTAGACAACAAAAAGAGAGACATACATGGATCTACATAGGAAGGAGAAAAAGACAAGATCTCCTGAGTCAATTGGGAGGGTGTGGGGCTCACCAGAGAGGGAAGAAGTGGAAAGGTGAGGAAGGGAGAGGAGTAGAGAAAAATGTAAAGTGCAATAAAAGCAATAAAAAATTGATAAAAAAGAATAAAAGAAATTAAAGTTAAATACCTAAGAATAATATATTATAACTGTCCAATGTATTCTACTAACTACTATGATTTTAAATTAAATTTAAATCAAAAAATACAGGTAAAGGGCCTAAATTCACTGAGGTGAATAAATGATTTTAATTTCTAGGCCTCTCTAATAATCTATAGCTTTCAGAACGAGGGAGACAGTGTTTGGAGGAATAAGTAGGCATACCAAGTCACATGGTTGGCACTGTGGCTTACCTTTGTAATTGTCTGAGGTCTCACCAGCTGGTAATAAAAAGTAGTACTGGGTATCTCGTCCACTGTACAGGGTGTGTGGAGAAGTGTTTCCTACCCGGTAGCGAAATTCATAATGGAAGTCCTATGATTCAATCCATGGGAGGAAAAATAAACAGGAAACTGAGCACAGTATGGATGGAATCACCAATCAAAGCCACACACCTCTGCCTTCATGACCACTGATGGTCGTGTTTTGCAGCCTAGACCAGAGTGCCGACATCATCCTCAGTACACACAGTACACACGGACGCTGTGGGACCCATGGGTTCTTAAGCTGAAGGGTTTCTCATATTCTGCCCTTGGGTCAGCTAGCTCTCCTGTCTTTGGATACCCTAACACAGCGGTTTGCAACCTGTGGGTTGCAATCTCTTCTCTATGCATGAGGGCAGGTTTCTGAGAAGGAACATGGGCAGAACAGGATCGGGTCAGATGGTGTCCAGAGCCAGACGACTCTGACTGAAAACACAGCCTTATGCTGTGCCGCCATCTGACTTCAAAGGGAGCCTTGGTCAAAGGGGCAAGTGTGAGTCAGAGACATGTCCTGGTGATGGAGTTAGGCCTCAGGTTGATTCCCCCACCCCGTTTGTATGGCCATAGTTAACAGAGCCTCCTGACTTTGCGACAATGCCCTGCAAGGATCCTCTCCTTCTAATGAGGAGGCTGCTTTTACTAGTAGAAGCCCCCCATTCAGGCAGGAATGACTCCCACAGTGCAGGGCAGACTCAGCCCGGCAGCCTGCCAGGCAAAGAAGTCCTATGCTTTCCAAGAGCTGCGGTTGCCTGCACCCCTCAGGACAGACAAGGGTTCGCACATACCGGTTTCCCTGACATGCAGAAGACACTGAAGATGGTTTGTGCCTCCACACCACTGTGGGGTCGCACCTGACAGGACATGTCCTGTGGAACTTGATTGACCGTTATGTAGAGCTGAGCTTTGCCTAGTAAGGCCTTCTTTGAAGCTAAGAGAAAGACAGGATAGAGATTTCAGCCAGCATAGAGAAGTAGAGTGGAGAATACACACACACACACACACACACACACACACACACACACACACATTCCCCATGTACTCAGTTTGTGTCTGGAATCTGACGTAGACATCTGCTAAGAATTCTCTGGGCAGATGTACCCCAACAGGCATAGTTATTACTCCCCAGTGATTAAACACCATGTTATATCCCTTCTGTTTTATTAATTACCCTACAATAATTTATTAGCATTCACATTTTTTTTAAAAAAGATAATATATTCTTAGGATAAACTATGGGCTGGAGCTCTCTTTGTCACATTGTCAAAAGCCCTAATCTGGTCCTATGAGGACTGTTTGTGTGGCCTCCGGCAGGCTGAACACTGCCTGTGCTTCCTATTTAACAGCAGTGTGACAACAATGACCGCAAAGAATGGGTCCGTCAACACAAGTGACATCCAAGAGGATGCGGTGACTAGTTCTGCCTTGCTGCCCAGCCAAATCCCTGCAGAAGAAGCATTTAGAGCTAACAGTCCTGGGGTATGACTAGCATGCCGGCCTAAGACAGGGACATAGGGGCAAGCGTGTTCCTCTGAAATAACACAAGCAAGGACAGCCACACAGCGCCATGTGCAATGGAGAACACAGGAGACTGAAGCTGTTAGGGAGGCTGTGTGTGGGTTAAGTGGTGGCCAGAGGAGCAGGACACCCGGAGCCTGAGCTCAGCTCTCCCAGGAGGCAGAAGACACTGAACAGGATCCAGGGAAAATGGGAAGACTTTCAGGCATCTCCCGTACATGGCCTAAGAGAACGGCTTTCCGTTTGTTCATTGGTGGATTTAAAGACAGGGGTGGGAGCGTGGCACATGAGCTACTGAGAAGCAATGGTATCCATTATAACAGAAGCAAGCACTGGTCTCAGGACTTAGTGTCTAGACTGGCCAGGCAGAGATTCACAGCAGTGGTGAGACTCCAGAAGGGCCAGTCTCTGAAATATCAGAAAATAAGCAACCTTGGGCTGCCGTCTTGGGCGCTGTATATACAAACTCAGGAGGCAAAACTGCAAGTGCACACAGTAAGTTTTGCTTCTCTGGTTTTGCTCTGAGGTCTGGTCTGACCTTGAACTTGCACTCCTCTTCCCTCAGCCTCCCAAGTGCTGTGATTACAGATGGGCCACTCTGACTGGCTCCTGGTGGACTCTAATAAATGTAAAAAATGTAGGTGAAGAATCAATACGGCATATCAGGGGAACCTTCTGTGCTCGTTGAATGGGACTTTTGACTCCAGAAGTGGGGGAAGGTTTAAAAGGTACCCAAAAGAATGCTTTCAGATTGAGTCATGAAAATGCAGGAAGAGTTGCCGGACATTGAACAGGGTAAGCCTGTGGCAAACTCCAGCCCACGTTGAACACTTAGAAAAATGGCACTAACACATGGCTTGGATTAAATATATGCAGGGTAGGTGGCCCACTCAGGTGTGGTAGTTTGAATGTAATTGCCCCTATAATCCCACAGGGAGTGGTGCTATTAGGAGCTATGGCTTTGTTGTGGTTGGTATAACCTTGTTGGAAGAACTGTGCCACTGTGGGGGCAGACTTTGAGGTTTCCTATCCTCAGGATACTGCCCAGTGTGTCAGTCAACTTCCTGTTGCTTACAAGATGTAGGACTCTCAGCTCCTTCAGCATCATGTCTGCCTGCATGCCGACATGCTCCTACCGTGAAGATAATTGACTGAACCTCTGAACCGTAAGCGAGCCACCTGGATTAAATGTTTTCTTATAAGAGTTGCTGTAGTCATGATGTCTCTTCACAGCAATGAAAACCCTAACTAAGACATTAGGTACCTAGCAAAAAACTAAAACAAAGACAAAAACAAAACAAAAACACACACACACACAAACAGACAAATATACAAGAAGGACAGTAACTGGTCATTGTTTAACCTGTTCTAAACATGCGCCTGATGTCATAAAGGAAGACCATCACAGCAACTAATGCAGATAACAAACAATACGGTGGTGGTAGGAGAAGAGAAGGAAAGGTAGGGCCCAGGGCAAAGGGTTTCAGGAAAGAGTTCCTGCGATTTCTAGGAAAAAGTATGATAAGACCAAAGCTTTCATGGTTCTCCATACTAGCTATAACTTGTACGTTGACATACCTACAGAAGCCTGAAAGACATACATCTCGCCACTGCTCAGTGAGAACGGTCTTATTGTCACCTCCGGTCCCATGATACCTACAGAAGAGAAGTGTCCACGTGAAAGTGGCAGTCAGTGGGCTCTCTGGAGTGAGCCCCACCTTTGCTCCAAGGGTACGGGCCAATAATACCCTGGTTACATGTTGTGGTGGTTTGAATAGGTATAGCCCCCATAGATGCATGTGTTTCAATATTTGGCCCATAGGAAGTGGCACTATTAGGAGGTATGGCCTTGTTAGAGTAGGTATGGCCTTGTTAGAGGAAGTATGTCACTGTGTGTGTGGGGTAGACTTTGAGGTGTCATATGCTCAAGCTACACCCAGTGAGGGACACAGTTTCTTTCTGCTGCCTGTGAATCAAGATGTAGAACTCTCAGCTCCTTCTCCAGCACTATGTCTGCCTGCATGTGGCCTTGTTTCCCACCATGACAATAATGGACTAAATCTCTGAAACTGTAAGCCAATCTCAACTAAATACTTTCCTTTAAGAGTTGCTGTGGCTATGGTGTCTCTTCACAGCAATAGAAACCCTAAGACACATGTTCTATTAACATGGGAAGGACACTAGTCTGTGGGTTACCAGTCTTCTTTGAGGAGCCCCAATTTTTATTTCTAGACCATCCTCTCCGAACAGAAGCAGTTTTGAGGTGGATCAGTCTGCCTCAGCTCAGAAATGAGGTAGATTTCCCTAGCAACGAGAGAAGGCTGATAAGATCTCATCTTGTGCATTTACAGCAAGCTCGGTATTTGAGCTTTTATTTTATAAGTTTGGCTTATCTGATATAGTATGATTGACATTTGCAATTTTGTAGAACTTTGGTTATGAAAAATTTTTAACTCTTTCCCTGCAAGAGTAAGCTGTCCTATCCTGCTTAGCCTTCCTCAAAATTGGGAGAGATACAAGATACTGGACAGGTGATTGGAGAGAGCAAGGGGGAAAATCCCTTAAAAATAGCATGAAATCCATAGTTTCCCCAAACGGCATATAGGGGTGACCCTACTCATATGTAGTAGCCAGAAAGGCAGTCATCCATGAGAGCAGACAAATCCACATGCCTGTGCTGGGGGAGAGAGGTTAAAAAATTGCTTTCCCTGCAAGGTCAGCTTTACCTAATCCATTCATGGAAATGGAACATGTACTCTATGCAAGGTCTTAGAGACAGTGGAAGCCATGTGCTAAGGTTCCACCCAGAACCAAAGCTCCCTGCTGCTCTGCAGCTGGGGACTCCTAAGGAACAGCTGCAGCCAGCTTCATCCTTCGAGAAGAAGCCACAGGATGGGCTCTGGTCCACAGAAGGACAAACATGAACAGGGAAGGCTGGGTGGTTGCTCTCATCCATGAAGACAAAAGACTCAGGAGAACCTGAGGGCCGAGTCCCAAATACTTCTGAAATGATTGTGATTCCAAGGTGTGAAGAGCATGTTCATACCTGAGGAGGTGTAGCTGTGGAAGACAGCTTGGCTGACCAGGGCCTTGGGCCAGTCAATCATGAGAGCTGGCTTTGCCCTGCCTGTGTGGAGGAAAGGGCCCAGCAGGTTGTCCCCATCATTGGCACTCTCCTCGGCACTCATGCCTGGTCCTGATTCCTGGAAGTTGGTATCGATCCCTAGGATGACAAACCATGCCACAGGAGAGAAAGGGAAAGGTCCCAGTCTTGTGAAGCATCAATGTCAAGGTTGATGCTCAATACCAATTTCTGTGGTTGCTGGATATGGATCATCTAAAGCCATGCCTTTAGTAAGTGTGTGTATTCAAGAGATGTCTCTTAGTGTCTTACAACCAACCTCCCATTAGATCCTTTCTTTACCTTCCCTCCCGCCTTCATCTTTCCCTCCTCACTCCCTCGCTCATGTTCCTCCCTCCCTCCCTCCCACCTTGCAATCTGGAATTTCATAACGCAAAGTCAGGCGGTGCTAAATGACAGAGGGAAAAAGTGCAGCAGATGGACAGAGAAAGTGAGTGTGGGGAACAGAAGGGGACTTCTGTTGCGGGGGGAGGGGCTTCTGTTGCCATCCAGGGAATCTGGTGGCAGGGATTCAGAGCAAAGGATGAGTTCAGTGAAGAACTGGAGGAAGTTTCCAGGTTGAGTAGAAACCAAGTGTGGTGGGAATGGTCCTCCATGCATGGCCGAAGAAAGAGAATGGGGACCAGAAGGTGGGCAGTGAAGCTGAGACATGCTTTTGGCCACCTTTGAAACCTTTGTCTTGCAAATGGCAGGAAGCCACCAGTGGCCAGAGGAAAGTGACCGTCTGGTTTGTGTCTGAGAAAGGCCCCTGGCTACTGTGTAGAGGATATGATTGCAGGAGATGGTCACAGAGGCAGAAAGCCATTGTGTAGTCTGGGGAGGAATGGCATGGGATGGTGCTGGGCTGACTGAAGACTTCAAAGAAGGCCACAAAAATAAGATACAGTACCAAAAGATCTCGAGGAATTAGGATGACCCCTTTCAGAAAGAGTCATGCTACGAACAGGATAAGATAATGTCTATTCTGTCTATTTGCTATTACTGATTTGGCACCTGCCAGGATCAAGCAGGACCCCAAAACAGACTTGCATATGTAGTACAAATTTTCATTTTTTTTCTGTATGATTTTTATGGCTTGAATATAAGGTTGTCCTTACAGGTCCTTGTTAAATGCTTGGTCCCCAACTGGTGATGCTTTTTTTGGAGGTCCTGAAAAGTTTAGAAGGTGGAGCCTCACTGAGAAAAACCCATTGGGGGTGGGTCCTTGGTGGTGTGCTCTTCCTAGTCCCTTCCTATCTGGCCCTCTGCTTTCTGTCCCCCATGAAGAGAAAATCCCCTTTATGCACATTCCAACTGAAATGACCTTCTACCCAGGAGTATGGGCCCAAGTGACTGTAACCCAAGCCCTGTGAAACCATGAGGCAAAACCAGTAACCAGAAAGCCAATCAATGCAATCATGTCTCAGTATCCTACAAATAAACCAAACAGCAGCAAAACCAGTCTTTCTTGGCTAGACATAGGCCACCTGTCCTGGCCTAGCCAATCCCTAGTGATATCGAGAACCTCATCACGAGCAGGTCTACCTGATACACAGCCAGGACCCCTCTGTCCTGCTGTACACTCTGGGCAGCTATCCTCTGCCTATTCATCCCAGAGCCAGGTGCCAGGTGACTAGGTACCAATGCCATACCAGGCATTGCCCCCGCTGTCCACAACCTACTGGAGTTACTCTGATTGCCAGATCCTGAAAGACATGTTTCCTGTCTTATTCCTCTCTTTGAAACCCCAGTGATACTGGGGCTCATGGTCCCCTGAGGCTTTCTCACAAGGCCCCGAGTGGTCAGCCATACGTCTCTTCCTAGGGCCTATGGCCATAACACACTTTGTTTTCCCAGGTCTCTCTTCTGCTTCCTCCCATGACTGCCTATGAGGAACATCTCACACAGAGAAGTATGACACACAGGAGGGGACAATAGTAGCTGAAGAAATCCTAGGTCGGAGACAGTTGAAGAAAACACGACAGTGAATCAGAGAACCAGCACATTAACCTAACCAATAATCACTCAAAAGATAAGTCAACCACTCGTCATCTGCCTGCGATGTCAACTAATTCATCACCTGCCCATTCATTTGGTAGATACAGCACACTCCAATTACCCATCCGCTCACTAGAGAGGTAGTGTTGCTCCTTGTCTGTCTATTCTGCAGAAACATAGATCCCCTACTGATCGTACGATCAGCGATCAGTACCTACTTACACGATACATTGATCATCCTGTGTTCACGGATGCACTGGGCATCGTGATGGTTCTGGGGCCACAGGAATAAGCTAGTTGTGAAGTTTCTGTGAAGACGTCAGGTGTATATGAGACAGACAGAAAGACATCATTGGCCCAGAAGCCACCTGCTTAGATGAGGTAGGGGTGGAAGTGTGACAGAAGTCATCCCAGTGCTGAGGGAGAATTCAGAGTGGGGAGGGAGAGGGAGAGTCCACAAGAAGGATGATGAGAAAGGAGGCAAGGTGGAAAGAGCTCTTAGGGAGGCCTGTGTGCCGATGGTCACCACGCCACCACGCAAGGCACCTTGGGTCTGGATTGCCTGCTTGTTGGGCCTGAGACCACCAGAGTTTGGGAGCAGGAGGCTCAAGATGAGCAGCAGTTAGTGAGCCAGGAGTGAGGTCTGTGCCCAAGAGAGGCTCACAGTCTCCATTTGAAAATCCCTTGAGGGAGTTTTAGGTGGCTTTGTTGTTAGGGGCAAGCATGAAGTGTCCAGGATGGCTGGCACATTGTAAGTCTGGGTGCAGGGCTCTTCTACATGGGGACAATCATACAAGTGGTCACCTGGCTGTCTTCCGAAGGACGGCACGTCTTCTTGGATGTCACTGTAATAAGCTTCAAAATCTACACAAGAGGGGAAAAAATTACATTTCATTTGAAGACACAATTACTGAGTGCTGTATGCTGTAGACTAAAACCCCCACCACCAAGATCCTGTAAGGCCAAAGAAATAGAACCTCATGATCGTGCAGAGTGAGCATGTTGCAGATCAGAGCCAGACTAGCCAAACCGTCTCTTAATTCCCTTAAGTTGTTATTCATTTTCACTCCCATGCCTGACAGAACATCTTTTTGACTATAGGTAAAACCTTTAAAATGTATTCTTAGCAGAGGACTATTTGCTACCAATCCACAGCTAAAAATGCTGCCCGTCTAAAACCTGTGTGACTTTCCCCCATTTGACTGTAAGACACCAACTGGTGGTGTCCCCTCCTATACACACAACGTATTTGATACAACTTTCTTTGTTGTACAACTAATCAAATATCATGTAACCATTGCCACTGTGGGATGCAGTATTAAGGGCAAACTTTATCTGTGTCCCTGAACCACTGTCTCTCATATTTGGGTCAAGAATAAACTATCTCTTAGCTGGGCCATAGTAGCACATAGCAATAATGCCAGTGTTTGATGGGTGAAGACAGGAGAATCGGGACTTCAGCCTTAGCTACATAGGGAATTGGAGGCCTGGGCTACATTAGTTAGAACCTGTCTCAAAATAACAAAACCAAAATATTATTTTTATTACCCTGAGGTTGGAGCTGGGCTCTGCACTCAGCATGAACACAGTACTCTTAGACTCAGGACAAAGGCGGAAGTGACTTCAAGCCTGTCCCATTAGATCCACTCCTTCCCAGGTGAGTCTGGTGCCGAGATACAAGGATGTGCAGAGATGAATGCACTTACCGTCAAGGGTAGTGGAGGAGCTAGGAGGCCAGCTTCCCTCTGGGGCACTCATCATCAAAGCTTCCTCATCCAGGGAATCTGGTGCTGGACTCAGTGAGCTGGAATCCTCCATGGGCTCCCCGGAGCCTGCCATGGGACCCACCGCTGCAAGAATGTGGTGTCCTCCTGCTGTAGACTCAGAGGAAATGCTTCCCGGGTTTTGAAGAGTTGTCCAGCTTGGGGGCATGGGTGATGTCTCTGGTGAGTGTCGTGCCAGGGATCCTCTCCGGCTTGACTGCAGGTCTGACTGAGACAACTTCAGAATGGCCCCAGATGCCGAAGTGCCCAGCAGCCCCACAGTGCTGCAAAAGGGGACTTAAACATGGGTGTGAGAGGGTTAAAATTTCGCACTGAAAATATAAAATATAGGCTTTTTAAAAAAATACAGGCTGTGGGTTCCGTGCAAGATGGCTCAGCTGGTAAAGGTGCTTGCTGCAGAAGCTTGGAGACCTTACTGTGATAACCAGAAGTTTTGTAATGGTGGCTAACTTCCACATAGGCACTGTGGCATCCCCAGCCAACACACACGCACACACACACACGCACGTTAAAAATAAAAACACATACATATACAGGTTACACAAGCATGTGGGGCAAAGCTATTGTCTGTGGGTTTGGATTGACCATTGCCGTCTCAGGGCTGAGGCTGCTGCAATGCCTTATGTAGTTTTGAAAACACAAGAAGCAAAACAGCACATTGGCTGTGGAGGCTTGGCTGCCAAAACTCCCTAGTAGAAGCAGGGAGAGGGCCCCAGAATTCTCACCTGAGATTCCAGCTATTTCTCCTAACTGCAGGTGGTCTGGGGACAGGTACTAGGGTGTGTAGGGTTCCAGTGTGGCAGCTTTCCTGAGTCATCACCCAGGCTGTGGTGGCCTTTTGGGTGACACATCTGTTTTTAAGTCACCTATAGTACTGTCACCAACCCTCCAGTGATGCTCCTGACATGAGTGAACTGCTCCTCAGGGGTGTGTCTTGGTGCCCCGTCTGGGGTGACTGAACACTTGTTCCTGTCTTCCCAGGAAGCGCCATGCTACTGTAAACACACCTGCCGTGGAGCTCTGATGCTCAGGTCAAGGCCCAGGCACGTGGCTGTGGCCTGGTGCCAAGGAAGCCAATACATGACCTAAACATGTGCAAGTAGGGAAGGAAACTCTTGATCTCTCCTCCCGCCTGAACGTGCTCTCCCCAGTCTACGTTCAGAACTTGCTCTACATTCAGACTAGAGGGTGACCCTACCAGGTTCAACGAGCCCACTGTGGGAGTGACTCTATTCTGGAAGAAATTCCCCCAATCTTCATTTCCCTCCCTGACAATGGGGATTCAGTAAATAATTCTAAAAGGCATCACCAGGGCTTATGATGAAGGAGCAATGACAAAAATATTCACGGACAGAAATAACTCTTTGAAAAGGCAGCTTCTGTTTTGACCTTTTGACCTCTGTTCTCCATGGTGTCCTTTACAGTGAGCTAGTGGTTTGTCTCGCTCTGTTCTGTGAACCTGCTGTCAGAGGGGGTGATGGGAGCTCTAGTCAGCTTTCTCTGAGACACGCTGGCCTCAGGCAGCACTGGCCTTGTCGAAGCCAGTGTCTCTACCACAGGTCCTCACTTAGGTTTTGGGTTTTGATTCATAAAGGTCTAGTTTGTCTTAAAGAATTCAGAGCCCCCTCTCCTGTGGTATGAGATACAATCCTACTGGATGTCCTCGCTGTGTGTGTGTAGGGGGGCAGCTGTACTCCAAACTCTGCTTTATAAGGTTTTCTAAGAGCCTCAAATGGACTAAAAACATGGCAGTCATCCACTGGGGGCTGAGCAGAGCTGGATGTCCAGCCCAGAAACCCAGTCTTCTGTGTCACTTCCTGTTGGAACTCAGTCTCATTCCTCAGCATCCCGCTACTCCATGGAGTGGTGTGAGAAAGGATGAATGCGAGAGTCAGGAGTGGAGAAGAACAAATTCGCAATATTCTTCAGTCCAGGCAAATGGGAGGCCTGAGACCCCAGACTGCTACCCCGCCCCCCAGGTCATTCTCATCAGCCTGGTGGGTTTCTCCAGACATCCTGACATGGAAGAGATAACACATGCCCTAGTGAAGCCCCCTCTCTCCTCCTGGAATGCCTCCCGTCACTCAGTGACTGCCAATCCACTCCCCCTCTCCATGCTCTTCTTAAGCCCTGCCCCAGGGTGGAATCACCAGAGATCCTTCCCCGCATCAGGTGCATTTATTCTGAGTAACTGCATATCCCGTTTTCTCCCTGTGACCACCTTCATCAGGACTTGAATAAACTCTCTTTCCACACGCAGTGTGCCTCAACTTCCCATTTAGAGAGTAGCAGAGACCCGAGATGCCAGTCCTTTCTGGAACTCCGCCCTCCACCAGTGATCCCTGTCCTTCTGGGACTCTCCTGGAAGCTTTGCTGCACAGACATGGTTGATTACTTCACCCCGCCCCAGTGTTTGGGATGGCCAAGCCTCATCTCAAAGATACTCAGGGACTGCTAGTCACCTGTCAGCTCATTAACATATAAAAGATTGCATGAAAGAGTCCAAGGATTTTAGGAGCTGTATGCCAGGAAAGAGGACCGTAGAGCCAACACAGATGTCTTTCCGTGTCCACCGCTCTCTGGACAGTGAGCGCCATCAAATCCTTTGCAATGGCTTCCTGTGATTCTCAACCAATAAAATGGCCCAAGTGAGTCCGTGCTCAGCCTCCTTACAGCACATATGTGAGAAACCATTATTGGATTGTCACTAGGTGTCTAGAGGGCTGAGGCGGGATGGAGTCCCAGCCGTGAGTAGGTCAGACGCGATGGTTCAGCCTCAACTACCCCCAAACAACCTTTTTTTATTCATCAGGAAAAGAGTAGCCATATTACCTTCCATGGTATTCTTTTCTGTCGCGTTGACCAGGAAGAGATCCCAGGAATAAGTGAGGTCTGGTATATCGTCACAGTCTTCACACACAGCTCGGAGAGACAGCTCTTCATTCCAGTTTACGCGGATGTCTCTAAAGTTGACCCACGAGATGTGGACGAATCTGGAACAGGCAATTGCTTTGATGTTGTCAGAAAATACCACGTGCATCCTTAGGCTGCATCCTATTGGACGGGCCGTGTTTGAACCATCTGTGCTGGCTCTGTATTATGAGAACTGAATGTATCGTCAGAGCCTGTGCGGAGGATCACGGACCATGTGACCAGCTTCTAGGCTTCACACAGCAGCCAGCGTTTGACCGAATACACCAGACAAGCACACTCACACCTCACCAGGTTCAGGGAAGTTGTGTGACTTGCTCCGTGTCAAACAGTCCTGGGCTTTATTCCCTCTGTCACTCAGCCTTGGCTCTGGCCGGGCTGTCCAAACACAGAAGTCAATACTTGAGTTATTATCTCTTTACCTTTTTACCACACGCTTGCCTCTGTAATGTATAGGCCATTTTCATCCGGGCCTTGCCAAGTCATCTGCCTTTGCCACAGTCATCTGACTTAGCTCTGCCTCCCACTTGGACAGGGCTATTGGGTCATGAGCTGCTCCATGCCTTATAGTGCCCACAGGGACCACACCTTGCAGTCCCCCATTGCATCCACACATCTCTGAGTCACTATAGCTACATCCTGGTAATTTCTCCGGGTTCTTTGCTGACCCAGGGCTGAGTCCCAAAAGCATTTCATAAAGTCTGGTTCTTTGAAACATCATTAGGTGGTGTGAGAGGCTATATTGGGCCTCGCCATGAGGTTACCGTTCCTAAAGGACTTGGGGACTCTTTAAAAGGCTGAGTATGGAGGGAACTTTTTAGGTGGTGTGCAGAAGTCTGTGTGCCTTTCACTATCGGGTACACCCTATGCCATGACTTCATCATGGAACATTAAGTGCAGGGGGCAAAAAGGAAATGGCAGGCCAGGTCTGCTGCTTCCTCAAAAGGAATCAGCCCGTCACATGTTTGTGTGTACTTCTGTATGTGTGCATGTACATGTATGTACTAGCTGCTGGTCATAGTTTCAGTTTCTTGCAGTCAACCAACATCTGAAACATTAAATGGAAAATCCCAGAAACGAACTATTTGTAAGTGCTCAGGCATTGCCATTCGCAGAAAAGTGTAATTCGTGTACTAGCCCCAAAGTCGGTTCCCCTGGAATTCAGCCCCTGCCCAATCACATATGACCTAGACCTCGCAGGGGGAGCCCAGAGGCTTCCATGTCCTTGCCCATCCTGACAGCTCAGCTCAGCCCTGGTATACCTGCTTTGGGTCTCTCTGGCTGTACATGTGAGTACTTTGGTAGCCTTGGTGATGAAGAGCTTACGGGTTTGGTTCCTAGCATCTCTCTGTAATCCCTCATGTTCCAGGATGTCACAACTGGACCTGCATTTGCATCCCTTCAGTCCTGCAATTCCTAGAAGGCTCCATAGTCTAGAAATCAGAGCCACCTTCTAACATTAGCCTTAAGCACTGGTCTTCAATTTAGGAGATGGGTGCGGTTACAGGAAGGACCCACTGATGTGCCATTGTTAGCCCAGGAGACAGCAGAGCTACCCACGACACTAGCCTTTCCCTGGTCACCACCTTCTTACTTAGTGGTGTGGTCCCCACACGGCCGAACTTTACACTGGTCTCCATGAACAGAGTCCTCAGCTGCCAGCACCAGCCAGAATGCTTTGCTACATATGCGCAGGGCAAGGGTACCTGAAGTCCGGGTCTGAACGGGTGGACAGGAATATCAAGGCCTGAGAAGAGTTCTGTCCATTGCTGGAGACTGTCAGGGTCACAAGGAACTGGTCACAGCACCCACTGAGCCATTTTGCTGGGAAGGAAATGGCAGGAGCCTGAGCGTCTACTTGGTATGGATTAGAGTCCTCAAAGCAGGGCCACCTTGGTGAGCTGGCTGCGGTGCAAGTCCAGTGATACCTGCCAAAGAAGCCATTGGAGGGGCGTGGTTAGCATCACTGTGTGTTACAGGCTCATGTGGCTGGGAAGAGGTGATACTCCTTACTCTTTGACATCAGTGGCATAGGGCTGGGCCTGTCTCTCCCACTCATTGGCACGAAGACCACTGTAATCCGGCTAGAGTTCTGCTTCTGGCTGACTTGTGTCTTACACCCTGGTCCTAGAGCTACTTCTGCCACTCCTCCCCTCCCTGTGCCTGGTGACTCCCTCGGCTCATAAGGATCACAGCTCTGCAAAGCCTAGAATGACTCCCTCACAATGACTCTGCCAATGGTGCACCTCATCTTGGAGACAACTCCACATGGTAAGACAGGAATGTCACATTATCCCAAGTTTAGGAAGAAAACAGGTTGGTGGAGGCCTTGGGGAGCCGCCTTGTTTCACTCAGAGCTGGTAAAAAGTGGGGCCAGCAGGGAACTTGAAATGATTCTCCTTCAATCTCACCATCTTTCTGTAAAATGGCAATTGCTTGAGCCACAATGATGGTTGCGTCATCAGGGTGGAGGAGGAGGAGGACAGCATCATCCCACCTTTGAGCAGATCTTAATACACAGGGGAGACATGCTTAAACAGGCATGCGGCAGGCAGGAAACAGTACACAAATGCACTGGCAAGCTGGGCCAGCCCCACCGTGACACCCTGCTTCCATAACTGTCACTGAACACTATTGGGCCTTAAAAGTCCATTTCCTTGTGTAGCCTGCAGGTGCTGCATTCTGAGGAGGTGTTGCAGCATTCTCTTAACCTCCTCTGGGTCAAGAAGTGTCTCTGGAGCACACCAGAACTCAGTGTCCAATGCAGTTCACAAGCTGGATAGAGAAACTGTCCCATGATTCCCCCAAAAGATTCCTTACTGCTCAGAAGCACATCTAGCAGGAGACACCGAGCTCTCGTGTTCAGGCACTATGAGAACTCCTAATAGTTGGTGGTGTGAAGATGACGGAGACGCAGCCTTAGTCTGTCTGGCTTGGGGTGAAGCACTGGTTGCTGAGAGCCGTGTCTACAGCATGTACCAGGGTAGAATCAGGAAGGGGCGACCTCTCACCTCCAAGGTACTAAAGAAGTGCCAAGTCCCACGCTTAGATGTGGCAAACATGAAAGATCACAGCAGGGGTTATAAACACAAAGGGACTTCTCTACTGATTTCTGAATAGGAACTATGTGCCAGACCCGGGGGTATATCCAGTGAGAGCCCTCTGTTATGAACTCAAACTCCATGATGGAGGGCAATGATCATCAAACAGTCTTATTAGTGAGGAACAGGTAAGACAGGATTTGCTCCAGACAGGACCGTGGCTTCCCCTCTGAGTCAAATGGGTGTGAAAAGGTCAGAGAATGGAAGTGAGGGTTTCTAACTTTTCCTAGACAACTCCATCCTTGGAGGATGGACGTAAGCTGAGGCCCAGGTGGCTCCACCCTGGCGATGTAGGGGAAGTGTACGGGGTTGGTTTCTATGGGAGACCTAATGAGATCTCCTGACAGAAAAGACAGAGTGGGAGGAAGGGTGACTGGAAGAAATGTTTCCTTGGGGTCCCAGCACCAAGAGGGGGAAGTGGATATGAGCTCCCACCCCCACCCAGAAGCTGTCTCCAGTTGAAATATGCTCAAAAAGGAGAACCCCCCTTTCCTCCTCTGGAGTCTCACTGCGTATACGAACCACACTTAAGGGCAGCAGAAGAGGAGCAACACAGAATGAATTTAATGGTACTTTTGATGGAGGAGGGTTATCTGTCTATTGTGTTATTTTCATTGGTCAATAAAGAGACTGCCTTGGCCCCTTGATAGGACAGAAAATTAGGTAGGCGGAGTAAACAGAACAGAATGCTGGGAAGAGGGCTATGAGCCAGACACCAACGAGCCAGCAAGTCCCAAGGAAAATCACACGAAGTCTACATTAGGTTATAAACTGATTGGTCCATTAGGTCAAGTTACTTGTTAGTTCTTATGACTTATCTTAACCCATTATTCTGATCTATGTTAGCCATACAGCTCTGTACCTTTTTCACCTGGGCAGGTTACATGCTGCCTCTTCAGTGGTCTGCGCAGGAATGGCAGAAGAAGTTTCTGCTTCCCAGAATTCTCCTGTTCTCATTGCATCACCTCTACTTCCTGTCTGGTTTTCCTGCCTATACTTCCTGCCTGGCCAATCAGCGTTTTATTAAAATATGATTGACAGAATACAGACAATTCTCCCACACCATACTTTTGAATTTTTTTTTGTCTTATACTGCTTTATTTGGACACTTTTTAAACCTAACCTAGCTTTTGCAGGTCTGTTACAGTTTATGATTGTGTGGTGTTATGGGTTCCATTTGTGTGTGCGCATTAGTGTGTATATGTGTTTCTTGTCTCCATTCTTTCTTGCTTTGTGTTCTAGTTTGTTTGCCTGTTTGTTTGAGAGACGGGGCAGGGCCATGGATTGGACCTGTGGGGGGTGGGTCGGGGAGGATTTAGGATGATATGGGAGAGGGTAAATCATGTTCAGAATATCTCGTATAAAAATTATTTTTAATTAAAAAATGTTCCCTGGATGAAGATGGGAAGGACCGTGAGTGGGAGGAGGCGGAGCTTGTGACTGGGTGAGCAGAGGCACAGGAAAGGGGCCCACAGGTGGTGGCACTGCACATAGCACCGAGCAGACGGGCAGAGGGCATGAGTCTGCGGTGGTGATGGGGAGGGTTGAGGGTTGCCTGAGGGGGGATGTATGCGGGGAGGAAGAGGACCACATCAGACGACTGGGAAAGGCCCACTGGGTTGGGCTGTCTGGCCCAGAGCCCGGGACCACAGAGCAGAGCCACCCGACAGGCCGCTCTCTGCCTCCCCCACACAAGGGCATCTGACTAAGGAGTCCTTATGAAAGGGGCGCTTACAATGTGCGTTCCAAAATGGCATTTTAAGCATGAGTTTTAAAAAGTGACTCACGCTCTACTCACCTTTCCTGTATTGACTGACACTTGGATAATGGATAGAGCACTTCAACTACAGAAAGCTGGTACACATAACCATCTCAAACCACACTGGCAGGATTCCCAGACTAACTCTCCTAATAGTCCTGAGCCAGAGTTTGAAGAAGTAGGAGCCTGAGAACCTTGCAGCTCTGGGCTCTTACCTGAGAGCAGCCCCAGGGTTGTCAGGGTCGTAGGACTGGAAGCCTCTGAGGATGACAGAGGTCGTGGTGGTCCTGGGGATGAAGACGTGGGTGCCTTCAGAGATCACGCTGACAGGAGCCCTGGCTCGAACGTCCACACCAACACTGTAGTTGCTATACACCACACTTCCCTTGATCTGAACCTGAGAGAGCAAACACAAGGGGGTATTACAGGAGAAGAAAGCAGATGCTTCCTAGAACTGCATATGAGACACTGACCTTCAGCTCTAACTGCAGGAGTCACCTACGGTGTTCATCAGAGAGTGTGGCTGGAGGGAAGAGCGTGGATCTGTTAATAACCAAGTCTGCCTAAATGCACAGTTATCTAGGTATGTGTTGGTCAGTATTCTTGTCAACTTGACACAAGCTAGAGTCATTGGAGGAGAGAAAGCCTCAGCTGAGAAAATGCCCACATCAGATTCGCCCATTGGCAAGTCTGTGAAGCATTTGCTTGATTGGTGATTGATGTGGGAGGGCCCAGCCCACTGTGGGCGGCACCATCCCTAGGCAGGCGGTCCTGGGGTATAGAAGAAAGCACACTGAATGAACCAGGAAAGGTAAGTAGTATTTCTCCCCAGTCTCTCCTTCAACAATGGCATCCCTTTTCTAACCCATGTGGTCTATATCATTTTCCAGCCCCCAACATAGCACTGGCTGAGGGTCACGGTGGGTACTTCTCTCATGACCCTGCCCTCTGGTGGACATCTTCCATGCGTCTCTCCTACATGGCAGCATCACTAGTTTTCCATCCCTCCGTCAGCACAGGGTTTATTCAAAGTAGGTGCAAAGAAAAGGTTACATTAAAAAAAAAATAGAAGTAGTTTTTCATTGATTACTTGGCCAACATTAGAACATATACTCTCTCTCTCTCTCTCTCTCTCTCTCTCTCTCTCTCTCTCTCTGTGTGTGTGTGTGTGTGTGTGTGTGTGCTGCATGCACCAGCCTAGGCAATGAGTCACCTGTCTCTGCCTCTTCCCACAAGTACCGGGGTTACAGGTGCACACTGCACACTGCCATGCCTGCCTGCTGTACACAGATGCTGGGTATTTGAGCTCAGCTCCTCCCACTTGTACAGTACAGCAAATGTTCCCTCGCACCGGGCTACTTCTCCAGCTGAAGAAAAAAAAATCTCTCTTAAACTCCTACCTACACCTTTAAAGCAAACAAGCAACCAAATCATTTCAAACCAGACCAAAATAAAATCCAGACAAACTAAACTCCCTTTCATTGGCTGAAAGAGGTTTTCCTCTAGGGCTTGTGGAAAGAGTTAGCTGGCTCCACCGAGCCTGAGGAACTGTGAGTGAGCCCACCTTGGCTGTGGCAGTGTAGTTCCCACACTCCAGGGTGTAGCTAGGGAGCACAATGGTCTGCCCGAGGGTGTTGACGGCAGCAGGGAGGGTGACGGCAGTCGCCTCAGCATCCACAATGGTCCAGGTGTAGGAAAGCCCTTGGGACATGTTACAGAGGACGGCAGCTTCCAGAGTCACCGCCAGGCTCAGGGGCTGAGACCGCCATATCTGGGAATTGACATGAGAGGTTGTGTCAGTTGGTGTCTCCTGACCCTGATGGGACAGCACACTGTCAGAAAGTGTCACTGGTACAGTCCCACCATTCATATGCCCCATCCTCTGGGACTAGCTATAACGCACCCCTCCACATTCTGGCCTGACTTTGGGATTTGTCTCTGTATGTGGAAAAGCATTCCAGGTGAGTCTGTCTGGTCAGGGACCCCCGTCCTGTTCTGGAGCTGATGTTAGGTGCATGGGCTCTCCCTGGGGGTAGCTCCATTTAATTTAAAAGAGAAAAATTCCTGGAGAAGTGGGATTTTAAGAATTCAGCAACTTAAATGCTCATTGTCCCTCCCCTCCTTCCCTCTTGTACCTACCCATCATGTTTTCCTCCCCATTTCTTCCTCCTTGTTTAGTTCCCCTTTGTCTCCTTATTACCCTACACTTCAGGGCAAGCCTCATGCTCAGGAGTCGTTGGCCAATGCAAAACAGACTCCATATTTTTTTGTGTTCTTTTGTTTTGTTTTAATAGCCTTTTGCTATTGACCTTCTTTTTTGTTTATATGCTTTGATCTCTGCTCTTTGTCTTGTTTTTTATAGAGTGAGAACATGAGCTGGGTGAGTAGGACTTGTAAGAAAGCTACCAGACACCCATGGGCAAAGACAAATTGCAATACTCTCAATTTTCATACACATTCAAAATGATGAAATGCATTTAAACTATACACCTTTCATTGGAGTAGGAGCTGGCTTTGTGTACTGGCAAACTGGGTGCACAGGAGCACCCAGGAGGCACAGCTAAATTTCCCAAGAGAGGCGTTCTGTCCCTTAGCTCTGACATGGAGATACTAAGGACACGAAGAGAAACATGTGCACCAGAGTGTTGCATGCTGAAGATGATGTGTGTACAGAGTGAGGGCCACATGCTATTTGTAGTAATAGAAAGTTAGAAATGGTCACAGTTCAATAATGAAGATGCTGGGAAACAGTGTAGAATGGGTACATATGATCCAGTGTATGCCACCATTATAAACCAGCAGTCATGATGATGTAATAAGAAACAGTAGTCATTCTATAATACAATGATTCAAATTTTGTCATTAAACACACATTCAGTCTCTCTCTCTCTCTCTCTCTCTCTCTCTCTCTCTCTCACACACACACACACACACACACACACGTTCTCTCTGTCTCCGCATATAACAAAACAATAGCAGGGAGCTGAAGAAAGGGCTCAGTGGTTAAGAATGTTTTCTGCTCTTGCAGGGTAACTAAGTTTTCTTCCCAGTACCCATGTTGGGCAGCTCACATCCTCCTGTGACTCCAGGGCCACGATATCTGGCGCTCTCTGCTGGCAGGTGGAAGCACCTGTACGCATATGCACATAACCATATACTCACACAATTTTAAAATAATTAAGACAATTTTTAAACAATAGAAAAAACATTTAAAATAAATAAGTATATCTCCAGGTATCCATATTTCACATAATTCCTTTTTTCTTTATACTTTTAGAAAACACAAGAAACATAAAAAGCAAATGGTGCCATCAATATTGCTTTCCATATCTTACAGAAAAACTCAAATGAAACTGTTTTACAGATTAAAAGCTAAGCTCATTTATTTGTGCAATATTTGTTTCTATGTATTGAGGCAGTTGAAAGTAAGTATAAATTAAAGCAAACAAACAATACGTCCATGTGTGGGAGTGTGAACCTGTAATTCCAGCATACAAGAAGCTGAGGCAGGAAAACTGAGAGTTCTGGGATAGCCTGGGCAGCATAGCGAATTCAAGGACAGCCTGGGCTAAATAGTGATGCCCAATCTTAAAACAAAATAAAAATAAAGAACGTAAGATAGCAACAATAACAACATTTTCCTTAAAACAAAGCAAAATCAAACAAAAGACAGGATCGACGTCACGGCAGAACAAGAATTCCAGCCAGAACCTTGTGAGCTGTGGTCTTTCCCTAGACGCCCTCACGTTTTGGTCCGTCCCTCACACGGAGAGCACAGAACAGCCTGACACCACGGAACGCCGGCCTTCAGAGCTACAGAGGTCTTGCCTCGAGGGACATGGACACGTGATGGCCACAGCCTGCACAGGGCAACCCCATACTCTCTTTGAAGTCCACTGCGCTCTGAGGCTGCTGGACCTGAGATGCATAGGCTGGCAGCTGACCCATCACAGAAGGCATTTTGGCAAAAGCCAGCGGCGAATTCTGATTCCCGAGTGGCAGGCTGAACACCTTTGACCTGAATGTGAAACTGCTTGAAATCAAAGCCCTCAGAGAAGTGCAAGAAATAAAGGGCAGCCTTATTCTTTTTTCCCCCATTTTGTAATTAGTACTCAGCATACAATTGGTCATTTTTTTTTCATTTTGGTGTCAGATTTTTCTTTGGACTGAAAGCGCTATCATTCTGTATATGATCAAAAAAGAAAGAAAGAAAAGAAAAGGAAAAAAAGCTACTCGGAGCAAGCTGCGCTGCATGTCAGTCATATAGGTAAATAAAAGGCTTATTCAACCTCTAGGAGCCAGGCTTCCCTCCAAATCCGGGCTCTCCTGCTCAGGCACCAGCTTCAGGGCCCTCACAGGGACGCTTTTGTGCTGAGTGCAGCAGACAAGCTCAACAAAGCCTCCTTCATTCCCCAGCAAGCTCAGCAGTTTCGAAGCAGCCAATATCGAAGCAGGCAGGACGCTTGCCTAAGCCCAGCCCTACCTGCACCTTCTTAGGCCCCATGTTCTTCACTGGAGGTGGCTGGCAAGGCTCGTGCACGATGAAAAGCGTCTTCCTTAGGACGGCGGAGCTGATGTTATTGAAGGCCAGGACTTCAACTGTAAACTCACCCTCCCTGGAAGGGTGGAGAGCAGACATGGAGAGATCAAGGTTGCTCCACACTGGCCCTTGATCCCTCTGCATCACCATCTGTGATGGCCAGTGAACCCAAAGTGTAGAGACAGAAGGGGCCTGGGTCATGAAGTTGATCTCCAGAGAGGTCTTTCTCTCTACGTGGTGGAGATGCCCATCCTGTGTGGATTAGTCCCTGTGTCACTCCAAACAACATGACACTCAGGCGAGGGCACACCGCTCCCAGTAGCCATGACCCAGTTCTCTACTGACCACAGAGTCACCCAAAGGTTGAGCCTCAAACTCTTCCCTGTGATGGACATTCCTGACTGGGACTCTGGGTCTCTGGACACATCTGGTTCTAGCGGTCAGATTTCCTGAATAATCCTTAGGGATTAGGACAGAGACTCAAACTAAAAAGGATCCGAATGGGTTTTAAACCTGCACCTTCATCCAGTCCCTGGGCAGTGTGGAAGGCCCTGGCTATGGGCAGAAGGTCCTGGCTATGGAGAGGCCCTGGCTATGGGCAGAAGGTCCTGGCTATGGAGAGAAGCAGCCCAGGAGGATCATGGGAATTAGGCAGCTTATGACTAGAGTGTCACCTGCTACCCTGGAGGCTCAGGAAGAAAGGCAGGTCCTCTGAGGAGAGTGTGTTGACAGAGGTTTCTGTCCTGTCTGGTCCTGTAGCCATTCAGTCCCACAGAAACACCCAGAGGTCTACATTGATTATCAACTGGTTGGTCTAGTAGTTCAGGCTTCTTATTAATTAATTCTTATAACATATTAGCCCATAATTCTTGTCTGTGTTAGCCACGTGGCTTGGTACCTCTTTTCAGTGATTCAGTCACGTCTTGCTTGCTCTGTGTCTGGCTTCTTTTCTGTCAGGTTGACTGCTACAGACTGAAACTTCTCTCTTCCCAGAATTCTTCTCCCCCTCTACTTCCTGCCTGGTCACCCTGCCTATCCTTTCTGTCGGGCTACTGACCAATCAGCATTTATCTAAAATACAAGTGACAGGGTACAGGCCATTGTCCCAGAGCAAGGATGTCTGCATGGGGGTCCTGGGCTGTGGAATGGCCCCAGACACATTGCCATTTACAGAGGGCTGCTGGAGCCCCAGAGGGCATCCTGGGTGCCTGAGCTCTTGGTACCCGCCTAGCCATGTGCAAACCCCTCAGGAACTTTTGGTTGATTCCTCTATACCTGAGAATCTATTTCCAAGGAAGAAGTCATAAATTATGGCTAGTGATAGACAATTAAAGATTGCCCACGAGAGCTAGGAGAGGCCACAGGTATGAGCCTGTGTTGAAGAAAGCCTGCATTGGCTTCTGGTGCCACCACCCACAGGGGCCTTACGTTTTTAAATTCTTCTATTTGTGGTTTGGATGAGAAACACCCCCCCCACCCACCCCATAGACACATGTGTTTAAACACTTAGTTCCCAATCGGTGGCGCTATTTGGGAAGGCTATGGAAGTGTGGCTTTGCTGGAGGAAGTGTGTCACTAGGAGCGGACTTTGAGGATACACAGCCCCACCGCACTTCCTGCTCCTGCTGCTGTGCCTTCCCCACCAGGTGATCATCACGTCCTCAGGACCCTTATACCCACGTAAACTGTTCCCGAAGTCGCTTTCGATCATGGTGCTTAGCCGCAACCCCAGCACCATAACGATCACACTTCTGCACGCTCTGCTGTCCCTCTGCACCAGCTGAGTCTGAAGCTGAGCCTTGGCCACGCTTGTCTCTGGCAGCTGTGAAAACTGGACACTCGTTGGGAGGTCTTGGCCCACTTAAGACCCAGGATTCACCCTAGCCGGAGACTCAGCGAGGAACAGTTGACCTGTCTGTCTGCGGCATCCGCAGCCCCACCTCGAGAGCCGCTTGTCCTCGTGGTTTTACACCGAAGGAAACCTTCAGGAGCAACAGTTTCGGATGAAAGCAATCCGATACCACTTATCTTTCTAATCTAGCCAGGTGCTGCAGAATGATGTCATGGTTAATGACATCACATGCCCATAGCATGGCAAGGGCTCCTAGGATTACGATAAGACAGAACATTTTGTGCTGCCTAGTGGTACCATAGCTGCCCTAATATGAACAGAACGATACTGGGGTGAAGTCAACAACCACATTGCCAGCACAGACAATGATGGCCGGTATATGGATGACGGCAAAAACGGCTGTGCGATTGGTGTATATACTTATGGGCTATAATTTTCAGAAAATGTACACCTACGGACAAAAAGAACCGTAGTCTCTAAAACACTACTACCTGGCAGTGGCTTTCTGCCTCTGCTTGCCTCCTTTCCCTAGGGCTGGCTCCCCCAGAGCCCTAGGCAGGTCTGACCTGTTTCCATTCAACATTTGTCATCTGCATGACCTGCAAGACTGGCTAAGAGGCTTTAAGCATCGGTCCTTCAGAAGGCAGCCCCTTGTACCACCCGCAGTCAGCTGCCACCTGTCCTGTATCACTCACCTGCTGTAAACGTGGCTGGAGGAGCTGCTGCCCACCTCGGTGGTACCATCTCCGAAGTTCCAAAGATAGGCTACATCCGTGCCAAAGTTGAGCCTGCACTCAAAGGACACGTTGGTATTTACCAGGGCTGAGGCCGGGGATGTGAGCCGATTGGCCATTATTCTCTTCTGTACCCTGATGAGGTGGGACTCAGAGACTACGCTGCCGATCCTGCTGATGGCCTCGACCGTCACGTGGTACCTGAGGATGGGGTACAAGGCAAGATGAGAACACGAGGCTGCCGAGAATCTCCACAGCGCTTCAGCAGACAGACAGAGCTGGGAGCTTAAGTTGTGGGCATTATTGGGGGGAGGGGGGGGTCAAAGCCAAGATGGAGGGAATTCTTCTTACGTTCCCTTTCTCATTATTTAGTTCCTGTTTTTACATGAGGTGAGCATATTGCCCTTCTTTATAGGAAGAGCAGTTTAGATTATCCTGAGGGCTGAGATAAAATTTGAATTTAGGATAGCTGTGCTTATTGTAACACTGCAGGAGGTGACCCCTCTTCTTTTACATTTTATGGCTAAGCTCAACGCACAGAATGCTTAGGGGCTGGGTGCAATGTAAACACCAATAAAACTATCACGACAGTGCCAGGGTGGTCTTTATCCTGATTGTTGACTGTGTTAGCACTAAAGACCATGTTGACCAACCGCTGAGGGATGCTCAGCCTTCTTCTAAGGCTTCTGGAAGTTGTCCTCACGGGTGGGTCATCTCCGAAATACCACACAAACTTCAGGGGTATCGTTTCCTTGGTAACAGCCACAAATGTGATGTCTGTGTCTGCAGCAAACACAGTTCCGTTGGAGTAGATGGACACAGCTGTGACAGAGAGAGAGAGAGGTGGGGGCCATCAGCACAAAGGGCTGGAAGCCACTCAGAGAACCCCCGCCCCTGTACTGCCACCTAACCAAAGCATGAACACTGAGAATAAGCCTGTGAATGTGAATCTAAGGCAAAGCCGGGGGCCAGGAGAGATCTGTGGGGCTCAAGCAGGAGGTAGAGCCCGAGTCTGAAGACCATCAGGAATGGCTCACAAGGCAACCCGGTCAGCTCCTTTGGGAAGTGTGCGTGGAAGGCAGGGAATGAAGGTGGAGAAGGGGTGGCAGATGACCAGATGATACTCCCCCATCTCCCACACTCTGGAGGGAGCTCAGAGTCTGTGGCTTCTAGGGAAGTCCTAGAGCAAAGTCCATGTGTACAAGAGCCTGCGGCAGAGACAATAGGATGCATCCAGGGCTGAGCTGACAGCAGAAGCGTCAGCAGTCAGCTGCTAAGGAAGAAGGGCTACATCTAGAATGAAAACAGACGTACATTGCATCTTATACCCGACAGTCACACCAAGCCAAGCCTGGCCGCTGCCCGCTGGGGTCTGAGAAACAAAGGTCACATTGTATGAAGACACAGATGAAAAGCAATGGGTCACGACTGTGCCTAGAACAAGAGAAGACACAGGAGAAATGTTAAGCCATTTGTCTTAAGCATACACACACACACACACACACACACACACACACTAATATTTCCCATCGTCAACTCTTTCTCTTTGAATTTTAATGGAATTTGAAATCTGGAGCATACACTCAAGTGAGGTGGCTGGCAAACACGAATTATGGCATGGGATCTCTCTTTAAAAGTTTCTTTAGATGATTTCTGTCTCTTCAGAGAAATCTACATAGTAATGAATACATTATGCCCTTTGCAAGATATTAATTCCTTTGTTAGCTGACTTTATGCTAACCATGTTTGTCCTATGTGTACATATGAAACAGTTTTCACGCCATAAAGATTCTTAATGGGGGGATTCAACAATAAGCCTCATTCATGTAAGTCCTTTAAAATGTAGTGCAGTGTTTTATGTGCATGTGAGTACATATGCACATATGTATGTATAGATTTGTGCATGCGGTACATATACACATATGTATGCATATATTTGTGCATGTGGGTACATATACACATTTGTGCATATATTTGTGCATGTAAGTGTATATACACATATATATGCATATATTTGTGCATGTGAGTGCATATACATATAGATATGTATATATGTGTGCATGTGAGTACATATACACATAGGTATGTATATATTTGTGCATGTGAGTACGTATACACATAGATATGTATATATTTGTGCATGTGGGTGCATATACACATATGTATGTTTATACTGGAAGGCAAATTCCAAAAAAATTGAATCAGATCCTAGAAGAGGGCTGTGATATCTATGAAGATTGAAATAAACTCATTTGGGATATTAAAAAGAAAATAGACTTTACAATTATTATTGCTGTTTTTCTATGAATTTTTTCATTATAAAGAAAAATGTTTCTTTATAACAAAAATAAAATGGATTAGAGATATATGTGTGTGTATATATACATATATGTGTGTGTGTGTGTGTGCCCCATGAATAAGATTGACATGTTCTCATTAATAATGACTAAAGCTTAATCTTGATCACAATCTGGTATCACAACACACAAGGAAAGAAAGTTACGGATGCACAAGGATGTCCCATTATTGATCTTTGGTAGAGGACTTAGACTCAGATCACTCAATTCTAAACCTTAGCACAAAACCCACAGACACACATGGCCTGTGCTCACCCACTCAAAGTTATGATAAGACAAGTCAATACGAGTGGTCAGTGGCTGGTAACAGAACACTGCTTGGCAGGTTTAGAAGTCCTGCTCTGTGTCATGTGTTGCTTAGTACGGGGTCCTCCCTGCCCAGGAGGACTGTAGGGAGATGCAGTCCATCCGTGGTACAAGTAGCCCAGATTCTCAAGAATGACCTCTGTGGGATGCACCTCCCACTGGGTTCTCTTTCTTATAAGCCTATATCTGTCTCCTGGAGTTGAACAATATGGGGTCTTCCCCTTCACGCTAGCTTGGCCTTAATGTGCCCCAGCTGTTTCCCTCAGAACCCTTGATTACTGTCCCTCTTTGGACTCCTGGAATGTGAGTTTGTGATGCCTTCCCTCAAGGTGGCAGCAGGGGATCAGATGCCTGCTGGTAGGTGTGCGGTGAGGGTAAGGAGGCAGGAGTTAGGAGTTCCTGACATAAGAGCATCTCACACCACATACTGTTGGCTATGGCTATGCCATCTGCCAGAATGCTCCCATACCCGCTCCTCACAGCTCACTGTATGTACCAACTTCTTCCTCAGGTAGTGTCTGTCCTATGGTGACAGAGTCTAGGGGACCGCCCAGCCCCATGGCTATGCTCCTCTTCGGGTCCCCCTTTTTTTGTCCTTTCCCCTATTTTTTTTTAATACACTTATCCAGATACCTTACTGGATTACAAACCCCCTAAGGTTGGATCCCTGTGTGATTCCATCTCATCCCTCCTCACACACAATACTCCACAGTATCTATTTTCTACCTGAGGTAAAAATGAAGGATGGCACTGTATAGAATAGGATGACTGGGGCTTGGACAGAGAAGTTAAAGCTGAGTCAGGCTACACACACAGCAGAGATCTCGATGCACAGATCTCACCTTTCTGCTGTGGGAGGGAGTCGGCAAAGGAAAGGGCTTCACCCTCGTGGATAGAGCTGGAGTTCATGAATACAGACACGTTCTCATGGTCAATGTTCACATAATATGGCCCCAGTTCCACATTAGCTCCATGAACATCATGGACAACAGCCCTGAGCTTGTAGACTCCTTCTGGAGAAAGAAGACAAAGTGGACATTTGATGGCCGATCAAACAGACATGAGAACTAACACCTCGGGGTAGGCACAATGGGGTGGTTAGTCTGAATACTGGTAGTGAATAAGATTTTTAAAAAAAATTTCCTTGCAATAGCAGGGACATTTCACGGTCACACAGCCACACAGCACACTGAGTTCCACGTTCAACATGCCTTGGAGTAGCATAGCTTTCTACTGTCTGGGAATTCTTCATCATATTAACAATTGGTGTTTGTGTTCTCCACTAGACCATGAAAATGATGTGCGCGAGAAATTATTAACAGCATGAAAGCAGGTCCAGGTCATTCCAGAAAAGCTAGGTCAATATGCGCGTGTGTTTGCTAGACACACTTGCTCGAATAACCATACAAATAGTTTATATCAAAGGATTATGATAGACTAAAAAATGGCCCCCAATCCTGACTGTTTCCTTGACGTTCCTATATCACTATAATATGACTGAATTTTTCTTTAAGTGGTAGAAGCTATTCTTTCTCTTTTAGATTGGTGCCAATCTCATGGTCAGTTGCCTAGTCCCTCCAACTCACTTCACTCCAAAGCCTTGTCTTTGGATTGGTCACCGTTATCACGGGAAGTATCTTGGTCTAGCTTGCAGAAGAAGATAGAAAACTCAGTTGTCCCATGGGACCAGCCATGTCCACAAAAAGAGTCATCCTGCTGACTGGCAGCTGCCTACAGATCCACAGTGAATCCTTTGAGGCCCGCCCAGATCCAAAAAAAAAAAAAATCCCCTTAAAAAAACTGGTTGAACTCATGAATGCTTTCTAGTTTGCTTTTAGCTGTTTGAGAATGTTGTATTTTGAGGCACTGATTTGCACCCTGCTCACACAGCTACAGCTGACTAGTGTAGCTCTGCTGAACTAGAGAGGCCTCTAGCAGGTTGCTGATCCCAACCCCCTACTATTAAATTATGCATTTACTCCTGCTTTGGCTGTAAAATGTTAGGTGAGCCCCAATGTGTCACAGGCTTATGGCCTCTGCTAGTCCTAGTCCCCCATTCCCAGCTCTGCCCCTCACAGGCTTTATTCACCATCCATATAGAACAAAGGTCCCCTTCCCAGTCTCTCTCAGTCATGTCCCCCGTTATGGTTATGGAAGCTCCTCTTCTCCTCCTGGCCAACTCACTCCTGCCATGACCCTTTTCAATGACTCAGGCAGAACAGGTGCCTTCATCTGGGGAACGCCCACAGTTCTTGGGCTGTGTTGCATTTTCAAGTTCGCTGTATTCTGTCTCCTTTGCCCCACAAGCTCATCACAGTTCACGCAGCACATGCATAAGAAATGTCTATGAAATGATCAATGACATTATATAGAATGGAAAACTAAAGCCAAATAAATGAAACGATGTTCTCAAGGCCCAGTGCAGCTGTTCCTTAGGAATTCATACAGTCTCTGTTGTCTAAGAGAAAAGTAGGTGGTGGCATAATATACACAGAGCAGCAGAGACGAAGCAGGAAGGTGGCACAGGAGTTCAGCCCCTAGAACCTTCGTTCGGGAGCCACTTAAGCCTGGCTTGTCAGTATGGACCCAAGGTATGGCTCGCCATAACCTCCTGAGCAGTCTTGAATTCTCATTGCTAACCCTGACTGCATTTTAAACCACAAAGACGACCTCAAAACTTATGGGACACGGTGACTGGCAATTAATAATGAAACAATCAAACAAACAAAGTCACAGGACATATGGATACACTAGGGAAATAAGAAAAAAAACTACAAAAACAAGAAGAAAAAGAGATCAAAACAGAAATTAAGCAACTAGGAAAAAATATAGCAAACAGCATCCATGTTGGTTCCTTAACTAAAGGAATGTACATCGGTCCTATCTGATTCAGAAGAGAAGTAAGAAGAAAATTAAATAAAAATGATGAAGGAAATAAGTCAATATCAGTGAAAATTTAAGAACCAGAGGGACCCACTTTGTTGAGGTCTACTGAATTAAACTTGAAGATTTGTATTAAAACATAATTTTCTAAGAAGCTAAAGCTTAAAAAGAATTAACTACATGAGAAACCTCAAATGGCAATAGAGAAAGGTGTCAACAGTTAGCCAGAGGCAGCAGGAGGGTTGGTGTGCAGACTGATAAAGAGAACTATGGTCTCTAATGGCGCCTTTGCTGTTCCAGGACGAGAAAAAGATGAAGTTCTCCATGTATCCCTGATCGGAAAATCTAAACCTAATGCCCCAAAACCAGCGACTAGACTCCAGCCCACTTTATGAACATCAGTGTAGACCCTTGAGCAGGATTTAGAAAACTGAATTCAACCAAATGTTTAAAAACAATAAGGAAAAATGATATGGCTTCCCTCTCCCAGGAATTCAGGAATCTCGCTACCGAGTAGCGTGACTGGAAACTTGTGTACTTCTGAAGGAAACACCAATCATAACATCACCTCAGCAGTTAGAATCTATAAGAAACTGGCGAATCCAACAATTCCTTTACTTTTATTTTTAGTCTTTAATAAAAGATGAAAACTTCTGTACCAGGATCAACTGAAGCATGAAGTATGGAGGGAAAAAAAAAGGAGACAATTCTGAAGACAAAGACGCCCAACATTGTCTGCTAATGTCACCCACAATACTCTGGAAATCCAGGCCAGGGCAATTAGACAGGAGAAAGGACTGTGGGGGCGATCACTGGAGATGGGAAGTGATACATCACCGTTTGTAAACAGCGTGTTTACACAGCTAAGAAAACACCGGTGACTGTGTGCAGAAGTCCCTGTCAAAGGTCAGCAAGACTGAAGGCAAAAGACAAAGGGCAACTTCCTCACCTTCCTAAGTGCTTGGCAACCAGCCTGCAGGTAGATAATAGCTTATTTGTGACAGCACAAAAAATGAGGTGCTATGTAAGTTTCATATGGAAACAACATGAAAACATGGTGGTGTGTGTGTGTGTGTGTGTGTGTGTGTGTGTGTGTGTGTGTGTACAGTTTGTGGGAGTAATCTCTCCCCTTTGGAAAAAAATTTTAGTGTTTCCAAAGGTGTGGGGAAGGGTACAATGGAACAGAGTACATTCTATTAAAAAGGGGGCTTGAGAACATAAAGCTTCTACGTAAATTAATTTTTAAATTAAACCCTATTTTAATAGAATTGCCAATCTCTTTATGTTAGTCAGTGTGGATCTAAAGTTCAATGTGGAAAAATCACCAAGAAAATATGACCAAAACAAAATGTTCAACATCCTTAGTCATCAGAGAAATGCAAATCAAAACAACTCTGAAATTCCATCTTACACCTGCAAGAGTGGCCAAGATCAGAAACACTGATGACAATTTATTCTGGAGAGGTTGTGGGGTAAAGGGAACACTTCTGCATTGCTGGTGGAAATGCAAGCTGGTACAACCTCTTTGGATGTCAGTGTGGTGATTTCTCAGAAAATTAGGAAACAACCTTCCTCAAGATCCAATAATACCACTTTTGGGTATATATCCAAAGGATGCTCAATCGTGCCACAAAGACATGTGCTCACCTATGTTCATAGCAGCATTACTTGTCATAGCCAGAACCTGGAAACAACATAAATGCCCCTCGACCAAAGAATGGATAAGGAAAATATGATACATTTACACAACGGAGTACTACACAGTATAAAAAAATAGCGACAGCTTGAATTTTGCAGGAAAATGGCTAAAACTAGAAAACATTATTTTGAGTAATGTTTTGAGGTAAGCCAGACACAGAAAGACAACTATCACATGTACTCATTCATAGGTGGTTTTTAAACATAAAGCAAAGAAAACCAGCCTACAAACCACAATCCCAGAGAAATTAGACAACAATGAGAACACCAAGAGAGACTCACATAGGTCTAATCTACACGGGAAGTAGAAAAAGACAAGATCTTGTGAGTAAATTGGGAGCATGGGGACTTTGGGTGAGAGCTGAAGGGGAGAGGGGAGAGGCAGGAAACAGGGTGGCGTGATGGAGCATTCCAGATGTGTTTGTTTTTTAAAGGTGTTTTAGAGCTGGAGAGATGGCTCATCTCGGCAGCACTGAAGGGGAGCAGAGAAAAATGTAGACCTCAATAAAAATTAATAAAAAAATATGACCAAAATAATCCCAGAAAAGTTTAGGCACCAGGCCTGCTAGCCACAATGGTGAGACCAGAGGAAAACATGTAACAGTGGCTCACACCAGCAGGTGGGAAAGGTAAAAGGGAACAGGAAGTCTGCAGGTGGCCTGGAGCAGGAATCCAGCATGCAAAGGGGGGAGGGGTGTGTGATGGAGCATTCCAGATGCTTCTGGAAAAAAAAGCGAATCATTTGAGCCACATCAGCAGGCATTCTGACCTCAGGCATGTGAAACGAGCACCCAGCATTATGCCAATTATGTATCTAAAAATATTAATTACTTAAATTACAAAACTCTATCGTGAAAACACTAAAAGACAGGAAAGAACTGATTTATGAATTTGGAGTAAGGAACACATTTTTAACTAGAACATGTGTCTCAGAAACTGGGACTTAGGATATAGTTCAGGGGTAGAATACCTGCCTAGAACGCATGAAACTAGGTTCAGTCTGTAGTACCTCCATAAACAGATAACAAAATAAATAAATAGAATTTTCACAAAAAAAAATCTAAAAGCAAACCTGAAATACAATAAATGAAGGAAAACATTTGCTACTCATTACCCTCTAAATAAGAAGACTGATTTTCTCAGTAATGGAAAACACTCACACAACCCCATGCTATACAGACCACAAAAGTGTTCTTTTTGGCTAACGATGTTGTTTTTTGTTTTTTAAAGGTGTTTTAGGGCTGGAGAGATGGCTCATCTCAGCAGCACTGACTGCTCTCCCAGAGGTCCTGAGTTCAATTCCCAGTAGCAACATGGTGGCTCACAACCATCTGTAATGAGATCTGGCGCCCTCTACTGGCCTGCAGGGATACATGTAGGCAGAATACTGCATACGTAATCAAAAAATAAATCCTTTAAAAAAATTAAAATAAAATAAAAGGTGCTTTAATTTTGAATGAAGATAATAATACACTCCAGTAATGTCCAGTTAAGCAGACCTGGCCTATTAAATCGATATACAGTAGCCTCCCAAAGGGGCAGGGAAGCCCTTCCAGTCTGGACTAAGAAGTTGCTCTAAGGTGGAGCTTCATCCCTAACCGGGCAGAGAGCAGGACATTGTGCTCAATGTGCTTCCATTTACAGGAAGCGGAACAAGCCTGTTAGTGGCTTATACGCACACCAGATGGAAGAAACACAAACTGTGGTTGCCGGTGGGCTAGTGAGAAGAGGACTCTCGCTGTGCCTCTTATCAACTGTGGGGCCTGCCCAGCATTTTTCAAAAGAGAAAGGGAAAAAATTAAATTCTTCCTTTAGTCAGCAAAGTGAAGCTTTCCGCTCGCATCCCACACTCGTCTCCATGGCTTTAGATTCACCTAACGTCAAAACGTCTGGACAAACACTGCCATTGTTTGCTGTTATGACTTTGATAAAACTGAAGTGGTGGAATCTTCAACTCTAAAGAAAGAGTGTGCTCTGTCACACCTGGGTCCTTGATGAGCAAGGTAAGAGATGTTTGGATGTCACCATGTGTAGAAAGAAAACCTTGTACTGACTGTGTGACCCCAGGCTTCGTTTCTCAGTCTCATTCTCTTACTCTGCGGTCCTGAGGGGGCGGTTAATGAGTTGAAGTATATAAAGTCTTGGCCACCGCCTAAATTGTGAGCTTCTGCCCTATAGAACCCACCAGGTTGGTTCTAAAGGATCCAGAGGGTGGAATGTGGCTTCCTCCCTGCCAGCGTCTGGACACTGCCACTCTGCCGGTGTCCTGGGATGGCATCTCCTCCCCAGGCTTTCAGAGAAGGACGCGCTGCACCATACCTTTCTTGTACCGGTGGCAGCTAGTCACTGCAGCTGCACCTGTCATTGGACACAGTCTCATCTCAGCTCCACAACCGTCCCCAAAGTCCACCAGCAGGTGAAGAAGTGTTCCGGAGGCGGGGTGAACATGGATTCCCAGAGCTGGAGGCGCCTGAGCGTCCATGTCTGGGAAGCAGTTGATGACAAAGTGCCCAGGGTTTTCAGGCTGCATCTCTGGGATGGGCCCCGTAGGATGCTGAGTGAGGGGAGAGGGACTCTTGGGATGGTACCAGGTTGTGGGGAGGCTGCAGGTGCAAGCAATGCCGGGAGCAGGCTCTGAGGAACTAAGAGAAAGAAACAGTTATCCGATTTCAGGGAATGCTACAGAGTCCAGGAATAGAGAGAGGGGCTATGGGGGTGGGTGGGAGGGTAGGTGAGGGCAGACTGTCTAGGAGAGATCAGGGATCAGGGAACAGGGTGTGAGGACCCTGAAGAAGGACCCTGGTGATCCCTGGGCTCCCTGCCTGCAATACCAGAATCACTGGCCACTTGTGAGACAGGCATCTCTGACCACTGGCTGAGACACTGAAATCAGGGCCAGAAAGTCCCCTAGGGACTGAGGACATCACGTTAGAGACTGGAGCCAGCTCCCCAGAGACTGAGATCAACACTCTGGAGTCTGAGGTCAGCTACCAGAGAGCAACTAATCTAGTTACAGAAAAAAAGAGTAACATACATTTTTTTTCTAATATTTTTTTTTCCTATCACTAAAATCATGAGCCCAAAACCAGTCCTTCTCATGGGTCAGCAGCTACTGGCTTTGTACAATGCTATCTTGACCCACGACCACCAGTTTCCCCTTTCCACCTGTGCTTTCCTTGTGCTGGGAGCTGGGGGCTGGGAAGAGTCTGGAATGCTAAGCCTCCGACTCCCTAGAATACGGGGCTTCCTTCACTGGCTTCCTAGGAACTGCTGCAGGAGGACACCGATGATGGGCATTTAGCCTGTTAGCAGTCTGGATAAGGGACAGAACCCTTCAAAGCAGCAGGAGAATGCTCTCACGGGCACGGGAGGGTCTGAGAATCGGGAAATACTCCACGTTTCCATCCTCTGCCCGTGCTGTGTTTTTCCCCCCAGCAACGCAGACAGACAGCGCTGAGGTCTGAACTTCTAACAGCTCTAAGAAACAAAGGGATCACACGACACAGGATGCTGGTGGCAAAGGGCAGCCAATCACTTCATCTGGAGCGCAGTGTAACACACTCCCCAGTCATGGCTGTAGTAAAATCGAATGAGCAAGAGACCCAAATCAGCAAGTGACTGAGATGGGGGTGGCCTTTGCCATCTTCCTTCTGCTTTCTGGGAATGGTGGGCAAAGGGAAAGCCAGACCCAGAGAGCTGCCTGGGTGCTGGTCTGTGGGGCTGGGACCACCCTGGTGGGGACCTCCTGGTGACAGACCTCAGAAGCAGTGTCTTGGACAGGTCTTCCACAGAGCGCAGCAGTTCTTGGCAGCAAAAAACTCCCTTCTTCGGGCTGCAGAGGGCGCCCTGCAACACGAATGTGTATGGTCACAGGAGCTTCTCCAGCGGCTGCTAGGGCACATGTTTGCCCTGCACAAGTCAACTTAGCAAATGGCCTGTGAGACTGAGGTCTCCGAGGATTGAGGACTCTGGTTTGGTTGGGGACATGTAAATCAACCTGTCCGTGGCACTGTGTTCAGAATGAAATGGGGCCGTTCCCAGCAAAGAGAATACCCAGCCCGGAACCCCCCTAGAACGACACAGGTGGCACCAGGAACTTCAGGGCGGCCTGCTATCACTTCGTGCTGTCAGCCTCTGCTAAGGTAATAGGTTAGCTATTTGTATGATCATGTATTCATGAGGCCAGCAGCCGAGAGATGATATTACCACAGGCAGGGAAGCAAGGACTCTTTTCTTTCTTGTTACAATTACGTATTTCAGTTCTGCACAACCGTGCAGCCTCTAACAGAGTTAGAAGGACAAAGTAGAGGCCGTTGATCAGCTCACAGGCAATTTCTCCAGGGGCTGGGGTCAGACACCAACCTGCTGCAGACCAGAGAATGATGCATCTGCTCTTTCAGCCTGACACAGCCACCGGAGACAGAAGCGGGGACTGGCACTGTTCCTGATGCTCCTGATCATGACAGAAGGCAGAGACATGCTGTCATATGCTTGCCACATCTGACTGCTAAGTGTTCAGGCTTATGCGAAAGACCCTCCCTGTCATCCAAGTCTGTTGCCGGAGCCCACAGGCAGACCATCAGAGACTGGATGCCAGGGAGAAGTCTTTAGGGTGGAGGGGGAGCACAGTTAAAGCCATTTGCTAAGATCTGCACACACCTGGGTGCAAGTCACATCCCACACGTGTTGGGCCACTGATACATACTGTGGCTATGTCCATGCACTATAGCGCAGACTCGGAGTTGGAGTCCTGGAAGGCAGGTCCTGGTTATAAACCCTATACAGTGAATCACACCTCGTGTCCTGTGCCTCTCTCTGACCACAAAGGGCTTGAGGTCTGCAGAGAACAGACTTGTCCCCATGGAGACAGTGGACTGCGGTATGGTTAACTTCAGAATTCAGCTCTAGTTCCTGACCTGCTGCCGTGTCCACCTCCCCAGTCTCTCTCATGGTGCAGGAAACATACACCTTTCCCACCACTGGTGGAACCAGTTCCCTTGACATTTTCGACGGCATGTCCTCCTGCGTTGTCCTCTGAGGGAGCATCCTAAGTGACTCTGGACATTCCTAATGGGTCACATTTTCTGGATATTTGCTTTCTGGCTTTGTGTCTTGTTTTTCATTTATGGCTCTTTACTTCTTAGCACAGAAGTGTTTTTGAAAACAAAAATCCAGGAGGTAGGGGTGTAGCTCAGGCTCACTGCCCAACATTAAGAGGACCTCCTTTTTAGAAAACACAGGCCTTCCCTTCTGCCCAAACACATTCCCTGGAGCCTGCTCACCCAGCTACTACTGTGGACAGCAGACAGACTGCATGCTGGGAGAAAACAGAGCTCAGGGCTCCTGCCCAAGACAGCCCCACCTTGCTCTTGCTGACTGTTCACTATGGCCACACACAGCGGAGATAAGAATGGCATTTCATTGGGCTGGGGAGATGGCTCAGCGGTTAAGAGCATTGCCTGCTCTTCCAAAGGTCCTGAGTCCAATTCCCAGCAACCACATGGTGGCTCACAACCATCTGTAATGAGGTCTGGTGCCCTCTTCTGGCCTGCAGGCATACACAGAGACAGAATTATGTATACATAATAAATAAATAAATAGATATTTAAAAAAAAAAAAGAATGGCACTTCCTCGATGGCCCACAGGAGTGCTAATTCCAGGGAGAATTTGAAGCTATACCTTGTCAAGTCCTAAATGGTTTAAAATAAGCTCTAATTTTTCATTTCTTGACTCTCAGGTTGGAGAACGTCATTCTTCTCAAGTCAGAAGGAACATGTTTATTGAGATGGGCTTTGGGGAGTCAGATGGGATGCCAGTCTGACCAGCAAAATCTGAGAGATGACATTAAAATGCTGAGATACCACGGAATAAAACATGTGGCGCAGACTACAGCAATCACAAGGCCTGAAGCTGTCAGGCACAGAGAGACATATTCTGCCCCTAACAGGAAGTCCATGTTTGTAAAGTGGAGCTGGGAAGACCATATCATTCAGCCCACCCTTCCAGAGATCTGGATCATAAGCCCTTCAGCATGGGGGTGGGTATCCTATGCTCTCCAGGATTTTCCCCCCAAACATGAAATTTTTGGCTATGTAATATTGTTTTGCTTTTTAAAAATACAAGCATAAGGAAAGAAGAAAACAGAAACAAAAGAAATACAAACTCTATCATGCGTGGTCAATGTGTTTCAGGTGCAGTTAAACAATCACAGCATTGATTCGCGGTGCTGTGCCTCCAGTGTTCAGGAGTTTTATTTCCTGCGGAACCCTGAAAGTCCTGAAGCAACCCCCAGATCACGCCACCCCACCACTTGGCCACTCCTCGTCTACTTTTGCACCCATGGCTTAGACATCTCCAGTAGGAACTGCACAGTAAGGTTTGCCTTTCCAACTGGCTCATTTCACAAAGCACCATGCCCTCATGGCAGGAAACAGGTTTTGTTTCCAGCTCCAGGAGCTGCACCCACAAACCCCCTGAGGCTTGCCAACTCCGTTCCCGGTGTTGCAAACATGCTGGGCCTCGTTCTAAACTACAACATCGTATATACTGCAGCAGCTTTCAGGCAGGGCTTACCCCAAGTGACTCCATTTTAAAAGCAGCATCTGGCTCCTCTTTGAGTGCAAATGTAGACACAAAATGATCCTGCACCTCATTGGGCATGAAGACAGCACCACTCACTCCTCTGGTGCCATCATGGCTGATACATGACTTATTCCTACAGAATATCATTGGGAAATTTATCAAAGTGGCATGGCAGCTGGGTACATGGGTCAACCCCAGCCACAGCAGCAAATGGCCCAAGAAGTGGCTGCACAGCTTAGCAGGCCAAAATGTCTGCCATGCAAGCCTGATGATTTGAGTTCAAATCCCAGAGCCATCTATCTGTGACGCCAGCCCTCCTAGGGAAACGATGGGAGATGGAGGTGAAGAATCAGTGAAACCTACAGGCCAGCTAGCCTGGATACAGAGTGGCAGAAACAAGACAGATGCTGTGTCAATAAGGTGAAAGGAAAGAACCCACTTCTGAACACGGTTACTTGATCTCCACACCTATACCAGGGTTTTCAAGTATCCACACTTACACACACACACACACACACACACACAAATAATAATAATAATAGTAATAATAATAATAATAAAGACCTGGTCTCTGTGAGATATGCATAATTTATTTTAAAAAGTGTATGTGGGAGATAGAATTAAAAAGTACTACGCAGTAGAGAAAAATGGTGACATCTTGAAATTTGCAGACAAATGGATGGTTCTAGAAAACATCATATTGAATGAGGTAACCCAGACCCCGAAAGACAAATAAGATATGTAATCACTCATAAGTGACTTTTAGGCATAAAGCAAAGAAAACCAGCCTACCAAACACAATCACAGAGAACCTAGACAACAAAGAGGACACTAAGAGAGACAGACATAGATCTAATCTACATGGGAGGTAGAAAAAGACAAGATTTCCTGAGTAAATTGGGAGCATGGGGACCTTGGGAGAGGGTAGAAGTGGAGTGGGGAGGAAGGGAGGAGAGCTGAGAAAAGATATACCTCAATAAAAAGAATAAGACAGAGAGAGAGAGAGAAGAAGGAGGAGGAGGGAGAGGAGGAAG